GAGTGATCGATGGGGGAGGGTACAGCAAGGAGCAGCCCCAGGTACTGTGCCACCTGACCAGGCCTCCGGACCCTGGGGGGGAGGGGACAGTGACACTCCTCCTGGCCAGATGCCATATCTCCCACGTAAAACCCTCTCTATGGGCATTCTGAGCACAAACCCAGGAGGAGCATTGAGCTCTGAGCTGGGAAGCCGGCGGTTAGAACTTTCTGGAGCACCTCCCCCCAGCAGGGCGAGCTGAAGACCACCAGGGAGGTGTTAATGAAACACGGAAGCTGCGAACAGACCCGGGAGTGATTCCAATCTGACACCTCTACCCCATCCCCCGCAGTAATGAGCTGGGACCTGCCCTCCTCCCCAGAGAGGGGAGTGCCGGGGGGAGGGGACAGCCGTGGGCATCTTTGTAGCTTCCGAAGCCTCCTTTCTTCATCACGGTCCTAATCGTCACTTTCACAGCAATAAAAAACTCCTGTGTCTGGAGCACCTACTGTTCCCCAGGCCCTGTGCTAAATCCTCTTATCTCCATTTTACAGATGGAGAAACTGAGGCTCAATCAGGTTAAGTGACTGGCCTGAAGCAGAGCCAACATTCGGACCCGGGACTGTCCATCTCAGAAGTCTGTGTTCTTAATGCTTTTGCTTCTGTGCCTCTGACGGGGACCCACCGAGGTCCTCATCAGGAAGGTGGGTGGGGTGGGAACGTTCCCACAGGGGACCCTACCTGGGGGCACTAGGGAGGCGCGTGCGCAAGTATGTGTCACCCAGGCTGCAGCTGGCATGGTGAGTAAAGGAAGCACGCCCAGCCTGCCCCGTGTCCTAAAAGTTCGGGAACTGGAAAGGAGGAGGAGCATGCTCCTAGCCCTAGCGCCCGCCCCGCAGCGTCCCTGTGTGTGCGCTTTTTGTCTCCTCACGAGTGCGATGAGCGGGGTAAGGGGCTCCGAGGAGGAGCCTCCAGCTCTGCCCACTGCCTGGGAGGGGATGACAGAGGGGTGTTGGCTGGCGGGGGATGGGAGTAGTACGCGTGGGAGGTGTAGGAAGACCCCAGCCCGAGCAGCTCTGTGAGTGGAGCCCCATGTTTGTAAACATCGTTAATCAGGGATTAGCAGATGGGCGTGCTAATTGCACCTGTGGAAGACTGAGACCTCGGGGTTGATTACATTTACAAACTGTGAGGCCCTCCTGGCGCCTGGGCCTGCAGGAGTGGGAGGGGGTGTCTAGTTTAGGACCCCCGCCTGGAGGCAGAAGCTGGCATGGTAGCTTCCCGCCCCAAAAGATTCCAGCCCCGGAGGGAAGCAGGGGTGCTGGCCACAATCCAGCTGCTCTGGAAATATCAAGTCAGCCGCTAACCCTCCAGAGACCCTTCCCCTCTTGGCTGCGGAGCTCGGACAAAGGAGAATGCTGCAAATGTCATTTCCACCCCTCCCCCCCCCCCCCCCGCAACTCCCTCCGGCGGTTCTCACAGGTAAATCATTGCATGTTGCAGCGGAAACCGGCCCTAGAGACTGTGGGGAAATTGAGGCCCGGTTGGTAGGCGGTCAGGGCCCAGTGCCCTGACCTCCAGGTCTGCCCCCGGGTGCTGTGAGAACGAACAGCTGCCGTTCTGCAGCACCAGCTGAGAGCTTCACATGCGTGATCTCATTTAATCTGCACCATGATCCTGGAAGTGGACACTGTGACTATACCCATTCTATTTGTTTGTTTGTTTGTTTGTTTATATCCTCACCGAGGACATTTTTTTTCCCATTGTGTTTCAGGGAGAGGGAGAAACATCAATGCAAGAGAAGTGCTGATTGGTTGCTTCCTGTAAGCACCCAGACCAGGGATGAATCCCCCAACGTAGGTATGTGCCCGACCAGGAATCGAGCCCACAACCCTTCGACTATGGGTCGTGCTCCAACCACACTGGCCAGGGTGCTTATCCCCATTTTATAGGTGAGGAAAATAAGACTTGGAAAAGTTAAGGGGCATGTTCACATTTACACCAAGGCACAGAGTTGCAACTCAAAGCGAACTGCTTACCAGCCAGGGTCACACTCTGCACCACTGTTCCCTCCTCGGCTTCATCCCGACCCTACCCTCTAAGGGATGGAGCCCTACCCAGCTCCTTGTATCCTCAGTCACAGCCACAGGAGCTCCTGTGTATTTAAGACACATGGTGAACCGTGTGTGTGTCAGGCACCAGAAGGCCACTCCAAGGAGAGTCCAAGCTCATCGCTGGCATCAGGTGCTGTTTGTCTTGGGAAGGCCTGGTTTGCAGGACATAACTATGTAGCCATGTGTGCACAGCAGGTAATTACAGCCTCAGATCCCCGTGGTTCAAGTGACCCTGTCTTCCCAGAGGCCGGCTAGCCGGCTGCCCAGGGGATGAAGCAGGGAGGCACCCCCTGTGCCTGGCTGTTAGCCCAGGACAGTGACCCCCCAGATGGCCCTGACCATAGGGACCCACAGAGCTGATGAATAGTGTGCCCAACACAGTTCAGACAGTGTTCCAGATACCACAGAGGAGCTCCTGGGCAGCAGAGGGGGCTCTGGACCCTGAGTACCCTCAACCCCAACTTCTAGGCTCCATGCGGGGTTTGGGCCTAGAGAGCTGAGCTCGATTCTGTGCTCCTACGTGGAAGAAACTCCAGGACACCCGAGTTTATTTTCATCGAGTCTGTTTCTCTGGTTCTCCAGAGAAACAGAACCAATAGGAGAGAGATACACCCACACATATACAAACATGCTTACCTACTTATTTATCTATTATAAATCAGAGAAATTGGCTTGTGTAATTATGGAGGCAGGTATCCCAAGTGCCGCAGGGTGAGTGTACATGCTGGAGGCTGATAATGTCATTCTTACCTAAAGGCTGGCAGGCCCCACAAAAACCCATGTTTCAGTTCCAGAAGATAGGAAGAATTCCCTCTTAATCACAGGAGGGTCAAGTTTGTTGTTTGATTTAGACCTTCAACTGATTGCATGAGGCCACATTGGGGAGGGCAACCTGCTTTACTCAGTCTACCAATTTAAATGTTAATCTCACCCAAAATCATCCTCACAGACACACCCAGAATGTTTGACCAAACATCAGGGCACCAACACCCAGTCCGGTTGACATGTAAGTTGAACCATCACAACAGGTTTGTTACTGCGTGCGAGTCCCGGCTGCAGCGTTCTTCAGTTTATAGAACACTTTTCACTGACGTGCTCTCATCTTACTTTACAACTTCTCTGTTGGGGAGCGGGTAGCTGGAGCAGGTGTCAATGGCATTATCCCCATTTTACAGGTGTGGAGGCTGAGGAGCCATCGAGGTAGGAAGCCCATGGAGTCAGGGCTGGAACCAGCATCTTTTAAAGGGATAGATGAGAGGTTGCTTGGCATGTGCTTTCAGACACACCCTTGAAAGCATGAGTGTGACTTAGAAGGTTTCTTGGGCACTAGCGGGTGGCTGGAGGACCAGCGATTCTCACACGTGGCCGCACACTCGCATCAGTGCAGGGCTGCAAGAAATGCTTGTGCCTGGCTCCTGCCCCAGAGATTCTCATTTCATCGGTCTGGTGCCTCTGGGCATCTGGAATATTAAAAGCTATCCCCACTCCCTGACCATGACTCTAGGGTGCAGCCAAGGTTCAAAACCACACTGGGCTCTCGGCCAAGAATGCGGCAGGGATGGGGAAGCAGGGTAGCATGCCCAAGGTTGACATGTGCCTACGGAGGTCAGACCCTGTGTGCCAGATGGGGACAGACAGTTCAAGGGGGGTGGAGTCGATAAAGGAATTTCCTCCTCTCTCGAGAGGGTAAATTTTGACTTTAAAGTAATCTTAGGCCCTTTTTAAACAAATTCAAATGTCTTTCTAAATTGGCATCACTATTAGCATTCCAAGACCAGCCCACAGAGAAAGAGTGGTACTATTTACTGAGCACCTACCATATGTGAGGCTCTGAGTCCCTATTGTCCTCTGTATCCTCCCTGCGCCCAGAGAGGTGGGGCTCCCCACTCCACCGCGGAGAGGACCCAGGCTCAGGCAGGCGAGGATCTTGCCCAAAGTCACACAGCAGTCAGGGTTTGAACATAGGGTTGCTGCCCTCCAGACCCACTCCGGAGCAGTGGGGCTCAACTAGGGTGATTCTGTAACCCCCAGGGACATCTGGCAGTGTCTGGAGAGACACTTTGGGTTGCCACAACTAGAGGAAGGGGGTGCTACTGGCATCTGGTGGGTAGAGGCCAGCGGTGCTGGTAAACACCCCGCAATGCACAGGACAACCCCCACAACAGAATTATCTGGCCCAGGAGGTCAGCACCGCTGAGACCAATAGGCCCTGCTCCAGTGGTTCTCAGCCTGGGCTGCACATTAGACCCACGCAGGGCTGGGGGCACGGTTACAAGTCCTGATGCCCAGGCTGCACCCTGACCAAGTGCATCAGACCCAGGGGATGGGTCCCAGTGGCGGTTGTTTCCTGGCCCAGCCTGCTCTAAAGGACGACCACACTGGTGGCCTCTGCTCCACTGGGCAGTACCAAGTCGGGCCGGATGATACAATAAACAGCAGCCCTGTCCTCGCCGCCTCCCGGAACCGAATACCAGGTTTCACTGGTTCCCTGCAGGTAGGTCGACTGACTGATGAGTCAACAGCCAGGGGGACTGGGAGGCCAGTGGAGTAGGAGGTGTTTGCTAACCTTTCCCTTGCCTCTTGGGGGCCACAGCCAGGAGACTCACCAGCTGGCTGCAAGGGTTTCCTGAAGGGGCTGTGGACCAAAGAGCGAGGCTGCCACCTAATGGCGGAACTGAACAGAATAGCCCATTGGTTGAGTGCCTGCTGGACACCAGGTGATGTTTTTTTTGTTTTGTTTTGTTTTTCAGATTTATTGATTTTTAGAGAGAGGGGAAGGGAGGGAGAAAGAGTGATAAACATCAATGTGAGAGAGAAACATCGATCGGTTGCCTCTCATATGTGCCCTGACCGGGGACTGGACCTGCAACCCAGGAAATGTGCCCTGATGGGGAATCGGACCGGCGAACTTTCACTTTGTGGGACAACAGTCCAATCAACTGAGCCACACCACTCAGGGCACCAGGTGTTTTATTTGAGCCTCACAACAGCCCTGAGAGGGAGGTGCCAGGACCCTGAGGCACATAAAGATGAAGCCATGTGCTCAAGGCCCCCCGTGGGGCAAAGTTTCAAGCCTGGATTTGCACCTGTCTGGCCCACAAGAGGGCCCTGGGCCTCGCTCTACACACTCACTCTGGTTTGAGAGGAATGGATGGGATCCCTGGACAGAGTTGCCCATTTCCCTTCTGATGTTTAGACTTCCTCCTCAATGCCCAGGGGCGGACACAGAACCTCTGAACTAGCACATGCTAGATATTAATGGGCTACCATCTCCAACTGCAAGTCCAAACTCAAAACAGGAAACTGAACTTCCTCTGGTCTCCACCGTAAAGCTCCCTACTTCCCAAGATGGTGATTAATAAACAGAGCCTGGCTGCACACTCTGGCAAGAGATTCTGGCAGCTGCAAACCCGTGGATGTACGGGCAACCTTCCCCTGCCCTCTGGCACACACACGTCTTGGTCAGTCCAAGTCAGCCCCCATCTTGCCTCTTTTTTCGATCCTGAGGACAGCCCTGGGTGCTGAGCTACTCTGGGCCCTTCCGCTGCGGCTGAGGGCTCTCAGGGGTCTCGGAGAAGCTGTCCTCTCTTCCCTTCCTCAGGGAAACCCTTCCTCTGGCTGCAAATGGAGTGAAGAAGAATTCCTGCAAAGACAGACAGAATGACATGGGGAAGAGAACTGAGAAGAAGGATCATGTGCCAAGGCACCCGCTCATTTCGTCCTCAAAAGGATATGTTTTCCGCATTTGGCACAGAAAGCAATGGAGATACAGAATGATTGAGAAACTTGTTTAGGATGAAATAGTTACACGTGTGTGATTGGAGGGAGGGAAGTAAGGGGAGAGTAGACTCACCTGCAGCCACAGAGACATTCAAGGACTCCAGTCCAGCAGGCAGCTGCCGGCCAGGCAGGATGGTGAGGAGAAGCTGGCAGGAGGCCTGTACCTCCGGAGAAAGGCCGGAGCCCTCATTCCCTGTGGGGCACAGGGCAGAGGCTTAGGGACGCCACGGCTGGACATGGAGGTGCTCGGGCGATGCACATCTGAACACGGAAAAGCAGGAACATCCACCTACCCAGCACCAGCAGAGTAGGCCGGTCCCAGAGGAACTCCAGGCAACTGGTGACGGGGACCTCAGAGGACCGGGAAATCTCGGGCCCGGCGCAGGCTGCCGTGCCAGCCACGAGCCAGCCCTGCCGGGCTTTGGCCTGAAAGGGAAAAGAAATCATATTCCAGCTCACCAAACCTTCACCAGAACCCTGGCCAAAGCAGGCCCAACCTCACCCATCTACAGGGCGGGGCAAATGTAGGTTTACAATTGCAATACCACGAACCACAGAGTTTATTCTTGTGTTATTACTTATTATTGTTATTTTCCATATGAATAACAGTAAACCTACTTTTGCCCCAGCCTGTATTCATTCCCTCGCTGAGCCACTCGATTCAGTCAAGTTATTAAGCACCTAAAACAGGCAGGTTCTGTTCTAGGCACTGAAGATAAGGCAGTGAACAAAAGAAGCCAAAATCCCAGCCTGGCAAAAGGGTGGTCTGGGAGGACCTCACTGAAGTGACTTTTGAGTGTGGTCCAGAAGAAGAGAAGGAAGTACTGTGCAGACAGCTAGGGGAAGAATATTCTAGGCAGGGATCAATAAGTGCAAAAGCTAAGAGGTGGCTGCTTACGTGGTATGGGTGAGGAAGAGCAGGACAGCACGGTGGCCAGTGGGAAGGGAGCCACTGAGGCAGGAGAGGGAACAAAGGGCCACATAAGGTAGAACCTCAAAGGCCACTGGAAGGACTTTGGCTTATACTCTGAAATTCAAAGGCTTTGAAAGTTTCTGAGCAGAAAAGCAATAGGGTCTAACTCATGCGGCAACAGGATCTCTCTCTGCCTGCTGCGCTGAGAGCCAATCGCAGAAGCAAGAACAGTTAGGAGGTTTCCAGAACAACAAAGGCAAGAGATGGTAGTGGCCTGGGCCAGAGTGGTAGCAGTGGAGATAGTAAGAAATGGTGAGAATATTGAAGCAACTTTATGGTAAAACCAAAAGGAGGCACTGACAGATAGGAATGGGTGTGAGAGCAGGAAGAATCAAGGACGATGTCAACGTGTCTGGCCTAACCAACTGAAAGGATGGAGCTGCCACCGATGGAGCTGGGTCTGAAGAAGGAACAGGTGCTGGGCTATGGAAATATTCAGTTCAGTTTGAAGTGCCCAGGAAAAGAGGGCTCCCCCAACTCCCCGCCTTTGAGATGCTTTTATTTATTCATATGGAAATCACTCTGGGTTGAGGACACTTAGCATCTTTGTAAAATCCGACCAACTGTAATTTACCTTGCTTTTTTGACACCAGAGTTGCCAGTTGTTTTCAAAGAGAGCTGTTGAACAGGGAACTGGATACGTGAATATGGGTTTTAGGAGAAATGTCTGGGCTAGCATATACATTTGGGAGGCATTCTCATGCTACTTAAAGCCATGAGAATGAATGAGTCCCCCCACCCCCCACCCCTCGCCCGCCGCAAAAAAAAAAAAAAGAGTGTACGTGGAAAAGAGGTTCAACGACTGAAACTAGACAGGTCAGGGGAGCTGTCAAATGCGGAGCAATACTGCCCCCTTGTGTCCAGCAAGAAAAGCACAGCAAAGGGGTTTTTCTACCAAGGTTTGCCCCCCGAATGTTTTTTTTTGGGCGGGGGGTTGTTTTGTGTGTGTAAGAGGGAAGAAGGGAAAGGAATAGACTAGTCCTTATTCAAAGAGGCTTTCAAGCTGTGCCCCCACTGGAAGAACCCTAGACACCTGTCCACCCGCTCCTCCCAGCTAAACATTTACTGAAGACCCACTCGGTAGGTAAGGAGGCACTGCGGCAGACTTGCAGCAGGAGCAAAAAGGTATGCCTGGGGAAGAAGTGCAGTAAAGGGGATGATGCTAGGAAGTGTCTAACTTCAGATTCTGTTCCACTTGTGCCTTTCCTCTTCCCAAAGGGATTTGGAGAGACATAGAAACTGATGTCAACATACTCTTCTCCCTCTTCCTCCCTCACTTGCTGGCTAAGTGCTGTGAAAGGATGAGCTTGAGCTCATTTCTGCTCCGTTATGCACCCTGCGCCCTGCCGCCCCCACCCCTCACCCTCGGTCCTTACCTGTAAAAATCCACCCAGGTCATCAGTGAAGAACACGTCCATCACCTCCATAGCACCGGCGCTGGCCTTGCTGACTACCGGAGTGAGTGGGCAGCTGCAAAGTCATCCCATGCCCCGTATAAGGTTGTGTGATCTCAAGCCCAGTGCCCTACCCTCCCCGGACCACCAAGGGTTAGGGATGAGAATTCTGGCGATAGGGAGGCCTGACTGGGGGATCACCAAAGGGTTAAGGTGCTTAGGAACTCGGTTGTGCACGAAATTGGAGTACATGGGGGAATAAGGAACGTTCGTGCCTGTTTCTCCTGCTGGTGATGACTTTGTCCACGCCGAGGAAGTGAGCAGAGCGCAGCACCGCCCCAAGATTCCGAGGATCCTGGAGCCCCTCGAGCACGAGCCAGAGCTGCTGGGGGTCATCTCCTGGTCTGGCCTCCCCAGCCTCAGTCCAGGGCCGGGGCCGCAGCGGGCTCACCTCCATGCAGACGCCCTGGTGGACCTTGTGGCGGCACAGGGTGTCCAGCTTCTGCCGTCTGGGCCGCAGAACTGGAATGTCCCGCGCTTCAGCCACGCGGAGCAGCTCGGCACGCTCTCCTTGCACCCCGGACCTGCCGGCCTGGAGCAAGAGCCGGGCCACCTGGCGGCGGGCGGCCCGCAGAGCCAGAAGACACGGGGACAGGCCAAAGAGAAGTTCCCTGGAGGACCGTGGGGTAGGCGCCAGATCATCCAGTCGCAGGCGGCTTAGCTCCTCTCCACCGGGCCGCTCCCCAAGCCGTGCCGTTTGAGACAAATGACGTGCCAGGCGACCAGAGCAACGGCAGGTCGTGCCCCGGAGGGCCGACAACCACACCATGGTCGATGCCCCCTGCTGCGTCCTCAGGAGCTGTCACTCCCAACCGGGCCTGCTGCCTGGCCCTGAACACGGGTTAAGGGGCCTCCACGGCTGCACCTACCCTGCCCCCACCCTCCCAGACAGAGAAACTAACAGCCCAGACTCCCAGCTCGAAAACTGTCTAAAACCAGGTAACCCAACCACGACCGCCCCCTTCCCGGCCCCCACGTGGGTTACTCTGCTTCCGGGTTCGTGCTACCTCGCCCCCTGTCCGGCAACGCACTGCGCATGCCCGGCCGCCAGGCGGTCCCTACAGCGCCGCCTGCAGGGCTGGTTGAGCAGCAACCTCCAACGGCACCGCGGCCAGCAGAAGGCAATGATCAGCGCGGAATCGGCTGACCATGCTACAGTGTTCATTCTGCAGCCTTCGAGGTCCGGGGAGAGTGGGGGTGGCATTCACCCACACACCAACAAAGAACATTTTAAGGGAATGTGTTCCACCAGGTCAGTCGTGGTGCTTCCCTCCCCATCGGATGCTGGAGATTTTTCTCAGTAGCTTCTCCAGCATTCAGGCCCTCCTCTGAACTTCCACTCCCTTGTCAAATCCTCAACACCAGTCACTAGGACCCAGCAATAACTTCCTATCCTGTGGCAGCTGATTCTCTAAGTGATAGCTCTGTGCTTGTCCTGCGACTGCTGGCAAGCCAACTGATGCCCTTGGCCCAAGGTAATGGCCAGACTCCTTGCTCAGCACTTAGACACCCAGGGATCCAGGCTTTTCAGCGCCATCTCACTCCGGTACTAAGTTCTGTGCTGTTCCCACAACCTTGCATGCCCTTTGGGGCCTCTGAGACTTGCACATCTTGCCTTCTTTTCTGCCTGGCAAACTCCTACCCATTTTCAAGACCCAACCCAAACCCACACCTGCTACCTAAGGTGTAATCCACAGTCCACATTCCAGGAGTGAGGCTCTCTAAATTCACCCATTTCCCACTCACTTGGAAGAAACTGAGACACAACCACCCCTATCACAGAGAAAGGGGAAGAACTGAGGACACCCATGAAGCCGAGGTCAGTTGTTGCAATTTTTCCTTTTTAATTATCACACTGAAATACACCTGGGAAGCAGGTCCTGGTATTGTCCTGCAGCAGTCAGAGTAGAGTGAGGACACCCAGCCCCCAGGGCCAAGGAGCCACAACTGGGCTGGGTAACAGCGACAGGGAAGAGAAGGGATGGTGCGGGCAGTGGGGCAGGGAGAGGAGGAAGCTGGGGCCCTCGATAACCACTCCGATAAAAGGTGAGGGGTTCTCTCTTCCACCTCATCCCTTAGAGACAGGAGGTGGAGTGCAAGAAGAGAGGGGGAAGCCACCTTTTTGGCCAAAGTCCCTTCCCCAGGTCAAAGAGAAAAGGCCATGGGCAGCAAACAAAGGCCAAGGAGCCCAGGAAGGGGAGCAAGAATGAGTTAATGGGTAAAACAATTAAGGACACCACCTCCTCTCTTCAGCCCACTTTTCACACTTGTGGTAGAAACAATTTGACAAGATAAAAAAAAGACCTCAAACAAATTTTCAAATCCCTGGTCAGGGTGGAGAGAGAGGAAGTGGACTCCAGGAATCCAGAAATGAACACCTATAATCCAGAGGCTGGACGCAAAGGCGAGGGAAGGAAGGAGCTCCCCACAGGAAACTAGGTCACCTGCTGCGTGGGGCTCATCTGGATGCCTCTGATCCGCAGAAGGCACAAAGGCTTGAGGCAGCCAAGACACTCTGCCCAGCCCCTTAAGACCTCCCTGCTCTCCTCCTCTGGGGATGGTTGGGCTTCTCCATGGGGTGGACAGCCAAGGCTCACCTGGACATTTGGGGGGTGCTGAGGACATAGAGGACAGCCTTGGCCACATCTTCAGGTTTGAGACACTGAGCGCGCCGGAGAAAGGGGGATGAGGGTGGAATGGATCCAAGTTCCCTCCCACCACTGGGGTCCTCTCCTGCTTCCACATTCCCAGCCCAGCCCTCCAGGAAGGGTGATGGGCTGGATAGAAGGACGGGGTCTGAAGGCCAGGCATCCCTTCTTTCCGTCTTCACTTAGAGTGAGTGGCTTCACGAAGCCCAAAGGGAGGCCCCACCTTTATGTGGTCATAGGTGGCAGCTGCCTTCTCAGGGTCCTTGTCATGGAGTCTGAAGGTGAATTGTGTCTCCACCAGTCCTGAAGAGACGCACTGGGCAGACAGAGAGGGCCTGCTCAGGAGGCGAACTTTGCCCCACCCCCACCCCGATCAGAGGCCAGGCGAGGTTAGAGGGAAAGGGTGGAAGCCACAGGGACCCAGCATCACAGGGGTGGCTGCCCCATGTCCAACAGCTACCCCCTCGCTCCAAAGTTGCCACTGGCAATGATCTCAATGATATTTACTATCTACAGAGTCCTTGCCATGAGCCAGGTAAAATGCTTTATAGAATGTTGTCTCTTAAAAAACCTCATAACCTAATAGATTATTATCATCTCCATTTTACAAATGGGAAGACTAAAGCTTGAAGAGGTTGAGTAAGCTGCCCAAGGTCACCTGGCCTTTAATGGAAGAACCCAGAGCTCCGGTTTCCAGCCATTGTGTACCTGGTTTCCCACAACCCCTTGCTTTCCCTCAGTCCCACCCCACTACTTCCATTCAGGCCAGCCCCTCCCACCTCAAAGTCAGGGAAACAAGGAAACTCACGTCCTGAGCAGGGCCATGCAAGTAGCGGCAGAGCCCAGGAGCTCTGTGCCCAGCATGCTCGCAGGGGTTCTCAGCAGCACACCTGGACACGGGCTCCCCGGCCAGTGTGTGTGGGCGGTGGAGAGGGCCTGTGCCCATCCCATCTCCACCAGGGCCAGGCCACACCCTCACCGTGGCTCTGATGTGGGTCTGGGCCTCCCGAAGCTCTTGCCTCAGTCCCTCTGTCAGGGCAGTGACGGCATACTTGGTAGCACTGTAGAAATGGGTCACAGGCTAGGGTAACACCCGGTGGCCAGACATGCTGGGTAGAGGGAGGGAAGGGGAAAGAAGAGAGTGGCGCTTCTGGGAGACCAGCAGTGCCCCCTGGTGTACCAGTCAACCCCACCACGTGGATGCTCCAGGGAAGTCTTCTAAAGGGGGCCTCTGGGGGCCATCCTTGCAGCCCACTAATCTAGTTTCTATTATTCAAACAGCTCCTGAAACCCTACTCTTCTAAAAGTCTTCCCCACACTGACCCCAGAATCCACTCCATTGGTCATGCAACTGTCAAAAATCTCTCAACTTCATCTGCGCGTTCACTGATGTGGTTCTATCGGAAGGTCTCTGGGGGCAGCGGCCAGGTCTCCCTGCTCAGAGCGGGACTCCCCAACGATACTGTGTAGTCTTTGTACCACAAGGTGGGATTCATTCCAGGGCCTGAAGAATGGAGAACCGCAGCACCGGGAGAGCTCCCAGGCTTCAGCTGCAAAGACAAGGGGCTGAGCTACCCATTCCAGCCAAGCAGGGGCTGGCACTTGACGTACACTATTTTTCCCTTCACTATAATCATGCTATTGGGTGTTAACTGAGTATTAAATCCCCATTTTACCAAAGAAACAGGTCCAAAGAGGTCAAATGAGCCGCAGCAGATCACCCAGCTTGGAGGGAGTGGTGGTTTGCTCTAGCCCTCGGCCACTGTCTCACCTGTTGGTGTTAACAACGTGCCCGTCATCCACCTTCCGCTCCCTCAGGGACCGGCAGGCTTCCCGCATGCAGATGCTGAGGGCCAGCACATTCACCTGCAGGCCAGGGAGGGCCATGGGGTGTCTGCAGCTTGGCCCCATCCGAGCAGGTGATGGAGCCGCAGAGAACCCCTGAGGGCGCTTTCCAAAACTGTGTCTAGGTCCTACCAGAGACCAACAGCCGTCCCAGGGCACCTTGCCTTAGGTGCCCCTCTTCCTAAAGCCACTAGCCCCAGCTGACAGCAGGGGTGGGGTCTCCCCCTGGGTGACCTCCAAGTTCCTGCAAATGGGAATGGAAATCCCCCAAAACCCACCCACAACCCAGGAACCCTCCGTGCCTTGGCCTTCTCCTCTGCAAACAGTAGAACCTCCGCCTTAGGGAACCACATCGTTTTCTTTCCCAAACGCCCTACTCTTCTCTGGGACAGTGCCCCCATCCTGCTTTCTCCTAAATGGCCTAAAATCCTCCCTAAAATGGCTTTTAAAAACCTCTCTCCTCCAGCAGACCATAGCCTCTCCCCACCTCACCCAGCTCTCTTCTCCTCTCCTGCCCCTCCCTTGAGACTACCGGTGGAGGCCTGACCCTCCTCCCTTTAACCTTTGTTCCACCTATAGGACTAGGCACAGAGACTCAAGAAGGTGGAGTAACTTGTCACAGGAAGGCAGGGAACCTCCCAAGGGCAAGGGGCCTCCCGCCTTCCTCGGCCCCTCCCTGGCCACTTCAGCAGAGGTAGTCCCCAACCCCAGCCCTTCATGGACCAGGGGCCTGAAGAAGTGTCTCTGCTCTAAAGCTCCTGCCCAGCCCCACCCCTTAGCTTTACCTGGGGGACAAGCAGAGATTAAGCCTACAGGGGGTCCTCCTGTCTGCCTCTCCCGGAGAGAGGGGTCCAACTGGGAAATTAGATGTTTCTCTGTATCATGTGTTGGAGCCAGGCATCAGGACAGAACACTCTTGGCGGAGCCTGCCTCAGCAGTCACAGCCCAAGGACACTGGAGGCTGTCAGCCCCATTTCTGGCCCTTTCGTTACGTGGGTTGGTGGGGCAGAGAGCTCGGCTGCTGAAGACAGGAGGGGTAGGAGAAACGGATCCCTTGGGGTCACGGGAGTGAATCTCCTATTTCTGAGGGGCTGGAGCGGGGAGTGGAGGAGATGCCTCACAGACTGATCCTAATAGAATTACAAGCTGAAAGAGGACTTAGGGATTTAATGTAAGTCCCTCACTGTACAGATGGGCAAGCTGAGATCCTACTGCAGGTGAGGATCGCAACTCAGACCTCCCAGAAGGCTGTGGGAGGGCAGGAAGAGTGCTTCATTTCCACTTTCATTGTTTCAGTGTTCACTGCTCATTTTCCAGCCCAGGCACCTGTTAGGTGCGAAAGCTACTGTGAGCAGATATGAAAAGAATCTTGGGGGGAAAGGTACAACCCATTTACACACTGCTTCCAACTTCTCAGAGTATTTTCATACCCTAACATGCCCCACAATACAGTCCAGAAGTTGAAAACCCATGTCCTGCAGGCTGTGTTTGGGCCACACTTAACTTTAAAGCCTTTTAAATTCATTTCCAACATGTATTGGAAGGTTTCATTCATTCAAAAAACATCTATTGAGTGTCTATGGGCTGAGGCTGTAAGAGAATAAAACAGACAAAAATCCTTGCCCTTGTGGAGCTGAGGTTTGGGTGAATGGGAGGGATGGAGTGTCATAAAAATCTAGGCTTCCCACTCCTCTCAAAGGAATCATACGATCTGGGCGCAGTGGGCCACACTGCCCTACAGCAGTGACACTGGGCTTCAGCAGTGGCTTCTCCTGTGCATGGCCGTGTGCTCTCTCACTTACTGCAGACCCCCCCGACCTGCCTCGCTCATCTATGTACCTACCTGCCCACAAGGATTCAGTCGAGTTTTTGACCATCAATTGGTATGTTCCTCCCAATTAAATGTGACAAGACAGAGCTCGGAAAGGGTAACTACCTCCCTGAAGCCACAGTTACTGGCAGGGCTGGGTAAGAACATTATCTCCTGTCTCTCAGTTCCTTTTCTTCCCTTTTTTCCTGGAAGACCATGTTCCCAAGCACGCCACACAGTGCTGACAGATGGGGACATGAAACGAACAGCAGTTCTCTCCCCTACCGATCTTCCTTCCAATGGGAGGAATCAGCCTAGGCTTTAAGAGCTACACCCAGGGGCTCAAAGGAAAGAAAACTGGAAAAGATCCGGCCGCTCATCCACTCACTGTCCCTCTGGTAGGGAAAGAAGCAAGGAGTCAGTCAAGGTGCCCCAGGTAGGAATGCAAAGCTCCCTCTTGCTAGGTGTCCTATCCCAAGCAGTGCCCTGGTTCATAACCCCCTGGCTCCCTGCTGTCCTCCCAACAACCACCGCACCAGGTCCTCAGCCCTTACATTGAACATGTCCTTCCAACCGCTGGTGCTGCCTGAGAGCGGGGTGTCAGGCCGGGCGAAGCCAGCACTGTGGATGCAGACGTCCACAGCATTGTGCTGAGAGCAGAGAGCCGAGAACATGGACAGGATGTCCTCTTCATTTGACAAGTCACAGCTGTAGGGGATCAGAGTCCCGGGGTAGCCCGCACCCTGTGTTCGGCAGCCAGCTCCTATGAAACCCGGCAAGGGTCTCACAGGGGTAAGCTGCCCACTCCCACACCCCCCCAGCCGGAGACAACCTCCCTCCGCTGTCACCGCTTCTAGAACTCCCTCCTTTGGCAGCCACCCTTTGGTGACATTGATGTTGGGACTGCCATCCCCAAAGCTTGTTTTCTTTGGTCAAAATCCAGGGATGAGAGCATGCCCAGAGTGAGGGAGGGGAAAGCTGAGATTATCAATGGAGGAACCTCACTAATAAACTGGAGTCTTTAGTTCTAAGAAGAAAGAAGGGCTGGAGCTCTGAAGGGGCCAAAGAAGGGGGCCAAGGATCTTGGGAACGGACTAGGATTTCTTTTCTGCCTCTCCCTCAACAGGAAAGCCTTCTCTGCTCATAGGTAAGATGCACTTCTCGCCCCGCCCCATGGTCCTTCCTGCAGAGCCAAGAGCCACTGAGCTGGTTGTGTCAGGGCTTCAGTCTCTTCTCTTCCGTCACCTCATCCAGAAGGGCTTATATCTGAACTATCACCCTCCCTCCACAAATGGCAGCCAGTGGCTCAGAGTTCTCACACACATGCTTTCCAGTCGAGCCCAATCGCCACTCTTCCTTCGCCCTACCTATAGGAAGAGTCTGGAAGTCAGGACAGATAAGTTTTCTCTGTCCCATGAAGCACCATCCTCCACCCCAGAGTTTCTCTGGAGACTATGAGGCAGGTGGCAGGTGACATTGGCACCCCCTGTGCATTGCCAGGCCCTCCACACACTGAGAAGCCCCGAGAGAGAGAGATGGGAGAAAGCAGAGCCGCTGAGAGATGGCTAAGAGGAAAGCTGCCACTCAGAAGCAGGAAGAACACTGCGGCCTTGGAGGCCAGTGACTGAGCACCTGAGTCTCGTGAAGGTGACTATGTACAAGTGTGGGAGGGAGGGGGCGGGGGGGGGCATCTTAGAGGAAAGCCAACTTGGCCAGCTGCCCCAGCCTGCAGCGTCCCTCCCCTCAAACCAAGCTGGGAATAAACTGCTGGATCAGGTGACCTGGGAAATCCTTTTCCGCTTTAACTTCCCAAGTTTAAAATGTATAGTCCTCTGGGACTCAGAATCCCCCGCTTTCACCCAATTTTATCTACTCATGACCACCTCCGGAAACAGGGCTTCTCTCTGTAGGAGGCCAGAACTCAAAACTGTTTTAATATCAACCAATCCATCAATAAAAGCAGACTCTGGGCAAGGAAACCTGGAATTTTTACCACATGGCCAGCCACTTTTCCCTTCCTCCTCCAAATTCAAAACCTCCACAGGAAAGCCAGAATAGAGGGCCTGAGAGTGTATGTCTCCCTGTCACTGCCTTCTCATTGCCCCACCTGTCCTCATCTGTCTCCAAAAATGACCTGACGTCATGTCAGTCCCCTCACTGCAAAGGCATTCTCCCCTCATTGAAGGAGCCATCAATGGGGTTCATTGATCAGCTTGGAGATTCTCCTTGGAGCTCAGGGACCCCCTTTCCTGGCTAGCTTGGGGTGGGGGGAGTAGGAAGAGAAGGTAAGAGTAGCTTTAGAATTAGGGAATCCAACCGTCTTATCCTTGGCCTAACCCTGCAGGCTCTGAGGCTCCCGTGCTCCAGGGGAAAAGGAGGGGCAGAGTGGGGCAATGGTGCGACCAGGTGACCCTGAGACTATCTAAGAGTCTATAAAGTATACCTTTGGTCAGCAGTAGGGAAGAGGACAGCCCTTCTTCCTGTACATCTTCCTCTGCCACTACACAAGGCCTCCTTAGCCTTTCCCTGCCCGGGAGCAATAGTGGAGATAATGCTGGGCAGCTAGGAACTAGCCCAACCCCCTGAGGGTGATCTTGCTGGGCAAATCCAATGAACTATGAGGCAAATTTCTCTTCTTCCTCCATGCTCCAACATGGCCAGTTTCATTTCATTTGTCTCTGAGCGCCTGTTGCTCCTAACCCATCTTCTTTAAGAGAAAACCCAGGGGTTCCAGTACCACATCGCTTTGTCCCCTCAAGGGCTCACGCGCTCAATGCCCTACTTCACCTACTCAGTCCCACCCAGGACAATGCAATTGGAGAAAGGTCTACCTGTGAATATCCCATTGTCAGTCATTTATGCCCATTGGGTAGAGGATTAACCCTCAGATTTGGGAGAGAGGAGTACCTTCCCCACCCCACCCCCTCATAAAAACTGTCCTCCCACCTCAACCCCAACCTCAGACCAGGGTAAAAATGGTCATCATCAAAACCTCTAGCTCCTGCTCATCTGGCTGGCCAGCCACTTTGCTGGGCTTTGTGGGCAAAGCCTGGGGTCCAGAGGAAGCAATCCAGTAGCTAACAGCCACTGAGGCCACAACGCCTTCTTTCCTTCTGCCTAGCTAGCCCCTGATCTCTGGTTCTCCTTTCCTCATCCCACCTAAGCAAGCAGGTAGGACAGAGGGAGAGAGAGGCCAGAGTTAGAGACTTGGTACAATGTAGGGGCTGTCAGGAGAAAAGGCTACTTATGAGGTGAGACTTAAAAAAGCGAAGGTAGATGCCTGCCCTAAGGGATCCAAGAGGCCTCCTCTACTAGGCAGCCACACCTGCGGTCCCTAATCCCATTATAAATGGCCCTTAGGTGGCAGGCTAGGAAGGGCAGCGTCACCAGCTCAGGCCATTCCCCTTTCACCACCCGAACCCTGAGGAAACGACGCCTCCCTGAGTGGCCAGCTCCTGGCCAGGCCTTACCTCTATGTTGCCCGCAGTGCGGGCACAACCCACCACCTTCAGCTCCTGCTGGACCAGGGCCCGGGCCACAGCCGTGTCGATGCCCCCGGAGGCTACCGTCACGAGAGCCAGCCGAACACGCCACCGCTCCACGCCGGCCCGGGCCGAGGTCCCGAGCCACCCGCCCACCTCACTCGGAGGTGGGCGCTAGGAGAGCAGAACTCCGCCCCAGGTCGCAGGGGCTGGGCTGCTCTCTCCCGCTAAAGGCAGCTGCTCCCCTCAGAGCCCCGCCTGGACCCGCCTCCAATCTGGCCGAGACCCCACCCTACTGTCCTCGTTGACCGCCACATCCCGAGAAGGGCGGTGGCAGCCAGGCCGTCCCGCCCACTGCCCCGCCCCTTCCGGCCCCCCTTGCCCCGGGCTTGGGGGAAATATTCTTTCAGCGCTGAGGGTAGACGCGGGAGGGTCCTGGGAACTGGGAATCCTCCTTCCCTGGGGAGCTTTCACCTTGGGACAGGACACTTGATGTTTAGCAGGGGTTTGTTCCAGGCCCGAGGCACCTACGTTCGCCTCTTGCTCAGTAGCCCGTTCCTGTTTCTGACCCAAGGCCAGGAAGACAAATTAAGGGCACTTAAGGTGACTCCAACGCCCTACTAAACCAACCAACCGGTGGCTGACGGGAAGGATTCAGTGACTGGGTGATCTTTGGAGCGAAGATAGAGGTCTGCCCTAATACGCATCCACACTTCCTGTCCCTAACCAAGAAGTGATGGTTAAAAATTGAGACACCTCCAAGTACATGTGTACTGGGGGATTCTATCTCATGTAGTCTCCAACTGCACTAGACCCTCTTGCTCTCACTGCAGCAAATATATCACAATATATACCAAAGATGAGAGTAACAGCTAACATTTAGTGAGCACTTACGGTGTGACAGGCATTTTTAAGCACTTTGTATTAATATGCAGAACGGTCCTGTGAGATGGTACCAATTAATACCTTTATTTTATAGATAACTAAGAAAGGGGGAAAGCATGGTTTAGACTATAAGCAGTTCAGTCTCAGGCCAGGGGATGTGCTCCTAAAACGCCTTCATTCCATTCTCCCCTTTTCTCTCTTCATGGGTTGTTGGTTTTGCTCACTTTTCTCTCTGACCACTTAGGAATTATTTCATCAAAGCAGATAAACTTTCCTCACTTCTGCATTCTTAGAGAGTAGCCATCCTTCCAAAGAAAAAGCATCTCTTTAACTACTGGAATCCCTCCAATGCAAGCAATAGAATAAGCAGTAAATGCGGCTGGCTTATTCATTCAACAAGCACTCGTGTTTGGCCAGAAGAGCCATTAAAACCAGTCCTTGCTTTCAGGGATCTCAAGAAAAAAAACTTGACTGCAGCAGGTGGTGGAGAGGGGACTGAGACCCCAAAAGGCCCTTGGTAAATTTTCATGGATTCCAGGATGAAAGCAACATAGGTAGAGAGGAATCCCTATATGACACTTAGGATTTGAAAAGACTCAAGAAGTGGATCAAAGAAATGCCACCAACTATGTAAGTTAAATCTCACTAAGCTTCCGATGTTGCCCACTTGAAATCTGATTAATAAACAACAGAAAGCCCCTAAAATTTCCTTCATCTCCACTGCAGAGAGGAACTGACAGTCCCACTACCTATCTGCTGCCCACCAAGTATTATCAACATGCAGACACAAAGCTCTAAGTGTATGTGTCTATTGAACTACTGACTCAACCATTTGCCTGCCAAATGCTACTCCTAGGGGAATCTCCTTCAGTACGCACACACAGCTTGAGAAAATAGTAAACTGGAATGCCATAGTGACTTTATTTTTGCAAACCAGGTAAGAACATGTACTTGCACAGACTGCAATGTGGTTAGCTTTCAGTGCAGCTTTCTGATCCCACTTTTACCCACTAATTATTTATCAGGCAACCCTTGCTTGAAATTCTGCCAAGTTTTGTTTTCATTCTTCTAGTTCAATAGGAACCTCTCAATTTAAGGAACTTTCAATAATAGCAATTAAGTGAGAAAGATGCTAGCCATTATTTAATGGCATTGCAGCAAATTTATTTTATCAAACCAAAAGACTGGAAACTTCTTTTCTTGGCTGTCAATTCTGATCAAGGTAAGAATTTTATCTTCAACAATCTGTATCTGTATCCTCATCTGCTCTTCATCCTCTCTAACATCAACACTGGCCAAGTACCAAGTCCACAAGTGGCAAATATTAAAATACTGCCATACATGAAGTAGAAACATGTACACCAAATTTTACTGTGCGTATTAATAAATATTCTTTATTTAAATTTTGCACATTGCGCTTTAACATTACATCCAAACATCTCGCAAGTGGATGTCTACTTCGTAAAACCATATATTCAGCTCATTGTCATTTCTGTACAGAAGTATAAGTACAACATTACTTTTTGCCACTAAGTTGCTTTAGTAAGTCTCACAGGAAGAGAAACATTTAATGAAAAGAGATGGCTTAAATCATATGGCAGGCCTGCGTAGCCACGCAACTAAAGACACAAGCCTGTAGAAAGAACAAACTAATGAGGTTACCTCCACCATCTCCCAAAACAAGAAAGAATCACATTGATTTAAGATAAAAATTTGCCATAAGTCACTAAATTAAGAGGTTTTTGAAATAGAAGGCGCAGTAGTCATCTTGAGTGTTTCATTGAAAGACAGAGCTATTTTATTTACTTAATTTGCTCCAGCTGTTGTCAACCAGCCACTACAAATGGGCCTCTTGTGATCATTTAAGCGGCAGTATTTATTAAATTTCTCCTTCAGATGCTGTCGGTATTGTTCTCTATTGCTGTAGAAAGACTGGTTATTAGCCATAAATGACTGTATTTCATCTTGTGAGATAAAGATTTCCTCATCTGAAGTACATTCAGACTCATCCTGCAAATTAAAGCAAAAGTTAAGACTATGACTTAAATTAAGAATGGAAAATGCTATGCTGATGGAGGACAACTAAAGAGTAAAGCACTCTAGCTTTTTAGTTTCAATTCAGGAAAATAAAGCCTTTAATTGGAATTTTTACAGAATAAGCATATCATTCTATCTTAGAAAGTATTAGATGAGAATAAAACCCAACTCAACTTGGTTTGAAACTCTGGCTTTATAATTTGTCCCAGAAGCCTATGAACTTATTAGCTGATACTAACATACCTTCTTTCTGCCTTAAAAAATGACATATTGGAGATGGTTGCAACTTAGTTACCAAATTTTAAATAACCAGACTTATCTCTAGCTGATCCTCAATTGAAACTTTTATTTCTACAAATTAAGTAAAGTATAACCTTTTTAACTTATAAAATAAATTATACAGCAACATCATTTAACTATAACCATGTAAAAAAGAAAAAAACTAGTATTCTAAAGAATTTGGTTCCATTAGGATTCTCATTACTATAGAAAAGATACCATCCTTCTCCTTCCCTCCCCCCTCCTCCAAGCCCCACACAAAGTATGCACTGGATCACTTGGAATCAGGTATATATACTTCTTATCAAATATCAACACTGCAATCAATTATGAAAGGTATTCCAAGTTCAGTTACACTTTTATCCTACATGACACCTAAAGGAAGTAACCCCGAAAGTGGGCTCTAGTCCAGATTCTGTAATTTTTGCCTGCTCTGGAAGGGTGGCTACTATAAACTGCCACACAGAAATACAGTTTGTGCTGGCATGATGGCTCAGCTGGCTGGGGCTTCATCCTGATAAGTCAAGGTTGTGGGTTCGATCTCCGGTTGGGGCATACATAAGAAGCAACTGATGAATGTGCATAAATAAGTAGAATAACAAATCGATGTTTCTCTCTCTCTCGCTCTCTCTCTGAAATCAATCAATAAATTTTTTAAAAAGACTTTATTTATTTACTTTTAGGTAGAGGAAGGAAGGGAGAAAGAAAGAAACAGCAATGTGCAAGAGATACCTCAATTGGTTGCCTCTTGCTCGCCCCCAATGGGGGGAACCTGGCCAGCAACCCAGACATGTGCTCTGACTAGGAATCAAACCAGTGACCTCTAGGTTCACAGGCCAGCGCTCAAGCCACACTGGGCCATACTGGCCAGGGCTGAAATCTATAAATATTTTTTTTTTAAAAAACAAAGAAAGGGGTTTGCTTACAATAACCCTCCTCTTCAAGGAGGCAGATTCCTAGACATAATGCTAATTCTATCTCCCTCTCCCAACTAGTCTCCTCTACCTTTGAGGCAAAAGACAAGGAAATGTACTCCAGAGTAGCTGCAAGAACAGAAATGAAGTCACCAAAAAAAGTAATAAAACAATGCCCTTAATTTCTTTAGAGCCTTCCCCCACTCCCAACTTAAAACCCTCAAAAATACTGTCTCCTTCTGCATCTAGCCCATGAGCAATCAGTTATTCACAGTTAAGACATGATGGCTTACTTACAAGAAGTTCAACTAAGCTCTTGGCACCTTTTCCAGAATCAGGACCAAATGATGTTTCTGTAGGTTCTGAAAACTGTGGTACATTTTTCCTATGCTCAAACCAAGGCAGTGGCTGCCCACTCTTTTCAGAGCTACAACAGCTTTCAGGATGTGCATCTTTGGTCTTATCGCGGTGAAACACTGTGTGCACGGTATTTCCTGAGGTCTCTCGATTACCTGGATCTGTAATACAGCTTCCCAACTTTTGGATCTGAAACCATAGCAAAGGATTTCCCAGTTAAAAAGGCAGGAATTAAAACATGCCCTGACAGCATATTAAATTTTTTTAAAGGATGCCAAATAAAAGCAGCAGCTGAAATGTACTAGACACTCATACTAGACGTTATGTTAACCCATCAATATAATCTCATTTCATCTTCACAGAACCTAACCTGACAGGGACCTTTATCTTCATTTTACAGACGGGAATACTAAGACCAAGCTAACTGCTTAATACATTTCAAAGAATTATGAAAAGAATGAATTGGATTTAGAATACTCATGAATTGTTGGACAAATGACCACCACAGATACACAGACAAATCACAAGATGAGCAACCAATGGAACTGCAAAAGATACTCATTCTTTAAAAAAATAAATAAATCCTAGCAGCTAAGCTGCACACTTGCCACTCCAGGAAAATAGGTTGTTTTTCCCTTAACAGCAAAGGCTTAAGAAGTGAACGTTATGACACCTACATGTTCATCACATTTCAACATCTTGCTTTTCTTTTTCTTCTTTTTATTTTTTCCTTTTGTGTTGTTCTCTTCAGAATTTGCCCAACATTCAACACAACTATCGCCATCATCCTCTTTGTCTTCACAGTGATGAACACAGGAGTCATCACCTGCAGAAATCAATAATCTCTTATTTATGTGCTTAAATCAGCCATGTAGCAGAAATAATTGGGAAGCTTAATCTGCACCTACCGTGTTCATCGTGATTACAAATGCCTTCAGTGCAGGCAACATCTGAACCCTCCCGAGAACCTGTTTCACTGCCTTCCATGCTCGATGAATATCCACAATCACTACCATTACAGTGTGGAGATAAGCCTGAGAATAAATTAGGTAACACTTACAATTAACATACTAATAAATATGTTAAGACAAAGAGTGAACCAACTAAGGACCACAGAAAAAGTTTTAAATTTATGGTTTATTAATAGAAAGTACATTAAATAATGAAAATATGATTAGGGATTTACAGGTGTTTTATTTTTTTATCAAATACTATCAAACCAAACACCATAAAAAAAAAGGAAATATTAAGTGTCTGACTAAATGATATCCTTGGTGCTATAAAGCAATCCCTAAATTCTAGGTTACAGCATCTCTAAAAGGTCTTTCATTTAAAAGAAAAAAAACTTAAAGAGTTAATTTTAAAAATGAACAGCATTTATTTACCTTTCTTTATTTTAGGAGATCCCAAAAGATTGCCACTGCTAGGACAGGTACACGATGTATTTTCATTGGTAACAATTACTTCTACACAACTATTACCATCTTCAGTGCTACCACAGGCTTTGCAGCTGTTTTCTATGAAGTCTGTTTCCTTTAAGGATCAATATTAAGAGACAGTTTGAAAAGCTTTACCTCCATAATGGCTACAGTCTTATTTCTTTAACATTAACCAACTAGATATGAGTTATGAGGTTAACAATCGAAAAAACTAATTCTCATGAAAAATTATAAATTCACTTCAGGACTATGAATGAGCTAAAAGCAAGTTAAGAGTTAATGATAACAGGTAAGTATAGGATGGTAGTATGGGATGGAAGTGTGGTCTGCTGACCCTACGGGTTCCTTAAATCAAAACTATTTTTAATCATAATACTAAGATGTGATTTGCATTTTTCATTGTATTGACACTTACACAAATGGTACAAAAGCAACAGTGGAAAAAGTTCTGGGAGCTTTAGCACAAATTATGGTAGTGGCAATCAAAGTATACTAATAATCACTACATTCTTCATTTGTCAAGCACTCTCAGGAGGGGGCGGGAGAGAGATGGATGGATAAATGGGTGATAGATAATTCACTTATGAATGTCTTTGAAGCAATAAAAATACTGATTTTATTAAAAAATCAACCCATGCATAGATGTTTTAATAGCCTATGTGACAAATGGAAAGTATGCTTAAAGCACTTTTGCGGAATACCAAAGTACAATCATTGTCTCAAGGAAAAGTACTTATGCAATTGTGAGTTGCAAGCTGAACTAGGTGCTATTTTCCATGGAACATCAATTTCACTTGGAAGAAAGAATGAGACTAGATATATAAAAGACATTTTCTCAAAAATGAATGAAGCCAGCCCATCACTTCAAATAAAACGGACAGTTTTTGTTGTCGAAGATAAAATGCAATCTCTCCAACTACAATCAGAATTTTGAAAACTCATATATGCAAGTACAATGAATTTGAAGTTTCCCAAAAATTAAAAACATATCTGATGAGATCAGTAGTGGTTTTAACATGATTATCTAACATTATATAATGAAGTGTCAATACCTGAGAAAATACTCAGTGAACCAGTATCTTTCAAATAACCTACGCATTATGTGACAAAATCATGCATGAATGAAAGATCTATTCAAAGTGCAAGACAGACCAATGGCTTTTAAATAACAGAGTATAAAAAGGTCACTGATAAGGTGTCAGGGTCCACACTGCAACTAATCTTTAAGAAACTACCATTTGTTGAGTTGTAATGCCAAAGAAGAATATCCACAACTATCTGAAATGGTTTATATTAGAATATTTCTCCCTTATCCTACCATATATATTTGTGAGACTTTCTTTGTATGCTTCAACCAAGCAACATCAGGAAACTGACTGAATGCAGAGGGAGATATGAGAATCCACCTGACTCCTTTTAAGCCAAATATTAAAGAGATTGACAAAATTACAAAATAACACCACCCTTCTCACCTTTTCTTTTGAAAACAGCTTTTAAAAAAAGTTATTCTTGTTAATATATAATGGGGCTATTATTTTTAAAAGAATTAATGCTTTTAAATTTCTCCTTTTTAATTTAATACACTAAATGCTGACAAGTACTGATCTACATGAACAAAAGCTCACAGGCAGCTGTATTTTTAAGAATGCAAAGGGGTCCTGAGACCAAAAAGCCGACAACTTTCCACAGCTGGACTTTGATCTTACAGCATACTAAGATCAGGGAAAAGGTAACTATCCAACACTGTCTTTTTAACACAAACATGTGACATTAATAATCCTGGCTTATACAGATTGTAGTAGTAAAAAAAGGCAGAGGCTCCTATTCTGGAAAAAGCACAGTAAAAATGCCAAAATCTAGCAATTAGCAATACTACCTATTCATGAGTCAATATTAAGGAATACTACCTTCTCTTGGCTTACTTCCTTCTCATCTGCTGTTTGTAGAGGAGTAGGAATGTCACATACACATTTATTTTTTCGTCTATTCTTCCGTTTTTGGCGTTTCTTTTCTTGCTTGAGTTCTCTTACTCGTTCCTCCTCTGAAAATTCTTCACATAGTTGTTCCAGTCGGCTAATACCTTGTACTTTTTCCACAGTCATCTATTACAGAAAAAAAGGTGAAGGGGAATTAGTCAAAACTTCCTTTATTTTCCATAAAAATTCTCATTATTTATTTATTTATTTTATTTATTTTTAGAAAGAGGGGAAGGAAGGAAGAAAGGGAGGGAAATAGCAATGTGTGGTTGCTTCTTGCACACCCCCTACTGGGGACCTGGCCTACAACCCAGGCTTGTGCCCTGACTGGGAATGGAACCGGCGACCTTTTGGTTCACAGGCCTGTACTCAATCCACTGAGCTACACCAGCCAGGGATCATTTTTAATTTTTAAATGATACCACAAACACAGAAATTGGTATTTCATGCTGCAATTCTGTCTGCTAGTCCCCACAAAGAATCTCAAATTTTAATACCTTAAGTGATGACAATCTTAAAATCTACTCAGTAAGTAAATATACAACTAATCCCTATGGAAAGGGAGACTTATAGGCACTCCTCCAGCATATTCTAATTTCAAATATCAGAACTGTAACGCAGTAAACATTCATTTCTTCACACAATGAAACTATTTAACCTCATTAGATGATCTAGTTTCTGAAAACACAAATAAAAGAGAAAAGGGATAAGAAATCTGTTCAGCAAAAACTAATACAAATCTCCTCAGACTCCTCCGGAACAGTGCTTTAAGTTCATGATTGGCTTCTGGGGAGGCGGGGCGGGGGGGGGGGGCAGGCAGGGAGTTTGTAGCTTTAATACTATTCTCAAAAGGGACTGGTGAATGAGTTAAAGGATTACAACCATGTCTTAGAATATAACAAAATATTCACTAGCCAAAAACTTATGCTGTATAGGGTATAGGTGAAAAAAAGTTACCAAATTACAAGCACTAAACCCAACACTAACATTACAGAAAGCCTTCACTGTACTTCTAAGTTTTTTTTTTTCAATTTTATGTATTGATTTTTGGGGGGAGGGGAGGACAGGAGGGGGAGAAAGGGAGGGGGGAGAGAGAGAAAGGGGGGGGGAGAGAGAGACAGACATCAATTTGTTGTTCCACTTGTTTATGCATTAATTGGTTGCTTCTTGTACATGCCCTGCCAGGGGATCGAACCTGAAACCTTGGCATATTGGGATGATGCCCTAACCAACTGAACTACCCTTCCAGGACCAGAGTAGTTCTTACATCATGGCATTTTGACAACATTTACTTAGTATTATTGGACATCACCAAGCAAACTGGGACTTATTATCAGTTTCTAATTTTGTTGCTAATTTTTGGACTGCTTTTAACTTCTCATTAGTTATGTGTCACAGCAGCATCTTGTTAAATAATCACCAACTTTAGTTTTCTACTCTGAGAAAGTCTAAAAAGCCAAAGCTTATAGAGTAACAGGACTAAAAAACAAAGAAAAATCCACGAACCACTTCTGAATTCCAGTTCCCCACAAAACCCCTCCCCTACCTCCCCAAAAGCCATGATACTGTACCAGTGGATTGCAGCCCTGAGGCAAGATAAGACTGGTAGCTTTTATTAAGATTCAGCCTAGTAACTTGACTAAGCAATCTTGAACACCAAAGCAGCCCATTGCTCTTACCTCAAAACTCTTACGTAAAGCATCAACACCAAGATAGAAAAGCATCTGCCATGTTTGCTCTTCTGCTCGTAGTTTTTGCCAGATCCGATGCAGTCTTTCGTAAAGATGAATTCCCAAGCAGGTCAGAACTTCTTCTTGAGCTATATCTATTGTCTTAGCATGCCTTTCTCTTCGCCTATAAAGGAGAATCAATCATACAAAATTCCTAATACCCTTAACTGGAATAGTAAAAAATAGATAACACATCTGCAAGTTTTAAACACAATCTTCATGCCTATTAACAACCTAATAACATGACAGTAATACATTAAACTCAATTAATGTATAGATAAATACACAAGCACACATGTACATAACCAGTAAGAAATACACATGCAGGAAGAACTCAGTTCTAATATTGCTAAAAATAAGGTAATTCAGGAACTGGCCCTAACCAGGTGTTTTTTAGGCACAGAAAAGTCACACATAAGTGTCCAGCTCATAGTAGGCATGACAGTTCCTTTAACCTTTGAATTACAGAAATTGCCTATTTGGCTTTTTGTTTCTTTTTTTTTAGGGTAAATGGAGACTTGCAATGCCAAACTAATTCAATCACTGACAAAAGCCCTCTAGGCCAGTTTTAGAAGTGCTCACAGAACATCAGTGATAAAAGAAGTCTTTGTATTCTAAATGCCTAGCAGAAAGTAGGCACTCAAATGAGAGCTGGTACACAAAACATAAAGAGAAATGGGTTCCACTTATTCTTATAAACAACTTTTTCTGGTATTTTCACAACAATGCCAGAGATAAAATTTTAGGTTCCTATATAATTTAATAATAATATACACAGTTCATGAATTACATTAATAAAGTATTTCTTAATCCACTTCCTATGCAGAAACCATCATTATGAACACAATTTAAATATGGAAATGCATGGATGGAGGAGGAAAAAAATCCTTTTTAATCATTTTCAAATGAAAATGATAATCTGTGATAATGAAAGCCAAAAAAGGCTGCCTACTTCAAGCAACAAGGTGCAGAGGACTGAACCAAACACCACAGAACACTTTCTCCCTGTTTTTACTTAGTCAATTAAGAAATGCATATTTTAAAGAATGCAAAAATTTTACAGGTATGCTTTAATTTATACATATATCGTATGTACTCAGGCAGAAGGTGATGGAAATAAACTTTTAATAATAAAATGAAGCAAAGCGCTAGACAGCCCATTCTAGCAAATTACATACTCATACCCTCCTGCGAACTCTGGCTCAGCACGACCCAAAAGATGTGCTATGAAGTCCGTTTCACAGCAAACGTGTATGTGTCGTTCATGTGGACAGCACCGTAAGCCTTCATAAAGTGCAGCACAGTAGCCCTTCTCTTTGCTGCAATCAAGTTCACCAATAAGGATATTGTATGCTCGGAGGACTTTATTTTTGCAATCAGTGCAAAACCTGTTGAAAAGAAAAACCTCAAGGTTAAGAACTGGCTGTATAATTATATTTCATGAGGGATACAATGGTATATTAGAGACAATGATACTGCCCTCCCATGTACAGCATTTAAAAAAAAAAGCCTCCATACACAACGGAAAACACACATGCTAAGGTAAATACAAATTCAGAGATTACGTGAGTATAGATAGATCTCCATTTGCAAATTTTAAACTTGAGAAGCACAGGGGCCTAAAAGAACAAGGCAGTTAGGTACTTGTTAGGTCACAGAATGCATGCCCAGAAAATAGTTGCAAAGGACTAGCATATCTCCATTTCAAAAGCTATTTGCATAGGTCAGAAATAAAACAATAGAGGCTCCAAACCAATGACTTGTAGGATCCCTTCCCTTTCACCCTTTGAAAATAGTTGGTATCTTTAACCAGTAAACCTTGATTCACATTTTCACTACATTTTATATTAGTTTATCACTAGCTAAGCATTTGAGGGCTGGGAGCAACAGCCCTCAAATATAGGTAATATAGGTAACATTTACACAAAAATGTGGTTTAAGTGTATATAATGAGGCCAAAGTGTAGAAGAGCATGTGAATGTAGATGATGATGAAATTTTCTTTAAGAAACCAAACATCATCCAATCAGAAAGAAAAAAAGAACGGACGCCACCTTGACCAATATAACTCGGTTGGGTGTCAGCCTGCAAAGTAAAAGGTTGCCAGTTGGATTCCCAGTCAGGGTACATGTCTAGGTTGCAGGGGGTCTTGGTGGGGTGTGTGAGAGGCAACCAACAATGTTTCTGTCCCTCTCTTTCTCCTTCCCTTCCCGCTCAATAAATAAACAAACAAACATATAAACAAACATTTTTAAAAAATCTTTAACAAAAAAAGAAGAGAAGCCTGGTTTCTTTATCTTTAAATTCCTGTAACAAGAAGAGCCTGGTCTGGTAAAAAAGCCAGGCTCATAATATTAATAACTGCTTTACTTCAGCTGTGGTAGAACCAGGAAATTTTTTTTTAATCCTCACTCAAAGATATGTTTATTGATTTTAGAAATAGAGGAAGGGAAACAGTGTAAGAGAAAACCGATGTGAGAGAAAGGTCGATCACTTGCCACCCATATGTGCCCAGACCAGCAATCACACCTGCAACCTAGGTAAGTGCCCTGATCAGGAATCAAACCCACAATCTTCTGGTGCACAGCATGGTGCCCCAACCAACTATGATGACCCACCCGGCTAGGGCTAAAATAAGGAAATTTTGCTCTCTTTGATTTAAATTCATTACTAGGTGAGCTCATCTGTTCTCATGGCTTCAGCCAACATGTCTGATTCTCAACTCTACAGCTCTGTTCACGTCCTTGCCTGCCCTTGCCCATTGGTCAGACCCATACTGAAGAGTGAGGGATATCATAGATGTCCAATGGGCAACACATTAAGCTCACTGTCCAAAACCAAAGGTAACCCTCCCTATGTCCCCTTCCATCCCTCTTAAGGACACCACCATTCACACAATCACCTAGGATGAAAACCTCAGTTAATTCCAATTTCTCCTTAGGTTCCCCGTTGAGGGATGGAGCCAATTGGTATCAATTCTTTCTTACCTCTATGTGAGTCCCTTCTTTCAATTCTCCCTCCTGTTTTAAATCACCTAGACAATTTTTTAAAAAGCTCCTTAACTGGTTTCTGTTTCCATTCTTCCTAGCTCTACTGCATCTCTCATACCAAAATAATTTTTAAATACAAATCTGATTATCTCACTCTCAGCCTAAAAACCTCCGCATTGTCTACAAATAAAATTCAAACTTCTTAAGGCATTCAGTGACTTCTTCTCTTATCCAACCTACTATTTCTAGCCATACTTCCCAAGGCTCACCTCTCCCTTCACGCCTCCACCTACTCTACCCTGCCATGTACACACACGTCTTTTTTCTTCTGCTTCTTTCCCCATGCTTCTCCATATCCTTCACCATTTACCTAAATCATGTCTATCCTTAAAGAAGCCTTCTAATATTCCCATAACTAGAATTCAACCTTCCTCTGTCTTCCACTTAATTTGGTTTACACTTCTTACTACAGTATTTACCCTTATGCTGCCATGCATTAGTTTGATACACACATCTTTCTGGCCCAACAGTAGATAACAAACAGTGTTTCTTGAAATGTATGTATGCTAAAACAGAGGCTCTAAGCCCACTTGGTAAATAGAGGCAATAATGTTGACAAATGTAATTTTAAAACTAACTCAAAATGGGTTAAAGACCTAAATGTGAAGATCTGAAGCTATAAAACTCCTAGAAGAAAACACAGGGCAGAAATACTTTACGGCACTGGAAGAGGTGATAATTTCTTAGATGTTATATCAGAAGCACAGGGGAACAAAAGCAAAAATAGACAAATGAGACATTAATCTTAAAAACTTCTGTGTAGCAATGGAAACAATCAATACAGTGAAAGGCAACCTGTGAAATATTTGAAAACGGGTAAGAATTTAATATCCAGAATATATAAAGAACTCCTACAACTCAATAACAAACAAATCTGATTAAAATTAGGCAAAGGACATAAACAGACATTTCTCCAAAGATTTACAAATGGTTAACAAGCATATGAAAAGATGCTCAGTATCACTAGTCATCAGTCAAATGCAAATCAAAACCATGCAATATCAGTTCATACATGATAGTATGGTTGCTTTCCAAAAAACAAAAACAAAACAAACAAAAACCCAACAGAAAACAGCAAGTATTGGCAAGGATGCAGAGAAATTAAAACCTTTGTGTGATTGTAAAATGGTGCTGCCAATGTGGGATTTCCTCAAAAAATTAAAAAGAAGAACTACCATTCTGATCCAGCAATCCACTTCTGGGTACATATCCTAAGCAACTGAAAATAGGATCTCAAAGAGATACTTGCACACTCATGTTCATTGCAGAATTTTTCACAATAGTTAAGGACGTGGGAGCAACCTTAATGTCCACTGACAGGTGACTATAGTATATACATACAATGGAATACTATTCAACTGTAAAAATTAAGGAAATTCTGTCATACATTAAAACATGGATGAATCTTGAGGACATTATGCTAAAGAAAATAAGCCGATCACAAAAAAGACAAATATAGTAATGCATGATTTCACCTATATTAAGTTACCTAAAATAATCAAACTCGTAGCAACAGAAAACAAAATGGTGGTCGCCAGGGGATGGGGGCAAGGGTAAAAAGGGAATTGTTCAGTAAGTATAGTTTCAGTCCTGCAAGATGAAAATATTCTAGCATTCTGTTGCATAACAATGTGCATATAGTTAACAACACTGTAATGTACACTTGAAAACTGTTAAGAGGATAAATTTATATTATGTGGTTTTCTTTTACTACACTTAAAAAAAAAAGTCTTCCCCTTAAGAGGAATGGACATGGACACAGAATTAACAAATCCTTCCATGCTTGCAGGTTGTAAACAGTAAGTTTACATTTTCTGGTAAATAAATGGTTAAATGTCATACAGTACCAATAATAAAACTTGAAATATTTCCCCCATATTGTACTGCTTTAAATCCTCAGAGTAGTTTAATATGTTTGATTGTATATAATCATAACATATACATAAGTAAACAGCAATTTAAAAATATTAATGACAGCCATAAGAATGAAAATGTTTTTTATTTTCAGTAACCTTGCACATAAACTTTACAAATATTTTTTAAGGCAGAGATTTCAGTTTCCCTCCTAAGACCTCAGTTTTAATACACTAATGTACTACCTTAACTACCTTTAACTGGCTAAATAGTGTTAGCAAATTTTTATCATAAAATGCTCAGAAAAGTCCACTAACAAATGAAGTGTCAAAAGGTACATTATACAGACACTTAAAAAAATCACATTCAACTGACTACACCTCAAAAACTCAAACATACCTAAAATGAGAACTAGATACACAGGAATAACAAGGACCTGCATATCTGATATGCAAACATTCACTGATGTGCTTACTATGTGCCAGACAGTGCTCTAAGTAAGTATGTATCACCAATCCCTACAACAAATTAATTAGTCCTGTAAAATCACTACCATCATTTATGTCTTGAAGAAAAAAGAGGCACAGAAAAGTCAAATAACTAATATCAAGGTATAATCAATAGAACCCAGATTCAAAACAACTTTTTTTTAGATATTTTAAAAGCTTTATTCTGATTCTAAACAAAAAGGAATGGAAATTAACTAGCAAGGTTTTACCACTGAATATTGTGATATGACTATAGCAATCTTTACTTGAAACTCAGCAAAATAGCTAAATAAGCAGGTCAAACAAATAAACATGTTTTTGTTGTTTGTTTTTAAACTGCTACTGTCACTCCAAAGCCCATTCTTCTCCTTTAGCATCCCAAAGATCCAGCACAAGTTCTGCCTGGCTATACAACAAAGTGGCAAACACACTGCACCACTGACATCACAGGATGGTTGCCTATAAAATTAGACTCTGACACTGGGCTCCAGCTTCCCTTTCTCACAGGTTGTCATCCTCATCCGGGAGAGCAGTGGTCTCTCTGAGCAACCTCTGGATCATGCTCATATTGTGCTGCCAAAGCTGGGTCCATGACAACCTCGGTGGGGCAAGAGTAGGCAGGGCAACAAACTCCAAGTTAGGGTGTCCAATTAGTTTTCTAGCAAGCCACAGGAAGGGCTTTCCAAAGCTGTAAATACTTCTGGCAGAAATGTCACAGTACTGAAGGTTCTTCTTTTGGCAGAAAACGACTGATTTTGCCTTAAATTTTCCTGTCTTTAATATCCATTTTGTTACCACATATCACAATGGGAATGTTTTCACACACTCGTAAACAGATCTCTATGCCAGTTAGGCACATTCTTTTAAGTAACTCTCGAAGTTACATCAAATACTATAATGACACACTGGGCTCAGATATAATGGCTGTCTCTCAATCCACTGAACTTCTCCTGGCCAGCTGTATCCCACATAATTGAGCTTAATAGGTCCTCTGTTGGTGCGGAACATGAGGCGATGGACCTCAGCACCCAAGATGGCTAAATACTTCTCAAATTCATCAGTCAGATAACATTTCATGAATGTACTTGTCCTAGTCCCACCATCACCAATGAACATAAGTTTGAACTTGCGGTTCTCCTTGGGCAGCGACAGTTAACATTACTTCCAGAAGTGTTTCTGGGCCCATCTGACTCCAGTGCAATTTCTTTTACTCTCTTTTCTTAATTGTACTGCTTTTTACCCTTAAAATATTTGTAAAATGGATTCCACCTTCTTATAAATAAATAAAAAATACTGCCCCCCAAATACATAAAATAACTACAACCATTATAGGAAACTCCAAAATACTAGCTCTGGTAACTAGTAATTTATCACCCAAAAAAAGCTATCTTTTGACAGACCAACTGATATTGACTATAAAGATCAATTCATGCCCTGGCTGGTATGGCTCAGTGGACTGAGTGCTGGCCTGCAAATCAAAGTGTGGCTGGTTCAATTCCCAGTCTAGGGCACATGCCAGGGATGCAGGCCAAGTCCCCAGTAGGGGGTGCATGAGAGGCAACCACATATTGATGTTTCTGTACCTCTCTTTCTCCCTCCTTTCCCTAACTAAAAATAAACAAAATTTAAAAAAATAAACAATTCAAATTAAAAGAGGAAGGAATCTATACGTAGACTCCAAATAATCAATAGATTCTCTACTGTCTTGGGTGTAATACAACCAAAAAAACAAATAAACCAAGTTCATAATTGAAAAAAGAAAAACACAGCCCTGGCTGGTGTGGCTCACTAGACTAAGCGCTGGCCTGCGAACCAAAGGGTTGCCGGCTCAATTCCTGCACATGCCTGGGCTGCAGGCCAGATCCTCAGTTGGGGGTGTGCAAGAGGCAACACATCAGTATTTCTTTCCTTCTTCCTTCCTCTCTCTCTAAAAATACATACAGAAAATCTTAGGAAAAAAAAAATACACACACATACACACGCGCGTGCGCGAAAGAAAAACACCTAATAAACTTAGTAGGTCATTAGCTTATTCCCATATACACAACCAATCTTGATGATTCCAGTTTTTATCATTCATGTGTGTTTTCTAGAAGCACCTCCAAATTGCATATATTTGTCCCAAAGTCAAAGAACACACAACCAAAAACCCAACATGTGACACGTTTATATTGAAACAGTACAACTCCCCATAAGAATGACATCTCTAGATGGCTCTCTTCCCTATGAATTTCCAAATGTTAACAGCACTTAGAAAATTCCTTTGTAAAGTACTATTCTAAAAAAAAAATCTGAAGTTACTTTTATAGTACATGAAGCATACAAGTTCCACCTTCTACTTTAGGTTTTGACAAAAAAATTACAGAAGAAATGATATTACCATAAAGAAGAAAAATTTCAAATTTTACTAAGTGAAAGCTGCTAATTTAACTTTAATTTTGAAAATGACACCATGAAATACTTCTACCGTAACAACAAGGAGTACTAGAGTTTCCAAAATTAAGTATACTTGACTCAATTCAGTCATTCTGTGTTTCTTGAAAGACTGACGTAGAACCAATACGTAAAAATTTTTTTTAAAAAAGGAGAGAGAGATGCTGGCTCAACACAAAGGCTAACAGTGAAAGTCATCCCATGAAGGAATTGCCTACCTAACATTGAACTCGGCTTAGTGCCAGGTATTAATGGAAAACCTGTCACTGAAGGAGATCAGTGACAGGTTACTCTGGATAACAGATAGCTGAACACCTTTCAACTATACCATGATGACCTTTACACTTACCTGTGTTTTCGCAGATATGTTTCTAGTGTTTCTAAAAGACAACTAGAGTCAATTAAAACTACTTCATCCCTGCATTCTTGGGACATTAGTTCCCATACGTCCATCCAACAACCTCTGCAGAAAGAAAGAAATATTAGTGAGAAGGAGATAAATATAAGGGTAAAAACATTTTAAAAAGCAGAGTAAAGGATTGCTGGATTTTACCTGGCTGGTCCCTGGAAAGGTCCATAACGCAAAATGATCCTACACTTGCTGTCCTTCCTGTGGTCTTCACTACTTCTCTTATCTGTACTTAACTTCTCTGAACTGACACTGCTACTGCTCCCTTCACTGTAGTACAGTATATACAGTACAAAGCTTAGTGACACTGACATTATCTGAAAGAATAATTTCTATAATCTATATTAAAATCATGAACTCTTTAACACATTAAAATATTAGTAGGATAAGTTAGCAAATTTGCTTACATAATTACACATTCATTTTAACCATATTAAAATGTTATTTAAACATATGCTCATATATTTATATAAAAACTTCTGTTCAACTATTAAGTTTACCTCATACAGTTGAACAGCATTTATATTTATCAGGATAACAACTGGTTAATATACTAAGCATTTTATGAGCAAATGTATTTGAAATGTTTTATAGTCAAAAGGGCTGAAAAAAATTATAGTTTCACCTATAAACGTGGATAAATATCCCACAAATTGAAAATTATAACAAGTTTTGATCTACTCAATGTGACTTTATAGCTAGTTCATGGCCACAGAATTCTTATTTGCCTTCACACTTACAAGTAGCTGAGAAAGTCACAGATTAATCTAATTATAGTATAAATTTTCATATATACTAAAAAACAGCATACTAAGATGAATACTTTACATAGCCTAAATTAGTACTATAAAAATAACTTTTTTTAAACTTACTAAAAACTTCCCAGACCCTCCCTTGCCCACAGGTCTCAATGTGGCTCTGGTCATGCACTTTGTTTTATTGCAGTGTACATTCAAGAGAAACGTGTGTCTATATTCCATTCAGTGACAGTCTTCCTAATTTTGCACAATTCTAAACTACTCTTGCCTGTTCTTCTGCAGGTCTCACCACAGTACTAGAAATTCATTACCTTGAATGCGTGAGATGGAAAAAAACCTCTGAATCTTTAATCAACCTACTCTATATAGTTAAATAGGTATTTCTCAACCCCCTGCCCACTATGTAAGGTCATACATGTATATATAACTCACTTCGCTATTCCCTCTAATAAGGGCTCAGGTCAAGGATCAGCACTCCTTATTTTCTGAAACAAAACCTCAACTCCTGCTCTGCCTTCCATGTTATATCCTCCTCTCAACTCCCGTATTTCCCTTTTTTCTAACTATGTTTGAGTAATCCATAATCTGCTAAAACTAACTCTCAAACTTAAATTCTCATAATTGAGACAAAGGTTTATGAAATCAAGAGATCTAGAAGCATTATTCTGAAAAAAAAAAAAAAACTAAAAAAAAAAAGATTTTATTTATTTTTAGGGAGAAGGGAAGGGAGGAAGGGGGGAAGAGACACATCAGTGTGTGATTGCTTCTCATGTGTCTCCCACTGGAGAGCCGGCCTGCTACCCAGGCATATACCCTGACTGCTAATTGAACTGGCGGCTCTTTGCTTTGCAGTCTGGCGCTCAATCCACTGAGCCACACAAGCCAGGGCTAAAAAAAAAATTCTATAACTCAAATCATAATTTATTCATAATCTCTCTACACCAAATGTTTTCATATTACTTTTTGTTAAAGATGAAACTTGTTGAAAAAGATATCTTTCCACTTCCTTGTTCTACTCCCATACTATCCCCTCACAGCTTAATCCATTACAACTTTACACTGCATTCACCTTTCTACCCATTTCCATCTGGATTCTGCTTCCACTCAACCACAGAGCTGCTCATCAAGATCACCAATGATGTTAGTTTTGTTATAGCTAATGGACATTTTTAGGTCCTTGCTGACACAAGCAGCAGTCAACACAGCTGACCAGACCCTCCTAAAACACTCTTTTCCCTTGGTTTCCTCCTAACTCTCTGGCCACTCTCTCAAGTTTCTTTACTGAGTTCTACTCTTCTACCATTAAAATGGATCCCTGGGCATTCTTTTCTCTTACTCTGCTCCTCTTCTAGAGAATTATATATCATTCTCTAAGGTAATCTTGAACCATCAGCTACTGGCCTAGACACTTCTTTCAAATCTCAAACTTACACCTAGACAGAAAAAAACCTGGGTTTACTTGCATGGATATGAGAACACTCTCAGGAAGGCTGAACTGAATTGCTGCAATTGATTAGGCTGAAACCTAATCAATTGGATTGTACTTTCCCTGGATAAAGTCTAAACAGAAAAGGGGGAACAGTGGAAATACATAAAATGAAGAATCACAATAGCATACAATGGCAGTCACCATCCAAAGTGGGAGAGGGAGCCTTGGCTAGCCAACTGCACTCCCTGGTCTGCTCTCCATATGGCATGTGGGAATAACCAAAGCTACCTTAGGAGACATTGCTTAAGATCAACTAACTCCATTCATACTAGTCCAAAAGTCAGCAAACAACCTTCTAAAACATTTGGCATTCCATGTGGCGGGGCTGTAGCTGAAGGGGGACGTGAAGTCTGTGGAGGCTTGTTTTGTCTTTCATGCTGAGACATAGCAAAACAGAGCTGTATGTCAATTTAATAAAAGTAGAAAACTGATGATGCAAAGTCATTGAGAATGAGAGGAGATAAAATTGAAGAATATGCACGACAACAAAACAGAAGGCAGGCTTTTTATCATACCATACTATTCTGCAGCTTTAGCCAACAGGTCAGTAAAGGCTATTATGAGAAAACCAGACTAAATTTTGCATTCACAAAGACAGGAATTCTCTAGAGATATTGTTAAATCAGATATGTGAAATAACAATTATCCTTAGATAACAACTTCAGGTTATATAGAGCTTTACTAGGTTCAGAGCGCTCTCACATTTAGAAATCATGTAATGTTGATTTTTGTTTGGATTCTAATTCTAACAAATTGATGTAAAAAGACACTTTTTGAGACAGCTGAAAAAATCTGACTACAAACTGGGTATTGGATTACTATAGTTAATTTTGTTACATGTTATAATGGTACTTTGTCGTTATGAAAAAAAAAGTCCATACATTTAGAGATACATGTGGAAATATGCAGGAGTAAAACATGATGCCCGAGTCTCGCTTTAAAATGGTTCAGCAAAAAAAGGGTGGATAAGCAAAACCAACGTGCCAAACCTTGGCAACTACTACTGAATCCGGGCAAAAGTATCTGGGGGAGGGGGATCCTTGTATAGTCTACTTTTCTATGTGTTTGACAGTTTTCGTAATAAAATTTTTTGAAAAATTTTGTTTCTGATTACAGGAAAAAAATAAGCCTTATTACAAGATTATTAACACACAACCAACTGGTTGTCCAGGTCTTTTTATCAGGGAGGAAAATGTCTATTCAACAATGGTGTCAACACTATTAAGGAGATACTCAAAGCTAATTTTTGAAATTCATTCAGAAGTATAGTTTTATATTATCCTATTCTCTCCAAAACAAAAGTTACTTCTTAGAAACTCCCTTCAAATTCCATGGCTTCTCCTTACCACCCACAACCCCAAGCAACTTTGTAGGGGGCAACCGTGATACTGTGCTGGGAGACGAGGGCAGAAGCAACCTTGGGCATTGGAGCACCTATCAAGAAAACTTCAAATTAGTTACACATATAAACATTGCTATAACTGATTCAAGCCTTTTCTTAATCCTTGATAAATTCTTAGGAAGACCTACAGATAAGACAATAAAAATAACTTTATATTAGTATAATATACTAATAGAATATACATTACTTATATTGTATAGATTTATATTGAATAATGTATATTCTATTAGTATATCAATATATTTAACATGTTTATTAATTACATATTTGATACTTATATTTAATCAACTATTAATATGATATAATTATAGTATTATATTGCTATATTAATGTTATTAATATATAAATATTAAATAAATGAAAGAATATTACCATGAAAAACTTAATACTGGCTGCATAAACATCTCCTCCTCTTTCCTTTGAAATATACTTTATATAAGAAAACTTTTTTAAAAACTCAAACCTACACTGAGAACTTGTATAGTATCAAAAAGGTCTAAGTAAGTAGGAGACATTTATTTTGAACTGTTATAGTGTAACCAATTAAAGAAATAAAACTAGCAGTGTTTTTATTCTTTTCACTAAACATAATTGACATTTATAATTTTAACAATGACAAAGCATCTTGATAATCAACTCTACTTACCCCAAAGGTTTTGGTTTGTGCGTATCTAAGGAGTGCAACTGACATCTCTTGTTCTTTTTACTTTTTGGAATAGCATCTATCATGTCATTTAATTTGGACCTGATTAAAAATAAACCATTAAAGGTTTGATTAATATTTATTTTTCTTTAAAATTTTCAAAATATTTACTGCCTTTTAGTGAGAAGTATATTTAAAGTATTAGAGACACAGCAGTTGCTTTAAAGTTTCTCAGCAAACAAATTCTAACCAAAAAGAGACTGTACACTAGTCTTCCCATTCCACTCTTAGTCTGTCAGAATATTAAGAGACCTGCTCTATTCAACACACGCTTTCCCCCAGACTGCATCTGTCTCATTCATCCCTGCATCTGCACTTTATCTAGCACTGTGCCTGGCACCCTATGACTGTTACTTGACTCTTAGCCACGTTCTCTCGTCCAAACATTATCTAAATACACACTATCCTTGATGAGGAGCCATCAACAGAAATTTTGTGCAAATACAGAAATGTGCACAATTAATATCCACACCCTACATCCAACTAATCAAGAAAGCCTGTAACTCTTTCATATATATCCAGAAACAAATCACTTCTCATTTCCCCCGCCATGACCACCTTTGCCCAATTCTCCTCTTTAGCTTAGTAAACTGCAAGAGCTAGCTTCCCAAATGATCCCCTTGCTTCCACCCTTTGCCTTTACATTCCAAGGCCTCATTCAGCAACGGGAGTGATCTTTTTAAAACAAAAATCTCATTATGTTTTTTCTGTGTTCAAAACCCTCCAAAGCTTCTTTTCTTAGGCAGAATAGAAATCCAAAGTCCCTACCATCACCTTTAAATAGGAAAGACCTAGGATGTGGCCTTCAGACCTCTTCTCTTTTCCTGTTTATACACACTTTGATGGCCATATCTCATCTCATCTCATGAATTTAAATTTTATATATATGTGTGTGTATGTATATTTCACATATATTTACATACTATATATCTAGTTTAAATACTGCATTTATAGTTTAAATACTATACATGGGGGGGGGGAACCAGAAAAACGGAATTTATTTATAAAAACTGTGTATTTATTCTTACATGTTTAAATTTCAGTCACCTTCAAAGTACTCTCCATTTGATGCAATATACCTACCAAGGCATTTTTTTCAACTGCTTGAATCAGTTTTTGAACTCATCAATTTTGATGCCTTTTAGTGCTTCTGCCATTTTTTGTTTCACCTCTTCCACATCACAAAATGTTTCCCTTTGAGGATTTTTTTGCCCAGGGAAGCATAAAAAAAAGTTGCTCGGGGCAAGATCGGGTGAATAGGGAGGGTGAGGGTCATGCTGTATTTGGTCAAAACCTGTTGAACACTCAGAGTGCAGTGTGGGCAGGTGTGCTCATAATTCACCCATCATGAAATGGGCATATGCATTTAAAGAGTGTCCGAAAGAAATTCACCAAATGCAGCCTCTCACAATAAGGCCAGCTAGTACACTGATAGAGATGGGTTCCTCCAACACTCACCTAGTGGAAGGCCTGTACCACAAAGGGACCACTCTCCAGAAGATAATTTCCGTTTTTTTCGGAGTTTCCCCTCATATATTGTATGTGTACATGCATGTAGAGTTTATATATACAGGGTCCACATACACATACACATAATATATGGATATATACACAAACGAATACATGCATATATAAACCCAAGAGATGAGATAAAAAACATCTTGACAGGTGTATTGCATCAAATGGAGAGTACTTTGAAGGTGACTGAAGTTTAAACATGTCAGAATACACAATTTTTATAAATAAATTCCATTTTGGTTCCATCCTCATCTAATACAGTATTTAAACAACACATATAGTATATAAATACATATAGATTATTACACACACACACACACACACACACACAACATTTAAACTGGAGATGAAATACGATCATCAAAGAGTATATACACAGGAAAACAGAACAGGTCTGACGGCCAAATCCTGGGACTTTCCTATTTAGAGGTGATGGTGGGGTCTGGCACAAATAATGTCCCTTGTTTACTATAAAATCTTTTATTACAAAATCATAACGCTGTAATTTTGTAACATAACAATATCACGCTCAAGTACACCATATAACATTTTAGGTGAAATGTTCAAATTCTGTCCATCTCATACAAGACATTCACATTCCCTACTTCAACCACACTCAAGCAAGCCTTACTTCTGCTGGACCCCGTATAGTGTAGTGTGTATATACGTGCCTGTGTGTGTGTATGTGCATCCTGAACACAAATTTACATCTCTAGGACAGAGCTGTCTGAACTCTACTTGGATGCCCAATTAGTACCTCAAACTTAACACATCCAAAAGTGAGCTCTGCAAAATTCTTCCTTCCAGTCTTATCCATCTCAGTAAAAGAAAACCATCTGTCCTAGCCTTTAGACCCCAAATCTGAGAATCATCCTTGATATCTTCCTCCATATCCTATCTGTCTAAAAATCCTGTTGGCTCATTCCTCAAAATCTATCCAAGATCCAACTATTCCTTTTTTTTTTTTTTTAAAGATTTTGTTTATGTTTAGAGAGAAGGGAAGAAAAGGAGAGAGGGAGAGAAACATCGATGCGCAAAAGAAACATTTATCAGTTGTCTCTTGCACACCCATAACTGGGAACCTGGCCCACAACCCAGGTATGTGCCATGACTAGGAATCGAACCAGCAACCTTTTGGTTCACAGGCCAGCCCTCAATCAACTGAGCCACACCAACCAGGGTAACCTATTTCTCATTACCTCTGTGGCCACCATACTGTTATATCTCACACGGATTATTAAACAGCCTGTTTCTCTGATCTTCCTCCATCCTTCCACTTATTCTCAGCAGAGATCAAAATAAGCCAAATTTCAAATCAGACCATGTCACTCTGCTCAAAACCCTCCCGTATCTTCCCACGTCACTCAGACTTTAAACAAAACAAAACAAAACAAAACCTTCAGGATGGCTCTATGTAATTGGGCTTTTTACTATTCCTCTGACATTTTTTATTACTCTTCCTTTCATCCATCTAACTCCAACCACAATGGCTTCCTTGCTATTCTTCAAACATGCCAGGAGAACTCCAGCATCTGAACCTTTACGCCGCTACTTCTCCACCTTCCCTCAGGTATCTACATGGTTCATTCCGTTCAAGTCTATATTCAATGTTATTTTATCAGATGCATTCCTTAACCATCCTTCATATTAATTCTACCCACTCATTCTCTATCTCCCTTACTGATTTTTCTCTGTAATATCATACCTGACAAATTATGTATTTGCTTATGTCCTGCCTCTCCCCACAGGAAAACAGAAATTTTATAGTTACCGGCACGTATAAAATTACTGAATGTGAAATCAAGCTTTGTCCCAATCGAATTTAGAATAAAATCTCCCACTGTCACCAAGTTTAAAAATTTAACAAACCATTTTTTTCTAATTGATTATACTTACCCATGTACATAAAATAATGTATAAAGTTTCTTAGCATCAGTCATACAGCTTCGAGTTACAGATAGGACTCCCTTGGGCCCTATTGTCAAGGGTTCAAGGGCGGGATTTCCAGACTCTACAAGCTGGGAAAAGAGGCGCTCCACACTGCGACGACAACCAACACAAGGGACAAGCTGAGAAAGTGCACTCAAGACTTCACGTGATGTCACCACCATGGCAATACTTAGATCTTGCTGCTTAAGCATACTGTGTCGCTGTGAGAAAGAAAGAAAAATGAAGAGTCCTTAAAAAATACATAAAATTATTCTTCCACTACTATTTTTGGTTCCCATCCTTGGGCATTAAGTACAACCAAGAAAAGGCTAGCCATTTCTATCTCCAACTGAGACACAAAGTCAACGTAGCCAGTCTTGTCCATGCTATACTGAGTTTGCTGCAGGTAACGCCCTGTTCTAGAATCTAGGATATAAAAAGCTCTGCTTAGAATGTGCCTCGGCATAGCAAAACGAAGCCCTGCATCTGGAAATTTAGTGCTTATTCAGTGCATATTAAACTTAGTAGTCTTGCTTACAATTAAAAAAAGAAAAAATAATAAAGACACAATACAAATTTACCATGTCTTCTCAACTTTAACAACATACTACGTTTAACTACAGGAGTCAAGTTAGGATGGTGATCAGGGAAAGCAGCAAATCCTCAACCTGGAGGTATAGACAGGTGTGTTATGATTAGTGGGCAGAAACAATGCCTATCTTACCTATGTAGGAGGAGCCTGCAATGAGTGACTACTGCTGGTGCACATGAATGCTATCTGTTGGTTATGACAAGGTAAAAAAATGACTGAGAACCACAGCTTTAGAGAAATGGGCAAAACTCTAGTAAATAACTTCTACCTGGATGGCGTTACAGTTATACTACAAGTAACATCCCCAGCTTTACTAAAAACAGATAACGCCCAAAATGGATTTTTCTCATATTTACTATGTCCATATCCATTGAAAGTTTTCTCCCAAAGCAGAAACAGAATTCTGAAGTAACAATTTATTCTCCATTATCTTAATTATATAAAATATATTATAAAGTACCACATTGCATAAGAATTAAATAAAAATCAGAAAGATCACAACACAGAAGTTAATTCTTTTTTTTACTGGAATAAAACAATTACTATAGAAGAAAACCAACAAGGGCTCAATGAAAAGTTGTATACCTTATCTTCAAAAAATAGGAAAGATGACCTGGTGAAATTAAAAGCCTTGCAGACATGTAAAATGATAACACATTGCAACCAAATCTCTTTCACATGACAGGTCATAAATATATTCACTGTAGCAACAATAAAAGAAAGCAAGTTTAGTGTGATCTTTAGACCTAGAGAGCCTTAGGCAAAACAAAATTAATACTTAGAGCTAAAATGTTCAACAACCCTTTAAAATACACACACAAACACACACACAATTTAAAATATTGAGTCTTAAAACTATTACCTGAATGAACTGCTTTAGTTGTGCACCATTATTCTGATGCCCATCGAGATTTAACACATTGTCAGGAAATTCCATCACCATCTTAATATGCAAAAGAATAAAAATCAATTATTTTATCTTACTTGAACACATGTTACAGACTATTTTACAAACTCTTAGGACAGAAATAGACTCCCAAAGCCAGATCCCCCTACCTGACGTCCTGCCCCATGCCAAACAAATTAAAAAAAAAAAAAAAAAAAAAAGGAAAATCCAAGTTACACAAGTTTCTAAAGCCAGAGACAGTATAGGCATTAAGGGGCAAGAACACTGGTTAGGCAGACATGAGTTCAAGCCCCAACTCGCGTGTGCGCACACGCGCACGCTCTCTCTCTGACGCGCGCGCGCTCTCTCTCTGTCATCTATGTCATAACTCTGGGCAAGTTATTTAACCTATGTGATTTTCAGCTTCCTCATTTTTAAAATGAGATTACACAATAATTTTTAGCATCTTTCACACAGTACGTTGTGAGGATTAAGTTATATTTAAATTATTTGTTGTGGTGGCCAATAATAGCATTTAATAAATGAAATAACCTGAAACTTTACATTAAATACCCTGATATTTCAAATTATTTCTCTTAACTATGGACTACAATAAATCTTATAATGTAAATGATCATACAGAAATGAGAAGTACTCTGTACTGGCACATAGTAAATGTTTGCTCCAATTATAAACAAAAAGGATACACTAAGATATTTATTCAACTACCAAAATTCACTACCAGAGGAAGAGAAATAGAAAAAAGCTTAAGGCTGTTTCAAGATGTCAGATAATGGGGAATTAGTATTTAACACATTTCACTGATCTGTGACAGTACTGATATTAAGAAGTACCATAGTTATGTATCACTAAGAGCAAGCTATTATAACCAGTCTATCACCAAGTGAAAGGAGCAACCCAATTTCAGATATTAAAAAATATGAAGAAAAAGTTTGTCTTCAAAACAATGAAATAAAGTAACACATTTATATCTCAATTAAAACATTGTTAAAGGTATCAAACATACTGTGCTAGAACAAACTTCTATTTCCTGATACATGATCCACAAACTCCTACATACCCAAAGAGTGAAGTCAGGTTTGAAGAGACCCATTTGAGGCAAAAACAAAACACTAAGAAACCCACTTGAATGTGATCTTAAAAAGATTCCTCCCTTCACCAACCAGCACCACAAAGGCCTGATTCTTTAATGCAGCTGACCATTCTTTTCCCTCCACATTAGAAAAGAGCCTTAAAAATTACCTGTTCTAACAATAAACTGAGGACTGAACACCTAAGACAAATATAAGCAAGATACATATAAAAGATATATCTTTTCTCGATCTGATAAGGTAGAAATACTGAATATGTGAAGTAGAGAGACAAAGTGATGCTAAGGATGGACAATGATGCAAATAATCCAGAGGGTTTGGCTGTAATTTCAAAGAACCAAAACACATGTGTATGATTCAAATGTCTGTCTGTGTGTATTTTCTTAGAGAAAAAAGCAAATAGATAAGATATTAAATGACTATCTCTAGGCAGAGAAGGTAGATGACCTTTTTATGTGTTCACATCTTTGTGAAACTTAATACAATGCACATACACACAATACTCACTACTGAGGGGAAACATTAAGTGTTCTTTGCTCCCAATTCTATATACATTATGCCATGTTCAGAGACCTGCTTTCATCTCAATAACTTTTACTGTTCTGGAAGTCTCCTCTTCCATACATACAGGCTATATGTCCAAATCTCAGTTTAAACTCAATTGTCCAATTTTCAGGTTTATCGACTTCTATTTTTCCCTCTCATAGTTTTCTTATAAATATTTTCAAAGAGTGGTGATAATAATAAAGATATTTAATGTAGCTTCATATATATAAAGCATTGTTCTAAATATTTTCTTTTATTAACTTTACCAGCAGTATAAAGTAAAACTGGTCACTAGTCCACCTTAATAATGTAGCTCTAAATGAACTGGTGAGGATGACTGAAATAAATGGGAAAAGCATCTAATGATCCATACTGCCCATAGTGTTTACCATATTTAACTCAAAATAAAGGAAAAAACCCCACAGTAATTCTAGTATTAGATATCCTGACTCATAAAAACTGATAAAAGAATAAAAATAGTTAATAGCATAATTAACTCACATTGTTTTCTGGAATCACTGCATGGTTTAAAACACAAATAAATGTAATTGTCAAGTCATAAAAAAAGGTATTGAAATAAACATTTATTTATTTTTAGAGAGAGAGGAAGGGAGAAAGAAAAACGTGGATTTGTTGTTCTACTTATTTATGCATTCACTGTTTGTTCCTTGTTTGTGCCTGACCAGGATGGAACCCAAAACCTTGGTGTTACAGGGGACAACACTCTAACCAACTGAGCCACCCGGCCAGGGTTGAAAGATACACTTAAGCCATGTAACTCAACAAAACACTGCAAATCACTCCAAATCTACCACTTAAGCAATTAACACCTTGATTTGCATTTTCACTTGCTTGATACAAAAATACACCATTTCACCACATATCAATTACTACTACAAAGAAAATTAATAAAATTACTTACACTATTTGAAAATCAAAACTCTCAATTTATGAAATATTCAAAGCATATGCCTTATTTAACCAAATCAAAGTCTGTCCCACCTGATTCACAGTTGAAATCCTAAATTCTGACTCTGTATAAGTGAACAACTATGTTTTTCTTTTTTAATAATTAAAGCAGAAGTCAAAAAATACACCTAATGTATTAAGACCTGCTAGCTGACCTTTAAAATACATATTTATATTTTAGCTCTTTAGTCTCAGCCATGGCCGAAGCGAGATGTCAAAGGGAGATGTTGAAGAGGACGTGGCCGTCATCATTCAGCAAGCGCCGCACATGCTGTGCCACTACTGTGGCTTGACGGCCTACTGCCTTCGGAAGCCCACGAGCAGCAAGTGCAGATACCCGACCAAGCAGAAGAGGAAGTATAACTGCAGTGCCAAGGCTAAACAATGAAACACCACCGGGACTGGTCCCATGAGGCACCTAAAAATTTTATACCACAGATTCAGGCATGGAGCGCATGAACAACATCTAAACCTAAAAGAGTAGTTGTTGCAGCATCTAGTTCATCTTAAGGATTTCAACAATTAGTCATTCAATAAAACAACATAAAATGCAAAATATATTTATATATGTATACACACGTAACATAGTGAATAATGCCTGCTTTAGGAATCCTTTTTTAAAAAATCAAGGGTTAAAATTTTTAAAAAAGAAAACCTTCATTTCAGATCATTTCATTTTCACCTAACTAGTATTGATAGATGTCAAAATCAGATCTATTACTGTGTCTTTCCTAGGTTTTCATTGGCGTGGATAATACTAAATTTTCTCTTGTACTTACTCTACATTCACAATAAATACCCTGTCCTTGCCTTTCAAACACTTAGGACAATGGATTTTTTACCTTGCAGTTTGCTGGCCAGTCACTACTATATGCTCATCATTGAGAGATGACAATAAGGAAAAGGAAGAAAAGGGAAACAAAGAGAATAGATGCACTATTTTTTTCTCCATTCTTTAAAACCACTTCCTTGACTTAATATTCAGATTCTAGGTTACCTGAAGGAAGACAGTCATGTAAAGTATTTCAGGTATGGTTTCACAGAGGAATCATTAGTGTTAGGCTTCATGATGAGGCTGCCTATCCTCACCCAGCCAAAAATACGTAGAACAAGTCACTGTCCTGCAATTACTGCTTTATAAAGTTTATTGACTCCATTACCCACGTTCACTCTTAAGTATCGGGCCTGGTTTCTCCTGACCACAAATAATCTGTTTTTTTCTGTTTTAGAGCATTCTCATAAGCTATAACCAACAATATCAAGTTTGTATTTATTGAAAATCACTGTCACTTTAGTTTCGTTGTTTTTTTTTTTTTTTACTTCTTTGTCCTCACAGCTATTTACAATATCTATCGCCTTTAGTAAAATTATGTAATAAAGAGTTGAAAGAAAACATTACATACTAAAATTTTAACAAATGCTAAACACCCAATCCCCAAGCGGACATGCCAGTATTTATTAACTATTTATTATCCTTTTAAAGTCTCAATTAAAAACACTTATCAGAGTTTCTAGTCCATTCAGATTGGTGTGAGTTAGGAGGATGAACTGCGTTCCCAAGTTTTGTAGCAATTTGACAGTATGTATCAAGAACATTTAAAAAGGTTCTTATCCTTTGATTCAATGATTGTACTTCTAAAAGCTCAAGAAAAATAATGCAAATATTTATGCATTATTTTTATTCTTATAATATTATTTACAGAAAAATGTAGAACCACCTCTATGTCCAACAAGGAATGATTAAATTATGAAATCTCACAACAAAGTATTACATGGCTATTAAAGCTGCTTAACAAGAGAAAATGTTCTCAAAGTTACACTTAGTGAAAAAAGGCAAGATATAAAAAGTTGAGAATGCATCTCAACTCTGGATCTATGTGTCTATGACTGGAATTACATCACATGCTGCTATATCCTGTTATTTCTGATTAAAAATAATTTGTTTTCCTTGTTGTGTGGTTATTTTTCAAGATTATTAGATAATGAATACACTTTTACTCTAAAAGAACTCAAAATTGTCATTTTTCAAAGATGTCTCTAAAGTAGTACGTTTCCATCCACCTGCTATTTTATAGTTCTATTAACACTGAAAAGCATTTTGGCCACACAACATGCCACTTTCCTAAATATTCCTCCAGCTTACTTATTTGGGATTTTCTCAAATACACCTACATAAACATTGTACTCAAGTATTCAAACCCACTGAACTACCACAAGTCTTCTAAATGTGGACACAACCTATCACATAAAGAAGAAGACTACTTCCTCACATACAAGCTTCTTAATTTCATTTTACAAATACAATTTAAATCGACCAGTTATAAGGGGAAAAAAGAAAAACAAAAAGCAAAAAACAAAACAAAGACATAAATTAGCCAGTTCAAGGCTAAGGTTTCAGCTTCTCTTACTAAAATTATAAACATTTGTAGCTGACTGTAAACATCACTAGACTTAACATCTAAGAGCTAACAAGATTGTAAGACTACTGGAAATAAAGATAACACAATGTTTTCTCCATGCCTTACCTATGGACTCTAGAAACAAAGACCGAATCAAATGTTAACTTTAGGGATACACTGCTGTCAAACTATCAATGGACCATGGCAGAGCAAAACCTCGGTTTTTCCTTCCCTCTTCCCCAACAGGTGCTTGTTTTGCATTTTTCCTTTAAGTAGTATTTGGTAAAATGGTTCTGAAAGAAACTTGTTTCCCTACTTATAATGCATGTTGACAAGAATTTTGACTAACCAGCATTCAATGACTGAGTATAAGTCCCAAGACAAAGCAATAAATAGTCCTACTCATTCCCTATGTATAAAAACCCTTCCGAAGCAAAGAAAAACTGCACCTCTTCCTAAATAAAATGCTATTTTAACACATTTAAATTACGTGAGCCTAAATTTTATTTGCCTTGGTCAGAAGTGCACAATGCAATAAAAGCAAAACTCAACCACCAAGTTCAGTCCAGTATCAACTTCTCTGGAGAATTAAGTATAATAATATATCACAGTGCAAGATCATATCTTTTTCTACAGAAAATTTTGGAAACTAGTATCATTGTACAGAGAATAGAGTATAAAAACACCCCAAAATTTTGCTATTTTAATGTGCTTCATAACAGATATATCAATGCTGCATTAAAGGTAGTTTATATGGTCATAGGAAAGAAGTGTCTATTAAAATGTTGTGAATACTCAAATTTATGTGAATTTCCCCTATGCTTTGATATTATACACTCAATAGTAATCTTATGTCCAAACCCAAAGGATTTTTTTTTTTAATTCAAAGGCATTCTGGGACAATAAACATAAGAGGTTGATATGTGCTCCAGAAAAGTGTGCTATAGGGGGAGAGAAGAAAGAAATTATGGACAGATGAACTCATAAGGTGTTTTCAAACTGAGAAATGCACCATTTAATCTGATCAGAGTGCTTTTTTTTTTAACTACTTAAAACACAAGTCCAATATACTTTTAATGCAAAAAGTGCAAACATCACCAAGGCAATTCAAGTATTTTCTAATACATCAACACAAATTCTCTTACAGGCCAAATCATTCTATCCTTTTTCCACGAAAAAAAAAATCATCAGGTTATTACAGATGCTTTCCCTTAAAAAGTTCTAACAAACTAAGTCATTCACGAGCTCTTCCAATCCTTTTAAAAGTACTGCAGCTCAATCGAGCCTTAACTGAGACTGGTAGACAGAAAGGCAGAGTGACATCTCTACAATGACTTGCATTTTATATAAAATTTGGAAAAAAGATATTTGCAAAAAACAAAAACAAACAAACAAACTAGGAACAAAACAGATCAACTGCCTTAAAAAAGCCAAAAAGGAGAAAATGAAGAGACTTAGTTACACCTTTTCAAAATAGGCAAATAGGCTTCAGCATCATCAAAATAGATTTCAAAAGATATTATGAATAGAGTCATTTCATTTCTTAGGAAATAGTGGCAAGTAACTGCACTCATTTCCTGTTCAGATTCAATTCAAATTTCTGCCATTTCCTCTTAAAGGAAATACTACAGCAACACAGGGCAGAGGGTCTGTAATCCTGTACTACCACCAAATCTAATAAGGGAAACTACCAAGAACTGAGTTTTGACATTCGAGATAAATGATCAGTTTTTTTATAATGCTCTTAACATTCAATACTTTTGCTTCCTTAAAAAAGAAATGTCTACCAGTGAACTAAAGAATAACTAATGCCAAGAAAGCCCATTTTGAAGAGTCATGGCCTAGCAGTAAAATCATTTCTAAGAGTTTTAATGTACTAGACAATACGAGACTGTTTACAACGAAATCAAATCATTTTAGTGGAATTTTTACTGTGCAAGAGCATGTCACTGTACCCTCAGTAATTACGCTATGTAGAGAGAGCTGTGATATTAAGATAGACAGTATACAGATAGCAGTGTAGCTGCGACACTTCCAGATAATTAAGCCTCCCCGAGGGTAGGCGGTTTCTGTAAGGTATAGGCCCTAAACACCCAAGATCCTTCAACCCCTCTCCGAAGCGCGTGCTTTGGCAAAAGCAGCGTCCCCTAAAGGGGAAGGGTAAAGGAAAAACGATTCAAAAAGGAAGGATAGCTTAGGGAGAGGGGCTCAAAGTGCATACGGGGCGCCAGGGGCCCCGCACAGACTACCAAGAGACCCACTGCAAAGGCGAGTTTGTGGGGCCTGCCGGAGAAAAGGCCTCGCCTAGGAGTTGCAACACACTCTTTCTCCAGTGCGCAGCGCTCGGCCTGGGGGAGGGGGAGGAGGAAAACAGCTGCCAGGGGAGCGGCGAGCCCGGCCCGGCCCGCTCACCGTGAGGGTGTCGTCTATGTAGAGGGGAATCTGCCTCCTCTCGAAGGGGAACTCCTCTTCCCCGTCCCTGCACACCGCCACCAGTCGCGCCATCGTCCCCGACGCTGCCGTTGCCACCGTCACCACCTCCTCCCAGCTGCTGCTGCCGCCGCCGCTGCTCCTGCTGCTGCCGCCTCCTCCCAACTCCTGCCTGCAACAGCCAAACGCCGCGAGCTTCAGCACCCGCCGCCGCGCAGCACATTCGCCACGGGGCGGGGGAGGGAGAAAGGCAGAAGGGGACCCTTGAGTGGAGCTGCGTTTCCCATCACCCGATTCCACACGCGCTCAGCCAATCAGCGCCGAGCGAGGACGGGACCCGCCCCCTCGCTCCGCTTTCCCTCCCCACCCCCCACCGCGGCCAGTCTCCAGTCAGGGTCCAAAGGAGAGGCGGAAGGGACCCGGCGGCCCGAGGGCTTCCCCAGCCCGTCACTGGAGTCCCGGCTCCAGGACCTCACCCCAAGCCTCACCTCCACAACCCACTGCCCGCTTCCGCCGCCGGGGAGCCCGTAGCTGACCCCTTTCTCCCCCTTTCTTGGAGCGCCCCGCCCAGTCAGTCCCCTGGGCTGCAGTTGCCCAGCGCGACCCCGCCCCTGGGAGGGGTCGACCCCGCCTCGGCTCTGCGGAGGCCAAGTAGGGTGGCTCAGACCCTTTCCTCACCGTTCTCAGAGGAGACCTCTCGGCTCCGACCTCCGTTTTCGTGGTCGCCTCCCTGGCCCCCACTTTTGCTCCCCGTTACCGGCTGACGAGGCCCGCGTCAGGACCGGCCTGGGCGGGAGTGCGGCGCCGAATGCCGTTTCCTCTCCGGGATCAGCCGCTCGCGCCACGGGGAGTGGGGGAGGGAGGGCGGTGGACTTGGAGAGGGTGGGGCAAGGAGGGGCGGAGAACGTCGGGCGGGGCTCCGCCTCCTCTCGCGAGACTGTAGACCGCCCCCGCCAGGTCGCTTCTTTCAAAATCCTAGCGACGGGGGTGGGGTTCCACCCAGGTCTCCTGGGGCCGAATGATCGGGACCCTACCCGAGTCTAGCTGCTCAAATAAATTAGAAACAGGGCTGCTAAGAATGACTGAGTAGACCTAAACCTCAGGCCCCTGACGCGCGGGCCTGGAAACCGCTTTCTCGAGGGCCGAGGGGCAAAGGGAGCCAAGCCGAGCTGAGTCAGGACCCACCCGAGAGCCGAGGCCCAGTGAGGACCTAGGTAAGTGGGAAGGCGCTGAGGCTTCCGAAGGCAGTGACAGCCAAAGGCGGGAGTAAGAGAATCGGGGACGAGCCTATGAGGGGTAAGAAATAAACTCTGGCCTTGGTTTCCAGGTACTTGACGTCGCTTTCCCAGACACTCCGATTAACCAGGAGCCGGTCGCAACACTGCTTCCCAAACTAAGACTGCGTTGGGATCCCGCCAAGGAGGCAATTCTTAAGTGCTGACAGGTTTTTTTGTTGTTGTTGTTGTTTTACACTTACAGGCAATTAAAAGACTGATGATGCTGAAGCCTATTTGCCTATTTTGAAAAGGTGTGTGTAGTGTGGCTTGTGTATGCGCCCTAGCAGAGAAACTTCTTGGGCCGCGTTAATGTTAACTTAGGCACTCAGAATACTAGTTCCCTTGGGCAAAATACTGGCGCTGGCCAAAGGCCCTTCCCTCTCACCCTCTCCTAAGTAGCGGAGCTGCTCTAAAAACAATTCATCTACACTCGCGTGCCACCACGTGCTCAGTTCTTACCTCGAAGACTTGGAAAGCCTGTTGTAAACTAATTGTTGGGAAGTGTTTTGCCTAGGGAAAGTATGCCGATTTTAAGGATAAATCCATTTGCTGCTCTTCCAAATAACTAATCTTGATAACAGATCTGTATTTCCTGGAAGAATAGGCTAGATCTGTGATACTGACCTTTAAAAAATATTTTGGTTGCCCAGGCCAGGTAGGTAGCTAAGGTGGTTGGAGCATCATCCTGATGAGCCAGGGTTGCGGGTTCGATCCCTGATCAGGGTACATGGAGGAAACAACCAATGAATGCCTGAACAGGTGAAACTGTAGGTCGATGTTTCTCTTTTCCTTTCCCTCTTTCAAGCCCTCTCCTTCCCTCTCCCTCTCCAATCCCTTTCCGTCTTCCTCTCAAAAAAAAAAAAAAAATTAAAAATATTTTGGTCACTATATGCAGTCTTAGAGATTCACATAGTGCATCCTTAGCCATGTTGACAAGATGTTGTGTGGTCACTGGTCACTGTTAGGGTGGGAGAACCATTGTTAAGTCCCAAAACTGTGATTATCCAGTAAGTATTTATGTCTTTTCACCATGTTAGGAGAGCAAAACAGTGTGGTTGTTAGCTTAAATGCAGTGAGCATCTAGGATGTGCATGCAGCTTTTGACAGGTAAGACTACATAGCCACAATTTGGACATTTTTAGAGAATCCTGTGTTATGTAAAAACACTCCTAGGAAAAAAGAGTAGTGTGGTTTTTAAGATCTAAAGATGCTCCTATAAAGACTTGATTAATATGACTACTTTATGCCTTTAAAAAAATTTTTGTTGATTTGAGAGAGAGAAACATCAATTTGTTCTTCCACTTATTTGTGCACTCATTGGTTGCTTCTTGTGTGTGCTCTGACCAAGGGATGAAAGCCTCAATGTTGGCATATTGGGATGACCCTCTAACCAACGGAGACCCAGCCAAGGCTACCTTTAAAACTTTTTTTGGATTATGGTTAGTAAAGGACATTGAAAATAGCAAGCTCAATATATAGGTGCTAATTTTAATAACTTTTGTTAACTGTGTACATACTGGTAATAGCAAAGAACAGTATTTAAATGGGGATTTAAATCCAAGTTATAAGAGGCTTTAAAATCCAAATATAAAACATAAGGAAACCACAGCCATTCCTTTCCATCCGAGATTACTTTACTTGATTTGGATATGTTCTTTATGTCACTGAGCACAATGCTTACTTACTATCTTTGGACAATGTTTCACATACTGTAGGTATTCAATAAATATAAGGCTAAAAATGTGGATAATTTGCCAGATTACTTGCTCTTTCTCAAGAAGGTAAGGAGATAGCCTGGGTGCTACAAATATGATAAAATCATTATAAAACCATATTGAGGGAAAATGTTTAGAAAATTATTTCACTGCAAAACAATTTCTAGAAGTTTTAACTATGTATCTTAGTTTTACAGCAGGTACTCATTTTTCTTTTTCAAAATTTTTTAAAAGATTTTTTTTTTTTTTTAGAGAGGGGAAGGGAGAAAGGGAGAGAAACATCAATCCATTGCACCTTGCTTGCCCCCAACCTGGGACCTGGCCTACAACCCAGGCACGTGCCCTGACTGGGAATTGAGCAGCGCGACCCTTAGGTTCACAGGACAATGCTCAGCCCACTGAGCCACACCAGTAAGGGCTCATTTTTATTAATATTTTCACTGTTTATCTTCAGTTATAAGCAGTAGTGCTGCCCCAGATATTTTATGACTAAGTATCTGCCTTTAGAGAGCTTACCTCTAATTGACAAAATAAGTCATTAGTATATTAAAAAACAAAACAGTTGTTGCTTATTTTTAAGTTTCAATATTGGTATTGCGAAGGTCAAGGTTGAAGGATTTGAAATGTCAGGAAGGAGAAAGCAATTAACAGTGGAGGACATTTTGCTGTTACCTAATAAAGAACACTTGAGCCCTGGCTGGTGTGGCTCAGTGGCTTGAGCGTCAGCCTGGGAACCAAAGGGTCACTGGTTCAATTCCTAGTGCAGAGCACACGTCTGGGTTGCAGGCCAGGTCCCGGGTAAGGGGTGTGTGAGATGCAACCACACATTGGTATTTCTCTCCCTTTCTCTCCTCCCCTCTCTTAAAATAAAATAAAATGCAAAAAAATATTTTAAAAAAAGAACACTTGACATGATAGTGATAAATTACCAGCAAAATGCCGTTATTTTTCTTCTTATACAGGTCCATGATGTGTGAGGGCTAGCTACAAAAATCAGGTATAAATGACATGACTATTTTCCAAGCTACCTAGTTTTAAGAGAAATGAAGAGTACTGATATATTCCTTGTTATTTACCTTTATAGACTATACATAAACTCCTAGGGATCAAAGTATGTTTTTGTATGATTTATACAACATGGATATACAATAAAAATAAAGCTGGTTGTCATGTTCTAAATATAGAGCTATCCATACGTATGTGGTAGATATCGCCAGTTTATAATTGTGTAAAATGAAAGTCATGGGAATGGCTTTCTGAAGCTCATAGGATAAGTCTTAGACCAGATAATATTCTTTTTTCTTCTCTTTCTCTCCCTTCTCTGTCCTCAAATATTGATACTTGAAAAGAAAGTTGAGTTAATCATAATTGTCACTTTATTAACCATGTTGTTTTATGTGGTAAAATCAACAGCAGAATGCTATTTAAATTACATGGTTGTCCAAAACTGTAAATTGGGTTTTCTTTTTCATGAGTTAAGAGTGGGAAATTGTTGTCTATCAAAAATAGAGACACATTTTCCCCACTTACATGTTTTTAAAGGGAAAATAATGTCTGCAAGATAAAATGTAAGCCCCTTGAAGGTTGGGACTTTGTCTCATTTTCTGTCGTCTCCCTAGCACCAACTTGTACCCGGCACATTGGAGCTCAATAAATCTTTGTTGAATGGTCTCTTTCTCTTCTGTAAGGTACAGTCAAGTCAAAATAGTCTTTTTTACTAATTCTTATGAATTCTATTTCATTAGCTTTCTTTTAAATGAATATCATAATTGGAGGTGGAAAACACATAGTACACTTTGTCCTTTTAAGTCATGATTCAGTATGTGTAATTGTGAGACATAAACTTACCGAGATTTATGACCTAGAAAAGGATGAAGGAGCACTTACTGACAAGCAACAGTAGACCAGTTAGACCACATGTTCATTAAGTCATCAAATTACCTACTTTAAATTACCTTTATTTAAAGGAGGGCTGAGAATATAGAAGGCCCCGCAGGCCTCCTCTGAAGGCTTCGAACAGATAAACTGTGGGCAATTAGCACTGTCAGAGCAGAAGACGGATCACCTTTTCTAGTCATGCTTAGTTCACATACTCATAGTCTTACTAAATTTCAAAAGTATTCCTTTTCATTGAAAATAAAACCTAATTTTTGTTCTTACAGCTGTATAACCAACATACGGATTTGAGGACAGTTCCTTTCAGTAATAGATTACCTCCAAATATAATGTAATTAGCAAGTATGTAATGGCACATAAATACTAAATTAGCCATCATCAATGTAACAAACTGAAGTAAATTAGAATAGTCATTAACAAATCAGGGAATAAAATTTTGAATTAATTTAGAGGCAACTAAGACAAACAGCAAATCTACAATTTAATGTTAGAGGAGGTTCTGCCTAATCCAGATTGCTTACCAAATATAAAATTAACTTCAACATCTTATCCTTGTCAGTACAATAATCAGATTTTTACTTGAAAACAATGGACTATAGAAAGGCAGATTTTAATTTTTTTTCTTTTTAAAGTTTTTCAAGTACAGTTTACATCCGGTATTATTTTGTATTAGTTTCAGGTGTACAGCATAGCTTGACTTTTTCACCCACTTTAAACAGTACACAAGGAATATTAGAATTGGAAACAAACTTTTTTGTTTTAGCCCCAGCTAGGTAGCTGTTTGTTCGAGCATTGTCCAGATAGCCCAAGGTTGCCAGTTTGATCCCTGATAAGGCAACAGGAATCAATGAATGCACAAATAAGTGGAACAACAAAGTGATGTTTCTCTCGCCTTCTCTATAATCAATTAAAATTTATTTTGCTTTTTAAATCTTAGGTTTCAAACAGCAGCTTCAAAGCTCTGCTTAGTGTTTTTAAAAGCCTCAAGCTCTGTAGGATGTTTAAACTTTGTATAGCTATGGTTTTCAAAAAATCTTTTTGATTGATCTTAGGGTTGCGGAGGAAGGGAAGCATTGATTTGTTCTACTTGTTTATGTATTTATTGATTGATTCTTGTGTGTGCCCTGGCCAGGGCTTGAGCCCACAACCTTGGCCTATCAGGACAATGCTCCAACCAGCTGAGCTACTTGGCCAGGGCCTAAGTGGTCATAGCTTTGCTGTTAGACTAGGTACTTGATGATTTTCTCACTGGTTCTCTTCTCCCTTAACATGGTAGGCAAGGCACACCTGTTAGGACCCCTGCCTGCCTCCCCAGCTCATTACTCTTTTTCTGAGCTCATGCCTTATTTCCACCATGTGCTAGGTGCCCTCCTAACTCAGGATCTTTGCTGAAGGATTCATACTTCCTAGATTGCTCTCTGCTATTTATCCCTTCTCTTACAGCACTTGGCCCCCCACGCCCTACACACAAACAGCAGCTCATCCTACCCATCAGCTGTGGCTCAAAATAAATACCATCTGTGGGGAAAATTTTCTTGACTCTACCAGGTCACTTCTTGATTTGCCACTTGGCAACCTATATTTTATGACAACACAATTTGTAACAGTTGTTTAATGTGTTCCTCTCACTAGAGTGCAAGCTCTAAGATACCAGGAGCTTTTAGTATTTAGTAGGTTAAAAAAATGAATTAGTCCAAAGTTAGCCCTGCTAACTACATCACAAAATTCTTATCTATTCTTTGGAGCATTTAACTGTTTCCTGACTTTATATGTATGTGTATTTGATTTTAAACACTTGCTTTCTCATTTTTAGGCTTTTTTAAAGATTAAAATTGAAGAGTAAAGAATTGTTCCCAATTCCACAATTCAGTTTTAATGTAAATAGTATAAAATACAAACGATAAAAAATACAGAATGGTGTAAAGTGATATAGAGTAAAAACCTTTCTCCCACCCTCCAAACTTCCAGTGTCACAACTATAAATGCAATTCCTTTAAAATACTGAAATTTAATATCCTAACGAGTCACAACGCTCTATTAGCTCGTGAGACATTAAAATATTAAGCCTATTATTATAGAGAAGGATTGAAACTCATAATAAAATATAGTTAACAATGGATTGCCAAAAACCCATTTTCTTCACATTTATTCTTCCTTATTAATAGCTCACACACATCCAACCCCTTTTGATCACCAAAATTTTATAGTCTTATCTTGCAAGTGTAGCATATATATAATTAAACAGTTGGTAAACATATAGAGATAGAGTACAAATAAGCCCCACAAGGTACTGCTATGCAATGTATCTACCAACAGGTTGATTAGGCCAGTTGTTACATTCGACAGCAAGAAAAAAATCAACTGGTTTCTGTTTATAGCAGTAATTAAACAAAGACTGGGTTTCTTTCTTTCAGCTTCAGAGACTACAGCTTCTAAATGCTTTTTATTTGTAGCTGGAGACTGGATAAGTTTCCAAGAACATGGTACTAGAGCCCCTTGAATTAGAAATTTGGCAAAACTCAAAATTATATCACACAGTAATAAACTACTAAGAAGGATCAGGCTAGAAGCAACTATCCAAATACAAAAGGCTAAATTGGCCATTCTTCGAGATACTTTTTCTACCTTTACCTGAATTATGTAAAGGGATACAAAGAGGCTAATAGCTGTCAGTAGGACACAACATGCTACTTTTATCCAGTCTTTGATATGTGATCTTTTTTTAAGCATGTAAGACCCTGTTTGGACACCAGCCATGTGTATTGCCACATACCCCAAGGTAGACATTATTCCTTCTCGGTTGGCATTTAATAAACCAACCCTTGTGCCACTGCCATCAGTGCCATACAAAATTAACTTTTTCAAAGGGGTAAGGTCAAGGGCTAGCTGGTATAATACAGTAATACTGACAGCCACAACCCAGGATTTACTTGCGGGGAAAAAAGTCAAAAGCAGTGATGTTACCAGTTTCACAACTACTAAGGTAAAGAAAAAGTTCCAATGAACTCCATACTCAGTTAAATGTTCCTGATAGCCTATGGATTTTATAATGATTAATCGTCCTATTCCTAGGAAGACTAATGGCCAAACAGAGTACAAGGCCTTTGTAAAATAATAAAATTTGGACCCTTCCATACATTTTTTCCTAATCTCTGGACAAACCATTGCAGTCCCAAAAACAAAGCCTCCTACTCCAAAATCCATTGCTCCTGTGCCATAGAGCTCAGCTTTGGCAAATCGTCTGGGAAAAAGTGGGAAGTCCACAGCCAAAATGGCAACAGCAGTAAATGCACTATTAATGACACGGAAACAGGAAATGGCTGGCATGTATTCTGATTCTAGACTAATTTTTAAGAATTTTTCAAGGATTTTCTGGACAGGCATTCTGGCATAGCAAGTCCTCCGACAGTATATTTGATAGAATAGCACTGCCCCAAAAATAATTACAGTGAGGTGCTCAAGGTAGATAAATGAAGAGAGAATGGTCAACGTGGTCACCATGGGAACTATTAGGAAAATGAAGTCAATGAAGAATCGAGTTCTCCAGGTATGTGAAGAATGCAAGTGCTGTGAGAGAATGATCAGGAGCCCTCTGCACAGGATACAGAGCACAGGCAAGCACAAGCCCTGGGTAATTTCTAGCACGCTGGTTCCATTGTGGTTACTGACAAAAGCTTCCTTCATCTGCTTTTGAGACATTTTTTCTTCTTCCTGTGGAAAAAAGAGTAAAGAAACACATTTGTAGAAAGCAACATTCTTGTGGAATTGGCATATGTATGTACCTGACTTGATTTTACTCTTACTCTTGATTCGGAGTAGAACCTAGGATTTGTGACCCACCCCCCGCCCCCACAAGGACTGTGGGAAAAAGCCTAACAATACATTAGGGTAAGAAAGTCACACTAATAGCATGAAATTATTGGTTGAAAAGCTTTAGCTATTTTCAGTATGTATAAGGCAGATACACAAGGATAATGCATTTGGGATACAAACCCTGAGAACAGAATTACAGTCAGATAGAAATTCCTATTACAACATAGTATATGTCATGAAGATTATGTAATGAAAATCGAATACACATAAACGGCCTTTAAGTTAAACCCGAAAGATGGGAAGAGGGACAGAAGCAGAGAAGATATTCGAATACACCTTGCTGTTGGGGCCTTGGTTTCTGTTCAGAGACTCTTTGAAACTACTGTTTCTGGTACAAAAATTTGAGTCCTGCTGTGACCTCCCGAGACCCAGCCTGCTTCTCACATTCACAGAGAGCCAAATTTCATGTTAGGTATAGGTAGGCAGAATGGATGCTAATGGAGGGGTTAGGGGTAGGGAGTGTATAGCGCAAACTAGCGTCGTTAGTTGTTCATTTAAAAGGATATACAACGCTTCTCTGCCACATAACCATGTCTGGAAAGTGGAACACACGAAAAACTCATCTGTTGGCCAAACAAGAACTATGTTGAACAAATAAATGCATGCCTGGGCCAAGAAACAATACTTCACAGCAACAAACAAATCGGCTGGCCTTTTAATAAAAACCCTTTTCCACCACCGCGTCGGAGCCTTATACCTCCCATGCACTGGCTGGTCTCGGTGCCCGCCCCGGCAGAGGGCCGTCTAGGTTGGTCGGGCCGCCCAGCTTCCACCGCACCCGCTGGGCAACGCGGGAGCAGGCAGCTTCCGCCTCCCGAGACGCGCTTCCGGCCAACGCGAGGCCGCCGCGCTTCCGGGCCGGTGGATTCCGCGCGCACTCGGCCCAGGGAGGTGCTGGTTTCCCACGCCCCGCCGTCTCCCCACGCCATCTCTATCATGGGGTTGCTCAGCCCAGGTCCTCTCGGGTCGCGGCCGAGGACCGACCCGTGAGAGGAGCCAGGAGCCGAAAAGGCGCATCACGCGCCGTACCACTGCTCAAACCGTACGGCGAGGCCTGTCCGAGTGGTGGGGTCAGAGGGCCGGGAGCAGCATTCGGACATGGTGGCCCCTGCTTAAAGACTCCGCAGCCCTGGGAGAGCCCGAAGGCCCCCGGAAACCCTGCCTCCCGCGCCTCTCCCACCAGAACACCTGAGTCCTCTCTTGCACTCCCATCTTACCCCAGGCTCTCAAAATATTTTGTCCCGGGTGGAGCCCCCGACTCGGAATCCCCGCACCCCATTCAGACCACGTGCGCCGCGCGCCGGTTGTGCTGGTGGCACCGCCCTGGGGGAGGAGCCTGCCGGCCCCGCCACTTAGCATAGAGCGGCTGCAGCGCGGTGCGAGCCCGCAGTCCCGGCTTTCTCTCCGTGCTTTGCTCCCACCCCTCGTCTCCCCTGCGCTCCACCAGCTCTTCCTGCCGCCCCACCCGACCCGCCCGCCCGCCTTTCCAGGCGCGTCCCGCAGGGGTTGCGCGCTCGGCAGCTCACGCCGTGGGATCGGTGAGTGCCACCCCCAGCCCGGGTCCGAAGCCCTTCAAGGACCCCAAAAGGGCCGCGGAGACCGGTTTGCCTCCGGAGCGCTGAGGAAGAAGGGGGCATCTCCCCTTCCCAAAGCGCATTTTCCCTGCTCTTGCTCTCTGTGGTTTTGTTTTTGTTTTTTTGTTGTTTTGTTGTTTTTGATCTCGTATCCCAGGAGGAGGTAGTCTGGCTCCTGGCCCTTACCAGGATCTTTCATGAACAAGGACCTTTCAGGGTCACCCTCCACCTCTCCACCTTGCCGGTAGCTGGCCACCCGAAGTGGGGGGAAACTCCCAGTTGGCAGGCTGGATCCCGGCCCCTGCTCCTCTCCTGGAGCTACCTAGAGACCAGTGAGGGGGCGCCTGGCTCCGGGAGGCGTCGGGGCAGCCGCGCCCTTGGCTGGGTCATGTCCACCTTCCCGGGAAGGACATACTCTCCCCGTGCCAGGTGCTTCAGGAGCGGCATCCCAGCCCTGGGCCCGGCGGACTCTTCTCCAGGACCGAGAGTCCCTGGTTCTCGCCCGGAACCTCTGGACGGAGCCGGCTAGGTTTACCTGGACCCTTACCCGGCTCTTCTCATTTTCCCTCCCACTGTCCTCCGAGCTGAGAAAGAACCTGAGGCTGGGGAGGAGGAGAAGCTGGTGATCAGGTTGGCGCTTGTCTGGCCTTGACTTGGTGTTTCATCTATTCATTACCGGCTCTCTCCTGCCCACTGTGGTCACACCCTTTCCAGAACTCCGTGGCTGGTAACCGGGAAGGCTACCAGGAGCAAGAGCTGGGAGGACTGGAGAAAGCCGCTCTAACCTGACTTGACTCTGGTTGGGAGCTGACGTTTCATTTTATAACCAACATTTGCAAATAGTTCTCACAGGTACTACTAGCTCATGTGATCCTGAACTCAGCTCTGTGAGGTCTGGATGTTAGTATTCCTTTTTTGCAAACTACAGGGGTTTGGGGTGGGGCTACAAATCTTCTGGGTCAGTGTGGTGTGGAGGATGAAGAGACTGGGAGACGGAGAGGCCTGGTGCTGTATTCTCTCCACCAGACAGAAATGTCTTATTTGAATATAGGCAGTAGTTGGTGGGGTGGGAGGCAGAAGTCAACTATATGCTCCATGAAGAGAAATATGGGAGAGAAAGCACAGCTTATTCTCAGGTAAGTCACATCACCTTCCTGGCCCACTTTGATTCCTCATCTTGCAAATGGAGGCAGTAAAATCTCCCGCAGAAAGAGTCATTGTGAAGGTCAAAAATGAGGAAATAAAGCTTCAGGAGCTCTAGTGATCTGCATCCAAGGGGGCATGGGCTTTGGGTTCTACCCTCACAACTTCTCATGCTTTGCCTCTGGTCCTCTCTAAGGTGAGCTTCCAGTTGAGGGAGCTTTGTTCCTCTTGAGTTTTCCAGAGCCCTTTGCATAGATGTCTCTTGGATGAGGTACAGTCAGTGTTCAGGGTGAATGTGTTCAACAGTCCTGATGCCCTTCTCTGCCCAAATTGTTCACTTTTCAGTTTCCATAGAAGTTCCTATTCCTGAGTTGTTTCAAAGGCTGTATGTATTTAGAGCCCCAAGAAAGTCCCCACTGCCCTGGTGATGTATCTCTCCCATAACGACATTTCTCTTCCTCTCTTTCTCCCTCCTTTCCCCTCTAAAAATAAATAAACTTAAAAAAAAAAAAAAATCTCCACCAAGGTTAGTCCATTGCACACACCCCTCATCCTCATCTCACCTTGTTGGAGCAGTGTGTGGCCTGGGAAATTCTGAGCCTGAGGGTCACTTACAGTTTTTCAGAGATTGGCGTACACCCAGCCTCACGACGCCCTCTCTCTCGGATGGATTCCCTTCTTCTGAATTCTCATCGTCTTAAAGTTGACACTGGACTGTTCCACCTTATTAGTGGCTCCTCCAAGTATTGTTAATTGTACTGACAATATTCCCCCCTGTGGGAATATTCAGATTTGTGCTCTGTTGGGTACCTTCAATCCACAACTTCATTGGCTTTCACAACTGCTCCTTGTGAGGTAGATTTTACTATCTCCATTTGCAAGATGAGGAACCAAAATGGGCCAGGAAGGTGATGTGACTTACCTGGAATGACTGAGCTGTGCTTTCTCTCCCACATTTCTCTTCCTGGAGCATCTAGTTGTCTTCAGCCTCCCACACCACCAACTACTGGCTGTACTAAAATAGGATATTTCTGCCTAGTGGAGAGGACAGAGCACCAGGCTTCCCTGTCTCCAGTGTCTTCATCCTCCATATCACACTGACCCAGAAAATTTGCAGCCCCACCCCAAACCCCTGCAGTAAAACTAGCCCTGAAGGAGCCCAGGGTGCCTCCAGAAGCTTTTGTAAAAGTTTTCCCTTTTGGCAGGAAACAGAAAAGACTCTCCCTACCTGCCCAGTCTTGCTCTGGTTCTCATTTTGTTTCCTCTGCTTAGTGAGAGAAGCAAGAATAAGTGACCTGGAGAAGCCCTCATCTGTGTGTGGCCCTTCTTTTCTCTCATACTATAGGCTCTGGAGTGACTCACCTGAGATTCCTCCAGAACTGAGCCCTTTGCTGGACCCATGTCCCAGTCTGTGTCCTCATGACTAGGTGGATAGCACTCCTCGTGCCTGCCACCCAGAACCCTGGCTGGCCACGTTGAAGCAGGATGCTCCAGCAGGTAAAACCTCACCCTCTGATAACCCAGGCCCTAAAGCACCTTCCCATCTTCCCTTTGTCTGAATGAGGTTTCACTGCGCTGACCAGAAAGTAGGAAAAGACCCCTTAAAGATCTTTCTTCTTTTCTCTCTTCAGAGAGTTGTTAAGAACCTGTAAGAACCTGTTAAGAGAGTTTTTCCTGATACCTAATTTGAATCCCTCCTGTTGTAGTTTTTAGCTCTTTTCCCTGGGGTGTGTAAGGGCATCCTGAGGGCACTTTGATGACCTTACGAGCCTGAACCAGTGAGGAAGTCCAGAGAGACGCCTCTGCAAGCCTGAATTATTGAGGCACAGTGGAAGCCTAGGGCTTCCCAGCGGAGGTGAAGCTGAGAGATGCCCCTGAAAATGTCTTCTTGAAGCTGAGTCTTAAAGAATAAGTAGGAATTAGCCAAGCGGAGAAGGAAAATAAACAGCCCGGACAAAGAGGTCAGTCTGGGCAAAAATGTGGGAGAAGGTGACCTATGTGGAAATACAGAAGGATTCTGATGAATGCTTCACAGGGCGCATGAGAGATAGCTCTTGGGACATGAAACCAGCCAGATTCCAACTCGCCCTTCGCTGTGGAGCCTCGTCTCATACCCATATCGTCCTTCACATGCAGCACTGTGTCCAGAGGGAATGGCAGTAGATAACTGCTGAATTGTTATTTAAGTGTTGCCAGTCACTGGACTGAGAAAGATGTTGAAGGTGCTATCTGCCCTCAAGAAGCTCATAATCTAATGGAGTCCTAGGCAGGGAAGTGCCTGAGACTAGCTTGATGTCTGAGGGCGAGGCCAGCCAGCCTTAAGGGAGCCGTGGTAGACTCTGCCTCTTGAGCTTCGTCCAGCCTTTTGGCTCATGAAACAGGCTTGAAGACTGGAGAGAAGCAGGCAGGACAGTTGTCTGCTCTGAACTCTTTATAGTTTGTCATGTTCATTATAATCATAGTAGCTGCTACTCTGCATTGAGCCCTTGCTATGTAGTAGGCACTATGGTAAGGAGTTTACACATATAATTTTGTTTAGTCCTCAAGAAAGATACAGTATTACAGTGCTGTCATGTCCTCACTTTGGGTATAAGGCTAGAGATACTAAGTGACTTATATCAAGGTCACATTCATTATAAGCATTGTGGAAAGTATAGATAAGCAAAGAGAACATTAAAATTACCCATAATTATACTACCCAGAGATAACCAACATTTTAGAGAATATCCTAGATTTTTTTCACCTAAATATATATATTTTTAAAACACTAATAGGTATCATATGTTTTGTAACCTTTAGTCCATTGTAAGGATATACTATAAGCTATCTACTATTTGGAAATTTGGGTTGTCTTTAATTTTTGGTTATAAATGGCTTACATACTGAACATACTTATGGCCTTTTACATGGGATCATTTTCTACAAACCAGTGCAGGCTCAAGGGATATATGTAGTTTTAAGGCCCTTGATATATTATTGTCCAATTAGAAGAGTTGCTTTTAAGTGAATAATAGTACCTAAATCGAGGGGGCATATACCAGGTGCCTTTTTAAAATACTTTATGTGCTTATTAGTAACTACGAGGTAGGTGCTACCACCGTTCCCATTTTATAGATGAGAATTGAGGCACAAAGAGATAAATTTACATAAGATTATGCAGCGAGGACATGGTGGGATCAGGATTCAAATGTAGAGATCGGAGCTGTTCATAAGTTATGGCTGGGTTTATGAGTGATTTCCTCCCTAAAGCAGGGGGATTCACGTGCATCCAGCCGTGCCCTGTCCTCAGCACTTACTCTGAAGGCCAAGACTCTGCCTTGTGCACCATGATGGGCCCAAGTTCAAACTAGAGGCAGCATCTTTGGAAAGAAACTTGTTCCTGGGCCTCTCAGATGGCACCTGCCACCTGGGCTTGAGGGGTTTGAATTTGCAGGGTTCACTGATGTCATTGGAGACCCACACATGTCTTATCACAGAGCCCTTCCTCCAGAAGCAGATTTCAGCCAGGTTACTGTCTTCTACTCCCCACCCCACCTTCCCTATAGCCCCAAGAAGACAAGAGGAGAAGAGGGGAGAAGAAACATGTGGAAAGCGTTGGCATCATTCATGGGCAAGGGTGAAGGAGAAAGTTCTTGGTGCCCATTCTTGACCTCATCTGAATTCTGAGCCTCTTAAGTAGACGCAGGGCAGAAGAAACTAATTATGTAATTAGCCAGACTAAATTTAAGTCCCAAGAGGCAGGTGATGAAGGTCCAGAACTACCTCACAGCTAATTTTTCATGTGAAGTTGGATGATTTCCTTCAAAAAAGGCCCAAAATATGGTTCTTTTCCTTTGCAATACTCCTATGGCTGGCCCCTACCACGGCCCCCACCCCTGCCAGGCCCAGGAAGACTAGCAGCTGGTCAGCCTGGAAGCTGGAGCTCATGGCATAGGAGCGGGAATAGCTTTTATTGATTTACTGACTATATGCTATGTGCCAAGTACTAAGTGCTTTGTGTATCACTTCTTATTTTTCTTCCCAATAATCCTGTGAACTGGTTTTATATTCTTTTATTTACAAGTAAACTGTGGCTCAGAGAGGTTAAGTAACTTATCCAGGCTCACACACCTAATAAGTGGCAGAACTGAAATTTGAACGCAACCAGACTATGATACTGGAAGCCAGTCCTCTTTCCACTGTACAGGCCTCCGCCCCTACAGGAGCTGCCAGCTGGTCTGCGTCCCAGCTCTCCTGGCCCTGTTATCCCCTCCCAGGTGAATGGCCACAGGTCAGGCCCTGATGGCCATGGCAGAAAAGTCCTTGGAGAAGACCTGAAGGAGTTCCTGGGCCAGGAGGCCCCGCTGCACATGCTGGATGACCTCACCAAGGTGAATCCTGTGACGCTGGAGACAGGTATGGGCCTCCCTTTCCTCCAGAGTGCCGTCTGCAAGAGGGTGGAGGTTTGGTGTGGCATCCAGCACAGCTTCCCCTGGCCAGACTGAGGCAGGCAGGACTCCTGACCGGGAGCCAGGTAAGCTGCTTCAGACCTGCCTGGCAGCTGCACCTGGGCTCCCCAGCACAGAATTTGCTCCAGATTTGGCATTCATCTTAATTAGATCTTGTACCTATTCATCAGGGAGCTGCTGGGATCGAATGGCTCTTGGCTAATTACAGAGGGAGCCCTGTGAGGCGGATGTCTGTGTGTGCTTGCATCTGCATTTGAGCCAGAGTTTGATAAAAGCACCTCTACCTCAGTCCTGAGGTGTTTGCAGGCCCGGTACATGGCAGACACGTTCTACACCAATGCTGGCTGCACCCTGGTGGCTCTGAACCCCTTCAAGCCCATGCCTCAGCTCTACTCGTCAGAGCTAATGCAGGAGTACCACGCTGCTCCTCAGCCCCAGGTAAGACTCAGCCACTTCTTGGGCCTCAGGGCTCCCCTCCTTCCCCTTAGGCCTCCTTGCAGCTTTCCTGTCTTTATCCATCTATTCATGAGCCATGCAGTGATTTCAGATCTGCTGGTGCCACAGCCCTGCCCACCAGGAGCTCAAGGAACTGTGGACACGTGACAGTGGCGCAGAGTGGAAGACACATAAGCATTTGTTTAACTGAGTTTAGATCATAAAACAGAGACATAGGACAAAGTATTCTTGTTTGTGAATTTATTAATAGGAAAGGATTTACAAACGAGTATTTGTGAATTTAACAAACCACTATTTGGGAGAAGGATAAAATTACATGAGATAAGGATTGCCCTAGAAAGTTCAGTACCAATTCACCTTTACTGAGAGGAATAACATTCTTATGGGGATGGGGTGGGGGCAGTGCAGGCAGAGAATAGACTGGTTGGTGTTAACGTGCATCATGTGTTCAGAGAGAGGCAAGAGCAGACTTGCTGGCAGGAAGGGGTTGCTGGGGAAAGAGGAAGCAGGTGAGGTAGGGAGAGAGACAATCTGAGGCTGGTGGTGAAGGGTCTAAGGCCTGACAGCAGGCTGAGCCCACAGAGCTGCTTCATCGGGAGTGGGGGTGGGACCGAACGGAACCCACGGTGAGGATGACTGCTCTGGAAGTTGGGGGAGTTGTGTTGAGGAAGGCGAGACAGGAGGCAGGGAGAACGGTTGGAGACTTTGTAATAGTCCAGGTGAGAAGTGACTGGGGCAAGAGCAGAAGGAGAGAGGGACAGCTCCGTCACCATCTAGAGCTGTGCCTTCTCCCTTCAGGAAGCTGTGGGGAGGTGGTCATTGTGGGGCCGGCAGTGCTGGGCTGGCTAGGCATTGCGCAGGTGCGCTGGCCTCCAGGAACTCATGCATGGTTAAGTGTCCAAGTGGAATCCTTGTGAACCCTCTCCTGAAAGCCCATATCTCACTGTCTCTGCCTCCTCAAGGGCAAAAGCCATGTCACGGTCCCCTCTGTTTCTCCAGTGCCCACCTTGATACTTAGGACATTGAGGACAGTTAATATGCAGTGGTAAAAAGGAGAACAGTGGCCTTGGGCTGCAATCAGATGGTTGCACTTACTTACTCAGTGGCCTTGGAAAGGTGGTTTAACCCCTCTGAACTTCAGATTTCTCATCTATAAAATAGTTAGCTATCCAACTAATGTGGACTTTTTAGGCAGTAACTTGAAAGAAAGTTCTTTGCAAACTGCAAAGTACAATAATAAATACTAAGGAGCAAAACAAGACTGTTAAGATAAAATGGGGGCCCTGACTGGTGTGGCTCAGTGGTTTGAGCGTTCTCCTGCCAACACAAAGGTTGCTAGTTCGATTCCCGATCAGGGCACATACCTGGGTTGTGGGCCAGGTTCCCAGTTGGGGGTGTGTGAGAAGCAATCAACCAATGTCTCTCTTGCACATCGATGTTTCTCTTCCTCACTTTCTCCCTCTCTTTACCTCTAAATAAATAAATACATACATACATAAAATCTTTTTAAAAAAAGGTAAAAAGGAAGAAAAAGATAAAATGGGTGGATAAAGTCTTCAAGGCTAGCAGTGCTTCCACACTAAGAGCAGATAAGTGGGTAAAGCCTCCATGGGGGTCCCACAATTGGACCTAACACTGTGACAACCAAGAAATTGTTCTAGCGGAAGCCTCTTGGCTCTGCTGCTGGCAGGCTCCTCATCTCAGCTGTCATTGGATCAGCCATTTCTTGAGAGGCATTCTCTCACATGACCTTTCACCCCCTGATGTTTCAGAAACTGAAGCCCCACATCTTTACTGTGGGTGAACAGACCTACAGGAATGTCAAGAGCCTGATTGAGCCAGTCAACCAGTCTATTATTGTCAGTGGAGAGAGTGGTGCTGGAAAGGTAAGAGGACCTTTTTCACACCCTGTCAACCTCATGACTGTCTGGATGGGCAGAGAGGCGGGGGTTGTTCCCCATGGAGCCACTTGCTACCTCATCATTCCCAGGTAGGCTGGCTTAAGCAGGGAGTCAGTGTGTAGCGGTGGGCAAGCTGGACAGGAAACCAGGGGACACGGTTCTAGGCCAGGCTCTTCCACCAGCTCTGATGTAACTCTGGGTGAGACACTTTCCTCCCCAAGCCTTCATTTTCTCATCTTAGGTCTCTCCCAGCTCTGACACTAAGGGAAACAAAAGTTAGCTATTGGGGATTCCTGCACAGTGGTTCAGAGAACAGAAAGATATTTAGCTTCTGCACACCTCAGTTCTTTCACCTGTAAAATGCCAACGAGGGCAATTCATCTAATTCAAGGGACTTCTGTGGGAGTTAAATGAACCAGTGCACATAGACACTGAAGGTGGCTAGGGTTCCTCGTGGGAAAGGGTTTCTCTGTGTTGCCAATGATGGCAAGGGCAGTATCTGGGCCAGAAGCTCCTGGTGTGGTCGTATGGCTCCCTGGGTGGCAGAAGCACAGTAGCTGAGACTGAAGGTTGCACAAGGATGAGCGAGGAGTTGCACAGCCGGTCGGAGGAGGCTACTGTCCCAGGCCTCGCCACCTTCTTGCCTAGTCTCACCCAGCCCACCTCACCCTTTCTGCAAAACTCACCTTCACAAGGGATTCTTCGGACCATAAACCTCCCCATCTACCCTCACGTATGAGGAAATTGCTGAGCTCTGCACACCTGCAAGATTCTAGGCCCTGGGCTAGCCCCTGAGGAGTCGGGGGTCTTTTAGTCTGCTGGGAAAGACAGACAAGGAAACAGATGAAGACAGTAAGCTGCAGGGAGGAGGACTTGGACTTGGGTGCGGAGGAGAGCTTCAAGAGCTATATCAAGGTGGCCAGTGCAATGGCAGATGTCCAGCTCCTGAACAAAGCCCATTGTCCCTCTGGGGAGCTGAGGCAGACCTGGCTCAAGACTCATGCAACCAGAGCTCAATCACCCATTATTGAGCAGCCACTGTGGTCATGGGCTGGGCCTGGTATGTTTTCTAAATTTTTTTTTAACAAATAGCACAGTAGCATAGTTCAAAAATCAAGCATTACTCTAAGGCTTACAAAGAAACACAGTGACCCTGCCTTATATCCTTCAACCCTCTCTGGCTACTTTCACATGTTTTTGTCATATTTCTAAATGATATGCTTATATTGTTAGTCACTGATTTTTTTTCCCCCAGTTTTGGGCCTAATCTTTTCATTTCCTACTTTGATGAGGATCTAGTCCTGTTTTCCTAGCCCCAAACATACATAATTTTATCATGATTTCTAATTAAGTTAATATGCAGTATTTATATTACAATCATGTATATATTGTTCACAGCAGAGTCATGTACTCTATGATTATGTTTCCTTTCTTGTATAGTTTTTACTTTCCCTCACTTAATTACCCTGTTTTTTTACTGATTTAATTTCTCTATGTCTACTGTTAAATTATTACCAAACTTGCTCCGGAAGCTGTTCCAGCCTAGTAAACAGGCAAGTGCATCAGGTTCTTTTTTTTCTCTCCGCGATGCCCTTCCTAGAGCTCTCCGATCTGCTCCCTTCTGGACCGGTGGCTGCCCGGGGCCCCTGCCTTGCAGCTGTCACCAGCGAGCTCGCTGCCTCCCTCAGGGGTCCTGAGTGCCCTTTATCCCGTGATGAATCCGCTGTTGCTGGAATCCGTGGCTTCCCTTCTTCCTTTACTGCCTCGTTTTTATGTAGTACATGCTTTAGTAGCTTCCTGAAAGAAGTGGTTAAGTGAAGGACAAATTTTTGAGTTGTTGCACATCTGAAAATGATTATTCTGCCTCAAATTGGATATGTAGTCTGGGTTTTATAATTTCAGGTTAGGAATCATTTTCTTTTCAAATTTAGTTTTTTTTCCTTATATATTCTTTGGAGTGTTACTTTGGAGAATCCTGATCCATAAATGGTGATTTGTTTTGTTCTTTCCAAAAGCTTTTAGGATCTTCTTTTTTCTTCATAGGTATTAAAACTCACAGTCGTGTTATCTTGGCATGGTCTTTTTTACTTTCCATGCTGGATACTTTATGTGGGTCTTTTTAACCTGAAAACTCATGTATTTTGTTTGAGGAAATATTTTTGAAGTATAGCTAATAATTTACTCCCCTCTGCTTTCTCTTTCTGGAGCTCCTATTAGTAAGTTTGATTAATTGTCTAATATTCTTATTTTTCCCACCTAGTCTTCCATCTCTTAACATTTTGTTCTATCTTCTGAAAGATATTTCCTACTTTACCTTTCCTTTTTCTTTTTTGTCTTTTTCAAAATACCTTTCAATTCTTTTGAGTTCTGAATTTTTGCTAAACATTTAAATTCTGATAACACTTTCTTGTTCTTGGAATATTATTTTTCCCGCAGTATCTTGGTCTTATTTCATAGGTTTAACATCCTCACTTATCGTTGAGGATATTTTATGATTTTTACTTGTTTTCTTGCATTGACTCTGTTTCTTTCTAGTTCCTTTTTCTCCATTTCTTGTTATATTTGTCATTCGTGTAAAAGAAATTTATCAAATAGTTAATGATCCTTGAATTTCTGTTCATACTTAAGAATAAAGCATTAAGCAACTGATTAGAATCTCTATGTTCATGGACAGGAGGCCTCACTGTAGATAGCTTTCTAAACTTGTGGGAACATGACTATTTATAATTTTTCTCATGAGCTTGTCACTGTCCCCAGGAAAGATTTTCTAATCTCTTCATCAGAGAGATAGAAAGTATAAAGAGTTCAGGGGAAATGGTAAAAATTTGAAGCATGATGAGCAATTTCTTTATGCTTATCAGCAGATATGCAAAAGAATACTTCAGTGAATTTGACACTAGGTCAATAGAAATAATCCAAATGGGAAAACCTAAAGGTCCATCCAAGAGCTGTGGTACAAGCACGGTGTTCCATACTTGTAATTGGTGTCTCAGGAGGAGAGTACATGATTCAGAAGTAATACCTTACAAAATTAACAAAAGGTGGCAAGCACAGATCCTAGAAGTTCAAGAAACACTAAGCAGGATGTAAGAAAGAAATCACACCCAGGCATATTATAGTCAAATTGCTGCAAACCAAACATAAGGAGAAAAATTTGAAGGAAGCCAGGAAAATAAATATTACATAAAGAGGGACAAAGAATGACCGCAGGCATCTTGTCAAAACTTCAAGTCCAGAGAAAATAGAGTGACATCTTCAAAACTGATGAAAGAAAATACCCATCAATGTAGAATTTTATTGCTAGCAAAAGTATCTTTCAAAAATGAAAGTGAAATACTTTGTCAGACAAATAAGTTGAGGAAATTCATTACCAGCAGATCTGTACTACATGAAATATTAAAGGAAGTTCTTTATGCCAAAGGAATATGAAACCAAGTGAATATTTGGATTGATACAATAAAGAGCATTGGCGATGTAACATCTTATTATTTTCTCTTTAAAAGATAAGTTACTCTAAGGCAAAAAAAAGTAACAGTTTATTGTGGAGGTACAATGGAATCATAAAAGTACTAAATTCAATGGTAAACAATAAAAGGAGAAGAAAGTAACAAAGATCACATAGAACAAATCAAAAAGAAAGAACAAGATGGTGGATTTAAACCCAACCACAATGATTATTAAATGTTAATAGACTAAACACTCCTATTAAAAGACAAAGAATATCAGAGTGGATGTTTTTAAAGCAAGGAAAGGAACATCTCCCACATCATAAACTTAGAGAATTTACCAATAAAAAAGCCACTGCAACTAAAATGTAGTATAGTTTAGCAATTAACAAATACAGAGTCAATATATAAAAATCAGTTGGCCCTGCCAGGTAGCTCAGTCAGTTGGATTGCGAGTTCCTGGCTGAGGCATGCATGGGAGGCAACCAATCACTGTTTCTCTTTCTCTCCTTCCCCGCCCCTCCCCTCTTCCCCTATCTCTAATAAATGAACATATCCTAGATTTTTTTTTTAATTATTGTGTTTCTATGTCCTACCAACAAACAATTGGAAACTAAAATGAAAATGTATCTCATTTTAGCTGATTGAAAACAACAGTAAGAATTTTATAATTAGATTGCCTGGTGTGAATCAGAGCGCCATCATTTACTAGTGATCTTCAATAAAACTTAAAATTTCCCTATGGCTCAGTTTCATCATTTTGAAAACTGGTATAATTGCACCTGCATCTATAGGATTGGTTTAAAAAAAAAAAAAAGGCATGGAAAGTCTCCTTAGCTCAGAGCCATCAGCATCAGCTGGGAGCCCTCAGAGACACAGTAGTACGCTGAGGTCAGGGTTTGTTGTCCCATCTCGCCCCGACCTTATTTCTTAAATGCACCCTCTGAAGCTAGGAGAAGCAGAAGTAAGCGCCCCGCCCCCCACCGCTATTTCCCTGAGGGGAGAAGTGCCTTGCCCAAGGACACAGTTGAATTCATCATTCACGCGTTAGGTCAGCCCCCAGGGGGTGGAGAAGACTGCTAGTGAGCACCGTTCCCTCAGGCGGGCTCAGAAGTGGGAAGGAACTTGGACCCCACTCCCACGGGGCTGTTTCTGCTGCAGACATGGACGTCCCGTTGCCTGATGAAGTTCTACGCTGTGGTGGCTGCCTCACCTACCTCCTGGGAGAGTCATGAGATTGCAGAGAGGATCGAGCAGCGTATCTTGAACTCCAACCCTGTCATGGAAGCTTTCGGTGAGCTCAGTGTCCTCTTCACAGTACCTCGGTCCCATTTCCTCTGCGATTTGCCGCCTTCCAGGGGGAGGAGCAGGAAGACCCTCTCTTTGGGGGTTGGAGGACGACTGTCATTCTCTGCCTCAGCCTCCCAGCCTCCTCCCAGGCAGCCTTAGCCTCTTTCCAGTGGAGGTGCTGTCCTTCAGTCACCTCCGCCCTATAGCCTAGGCAGACGTAACCGTGGTGCTGGAGTTCTGAGTTCTGAATCACACTTGCTGAAACCTGAGCGCCCTTTCCTTAGTCCTGTCCTCTGACACGGAAACCAAAAAGGGGCCTTTAGACGACTGGAGGGCAGAAACGGGGCCCCAGCAGCCCTGCAGCCACCTTGGCCAGCGAGGACTCTAAACATAGGGGAGCCGTGTAAACAGAGGTGTGATCTGCAGGGAACGCGTGCACGCTGAGGAATAACAACAGCAGTCGCTTTGGGAAGTTCATCCAGCTCCAGCTGAACAGGTAGGTAATCGCTGCTGCTACCCTGGCTGATGGGGGGATTGGGGTGGGAGTTTGCGAGTGGCTGGAGCAGTCTCTCCACCCTGTGGGCGGAACCCTGCTCCTCCTGGCACATGTGTAGGGGATTCATTTGAATCAGTGAACCTTCAGGATGATCTTTGAATCTAGAGAACTATAGCTACTCCAGTCTTTGGGACCCTGCGGCAGTGTGCTTGTCACAGCCTCTATGTTCCTTCTGGCTTCTACCCTTGCTTGGGGATTTCTAGTTGAACAGCTACCGGGGCCCCACCCCGAGCCTGAAGCTGGGGCCTCTGCGCCTGCCTTGGGATGGGGCATGATGACTTGCAGAGGCCTTGGCCGTGTCCACCGTGGTGCTGGTTGCAGGAGGCTGTCCCTCCCAGACCACTCAAGGACCTGCTGAGTAGTCCTAGTGCTCGTGGCCCCCGCTGGCTAAGTGGAAGGGCTTGGGGGCGAGCGTGGCAGGGTGCCATCTGGCACACAGTAAATGCCTGTGGCCCGTGGGCGCAGCTAATGGGCTCCGGCCCCGCTTGTGCCCAGGGCCCAGCAGATGACTGGAGCGGCAGTCCAGACCTACCTCCTAGAGAAAACTCGCGTGGCCTGCCAGGCCTCCAGCGAGAGGAACTTCCACATCTTCTACCAGGTCTGTGCCGGGTGGGGCCCACAGCTGCCCAGACGCAAGGTGGGAATGGGCCTGTGACTAAACCCTCCCTCGCGCCCCTGCCTGCCCCGTCCCTGCCTGCCTCTTCGCCTGCTCTCAGCAACACTGCCACTTACTCCAGCAAACTTTTGGCAACACTGCCTCACACTGGACCTTGGCTCCCGGGATGGTTTAACCTGAGGGTGTTATCTCCTCTGTCAAACCAGAAGGTACTGAGGACTCTTCAGAGCTGTGCCTCCTTCGCCAGACAGGTAGTCCCCGAAAGCACGGATAGTGTGCTTTCTTCCTCAGACCGCAGGCCTCCACAGCAGGGCGTTTTGCACCGGGTTGGAGACGTGCAGAAATTTGCTGCTGCTTTTGTCCCATGACTGCCCTGGGTGATCTACAGCCACTTCTCAGCCTTGAGATGTCACTGGCATTTCTCACTCCTTTTTCTCAGCCCCAAGTCTCTGCAGGCCTGGGCTTCCCTCACACCCCCAGCTTAGCCACCTGTCCCCCCTCCCACAGATCTGCAAAGGCGCCAGTGAGGACGAGAGGCTGCAGTGGCACCTCCCCAAGGGAGCCACCTTCTCCTGGCTGCCCAACCCAGAGAGGACCTTGGAAGGTAGGGGGAGCCTTACCCAGCACCCTCCCACCCTCCGCTCATAGGCTGCGTCCCTCACCCCTCAGCATCCCTGCTGACCTCTGGTCCTGACACTGGGGTATGACTTGGATTTCTTTTCAGAGGATTGTTTTGAGGTGACCAGAGAGGCCATGCTTCATCTAGGCATCAAAATCTCGACCCAGAACAACATCTTTAAGGTCAGGAGAAAAGCCATGGCACTTACACTTGACCGGGGGAACAGGCAGCCTCTCCTCTGCACTTAGGAGTCTCTTCCAGAGGACCAGAGACTTCGGGCTCCAGCAGGCAGTCTCCAAGAAGCTGACCACGCGTCTGTGCCGCTGAGCCCAGACATAGGGTGTTAGGGCGGAAAGGGCGCCGAGCACACAGGTCTGAGTGCAAAGCAGCACCATGATGGGCAGATCTCAGGGCAAGGAGCCTGGCTCAGCTATCACCGCAGTGATCAGAATAGGGAAATATTTCTGCCACGTGTATGTGTGGTATATAAGAATTATAAAATCATGTTTATACGTCTTAGCTCACTTGGTTTTACAGCAGCTCTGTGTGTACAGAGGTTATTCCTATCTCATACTTGAGAGAAGCAGAGGGCCGGCGTGATCTGCCCGATGCAGACACCGCTGATACGGGTAGAGCTCATGTCGGCATAGCAATTCCAGCGCCCCGCTTCCTTTCCCCTGTCCCAGGCCACGCTGGCCCAGGTGAGCGGGGCTCCTCTCATCCCCACTGGTCATCTCCCTTCTCCCACCTGTCTTTGCTGACAGGGCTGACTACCTCCCTGCCCTCTCACCTCCTCACCCACTAGAGCGGCGGGAGGGGGTGGACAGCATAGGCTGGCAGCAGAGACAGGGACACCACTGCAGGGAGAAGGCAGTGCAGTGGGAAGTGACCACCTCCAGATGGGGACTGCTTGGGCAGGAAGGAGGTCATGGCCAGTGTGGGCAGCGCCAGGGAAGCCAGAGGGGCAGCAGGGGTGGACAGCACTAGGAGTGGGACCCACTGCCCTGGCCACGCTGCCCATTGGGCACAGCAGCCTTTTTCCTACAGCCCCTGGGGCTCGTCCCCATGGATCACTGAGTGCAGAGCCCAAAGTCACAGGTCCTCCCCCAGCCTGGGCCGTCAGAAGCCCGACTGCTGAGAAGGGGCCAAAGGGAGTCCAAGCCAAGCCCTACCAGCCCCACAGAAGTAAGCCTGCTCCACAAGTAACGGAGCGGCGTCCCACACAGTCTGCTCCTGGGCGGGGGAGAGGACAGAGGGATGGCCTAGGTGACAAGGGGGGCCCACTGGCTGCCCTGGGAGGCTTCTGCAGTCAGACTGCCCAGGTTCTCACTTAACCACTCCCCTTCTCATCTCTGTCATGGGCATCACTGCAGCGCATGCCTCACTGATGCTGAAGAGATGAGCCAAGATGATGCATGTAAACGTGTGTAGAATAATGCCTGGCAGAGCCGTGTAGTAAGTGGGCAGTAATTGAGAGCTGCTACTATCCTGTTTGGTTTACATTCAGCAGAAGAGAGGCCCTTCCCAGGCTGGGCTCCAGCCCTTGCAAGGTGCCCACCTCGTGTCTCCTTTCTCCTGCCCCTCAGGTCCTTGCTGGACTGCTGCACCTCGGCAACATCCGGTTTGCTGACTCCGAGGATGAAGCCCAGCCCTGCCAGCTGCTGGACGGTGCCCAGTGTGAGAGCAGGGGGAGTGTGCCACAGGCTTTGGTCGCATACCCCGGGAGCAGGGCAGGTCCTGCTCAGAAAAGAGCCAGTGTTGGTGGGATTGTGTGGGAGGCCAGAGGGTGAAATTTGGAAATCAATGCCTTTGACTAACCCATCGGCTGTGGGCCCCTGCCCTGGATAAGTCACTCCTCACCCCATCTCTGAAACAGGCCGCACTGTCTCCACTTTACAGATGAGCAAACAAGCGTCAGAGGGTTTATACAATAATTTGTCCCCCACACGGCCGTGGCCTTTGGCAGGTCTCTTCGCCCACCAGAAAAGTTTCCTCTCTTCACTTGGGTGGGTCATGGTTCCACTGCAGTGACTTCGCTGCCTTATGAAGAGGGCTGTTTGGATGGAAGGTTTGTCCCTCCCAGGCTCTGTCAGGACATCGGCCACATTGCTGTGGCTCCCAGAAGACCCACTGCTGGAGACACTGAGGATTAGAACCATCAGGGCAGGGAGGCAGCAGCAGGTGTTCCGGAAGCCCTGTTCCCGAGCCGAGTGCAACACCCGCAGAGACTGTCTGGCCAAACTAGTCTACGCACGGTGAGCACTCTGGGCCCTGGCCTCCGCCCAGGTTCTCCTCCTCTCTGGAGCTGGACCAGACGCTGTCACGCAATAGGCCCAGGCCCAGGGTGAGGGCTGCCAGATAAAGCGGATGGGTTTCTCTCCCTGCTCCCCACATCCCTTGAGGACTGCAGTGAGTAGCTCCTGGGATTTCCCCAAGCAAGGCCCTTGGCCTCGATTTCAGAGCACTCTGCATGGGGGAGTTGCCACAGCCTGGCCTAGATCCATTATTAAGTCCAGCAGCCTGCCTTGACCTTGGCAGTAGGCGAGGAAAGCCTGCCTAGCTCTCCGCTGGCAAGGCAGGCCCCAGAGGTGATCGGGGGCCCTCGCAGTTCCAGGTGCAGACCCGTGGGTGAATAGGTGCCTCTCTCCATGGGCCTTTGTGTTTCAGCTCATTGTGGTCAGCTGGGGAATGTGATAGACGGTGGTAGACCCAGAAGCTCAGCTCAAAGGCCTGGGCAACTCAGCGAGCAGCAAGTGGGAGCCCAGGGCAGGGCAGGGTAGGGGTCCTGGCCTTTCCTAGTGGGTCATATGGGCATATCCACCGCACTCGGCCATGTGGTTAAGGGTAGGTTCTCACCCTGGGTCCTGAGAATCTTTGGGATACCATGGTATAGGTACCAAGGGGGCCCAGAATCCTTTGAAGTTAGGGGACAGAACATGCCTATGTGCATGTGCTTGTGCTATGCGAACTGGGGCATCTGGGAGAGAGTCCACCTGTTTTTATGAACTTCCAAAGAACCAGGAGCCTGAGAAACACTGCTGAGGGAGTAAGACCCTCCAAGGTGAGAAAGGCCCAGGCAGCTGGGCCCAGCCTGAACCGAGTTCACTGGAGGCTCATTTCCGCTGCCCCAAAGCTAATTTGACTGCAAAATCATCAGATAAATGACGATCGCAGAGCAAGCCTCTAACCACAGATCATTTTATACATGGTATAAACAGATCACTGTATCACTGGATTACTCATTTTTAGTACCTCAACTGGTTACCTGAAGCCCCTGTTGTGAAAGTAGAAACTATTTACTGAACTGAAAAAACGTGCAAAGCAATTCCTTTAAGAAAAAGTGTCAGAAAGAAACGCCACAGTAGTGCCGTGTGTCTCCATGTTGTGCGGTAGCTATGTCATCTTCTTGGGGTGTGGATGGAACCAGGGGACAGGATGCCATTGTTGGCCCCAGGTGACCTGGGACCCATTTGTGCAGGACTGAGTCGGGGGACGTGACAGGGCCTTGAGCTCTGGGCTCCCCAGGTTGAGTCTGCAGGGGAGTCCAGTTAATGCACTTTTTTACAAACCCCATCCAGGCCTGTGCATCAGCCCCTTCTAATCAAGACACCAGCTGGGTGTGAGGACATGTGACTGAGGTAGCCCACTCCCTGTGTAGCCTCTGAGTCTAGTTGGTCCTGTGCTCAGTCTTGCTGGGAGAACAGAACAGCTTTTTGTGTGCTTGGGAGCTTGCACGACCATAGCCTGCATTTATAGTCAGTCAAGACAGGCTGGGCAGGAAACCAGGAGAGGTCTAGCCCTTGATCTGTCAGACTTAGGACACAGGCGCTCGAGGGTATCGCACCCCAGATGGAGGGGCAACTTTGCCGCCCCTCAGGCTCCGCCTGATCCTCTCTCACCACAATCACCGCTTTTCCATCCCCCTCCACAGGCTGTTTGACTGGCTGGTAGCAGTGATCAACAGCAGCATCTGTGCAGGCCCTGACTCCTGGACCACTTTCATAGGTATCAGGCTCCTCCCACTGCCAGGGAGCCCTGCGTCCACTGTGTTAACTCTGGGCAGCTCCTTTCCCGGCCCTGCATCCCCATGTCCTCATCTGTCCACCAGCGCTGGGGTGAAGACACCTCCACTCCCCGGTGCCCACATCCGACTCGTTTGTAGCTCGCCAGGCAGGCTTAGATGGCGCCTTGTCCACGAGGGCCCCTTCTCTCCCCAGAGACCCAGCCGCCGTCTCAGGAGAGGAGTGGGGATAAGTGAAAGATGGCAATGGTGGGGCCAGGGCAGGACAGCCAGCCAGGGGAGGAAGCAAAGCTCAGAGGCTCCAGTGAAGTCTGTTACAGGACGGTGGAATCCCAGGCACCAGCTGGGCTGGGGAGACCCGGGCCCCCACACTGGATTGGATGCGGAAAACGACCCCTGGGGCCTAGTTCCCTCACACCTCACTCAGCTTCCCTTCCTGCTCTAGGTTCTGAGGGAGTGTGGTAGAGATGGGGGGCCTGGGGTGCGGGAGGGTGCTTCGCCCACTACGGGTATCATGCTCACTTCAGCCTCATCCCCAGCCTGCTAAGGATATGGCTTCCCCCTGAGCCACCCTGGGCTCCTGTAGGTCCCCCTGCCCCTGCAGTGGCCCCATAGGTTCTCCCCCATCTTCCCAGGCCTGCTGGATGTGTACGGATTTGAGTCATTTCCCGACAACAGCCTAGAACAGTTGTGCATCAACTATGCCAATGAGAAGCTGCAGCAGCACTTTGTGGCTCACTACCTAAGGGCTCAGCAGGTGAGGGGGCGGGGGGGGGCAGTCCTGCTGTCTTTGGGGCCCCCAGGACCCAACGTTTAGTTCCTTCTTTGATGTCATTCTGGAATTTGCGGTGTTGCTGAGGCCAGCCATAGGGGGTTCTTTCTGGGCCTCAAATCATAGCTGCCTTCTGCGCCCTCCCTGTCCCCTAGGAGGAATATGCAGCCGAGGGCCTGGAGTGGTCATTTGTCAACTACCAGGACAACCAGACCTGTTTGGATCTCATCGAGGGGAGCCCCATCAGCATCTGCTCCCTCATAAATGAGGTGGGGAGCATCAGCTAGTGTGCTGAGTGCCAGAGTTGGGCTTTGGGCCTTTCTGGGACCTTGAATACTATTCCGTGCCTTCTCCGTGCCTCTGTCTTCCCATCTGCCAAATGGGTTTGCGAATCACTATACTCCTTCACTCTCAGGGCCACTATACCGCCTGCGTGACAACTGCCACCATCGGGGCGGTGGGGTGGGGACAGTGAGGGCTTGGTGAGCCCCTCTCACTTTCGTGGCCAACTGCCCATGCCGCCCCACACAGGAATGCCGCCTTAACCGGCTGAGCAGTGCGGCCCAGCTCCAGACACGCATCGAAAGTGCCCTGGCAGGCAGCCCCTGCCTGGGCCACAACAGGCTCAGCCGGGAGCCCAGCTTCATCGTGCTGCACTATGCGGGGCCTGTGCGGTACCACACCGCAGGCCTGGTGGAAAAGAACAAGGTGAGGCGGGGCCGCGGCCGCTGGGGCCTGCGCAAAATGACTCGCTGAATCATTGCTGCCCTCCCTCCTAAACCTCTCCCCAGAATCCAGGGTCATCTTGTGGACGTTCTGCCTGAGGTCTCTGCGCATCAGGCATGACCTGCCCAGAAGTGATCCCTGTCCCACTGGGCCTGCTGGTTCGTAGGCAACCAGTGTGCCTCTAGACTCAGGGCCTGCCCTCCCCTGGAAGCCGTCTGGGGCCTGGGTGAGCAGGCTGGCAGGCCCGTGTACAGCCCTGGGCAGCACCCCACCTGCCCTCACCCACTGCCCTTGTCCTTTCCCAATAGGACCCTGTCCCTGCTGAACTGACCATGCTCCTGCAGCAGTCCCAGGACCCCCTGCTCAAGGTGTTGTTTCCTACTGACCCTGAAGAGAAGTCACAGGAGGAGCCCTGTGGCCAGAGCAGGGCCCCCGTGCTGACAGTGGTGTCCAAGTTCAAGGTGGGTTTGGTGGTGCTGATGTGATGTGTTTGGTTCACTCCTCGATCTCAAACATTCACTGAGTACATCCCAGGATTGGTGCTGTTTACTAGGGAGCATTGATGAGTCAAGTAAATGTGGTCTGGGTCTGCAGAGCTGATAGTCCAAGTGGAAGACAGAGACAGGAAGCAGACTGTTGGTATAATCGACAGGATGGGAAGCCTAAGGGCCTCTGGGTGGCACAGTGGGGTCTCTCACCCACTGCTTATGGGAGATTGTGGAAGAGCAATAATTACATGAACCTCTGTGACCCGGCCCATTCCCAGTTCTGCAGCTTCCTGCTAACTTTGTCCTCGGCTAGAGCAGATTTGTCCCCTCCCTGATCTTAAGCTTTCTACTCCCTGCACGTTCTGCTCCTCACCATGGCCCCTTCAACTCCACCCCCCAAGTCTTTCTTTAGTTTATTCCTTCTCATCCTTCACTCCTCTGCATTATCGTCACCCCCTTGAGAAGGCAGCCAGGGAGCCCAGGTTTGATTAGCACTTTCCTGTCCAGCCTCAGACATGCCACAGAGGGTGCCCGTCCGGTGTACGTGTGGCTCGTTAGACCCTGAGCTCAGACAGCAGCATGAACATCAGTGTCCCGCACATAGGAAGGCATTTGGCTTAATCACAGCTGTTGCCTGAATGAATGGCAGAGGGTTCTGGGATGGTTCTCTTCTAGGAAGATTGCTGTTGTCGGCGGGGGGCGGCAGGGGGGATGGTGTGCAGTGGCTGAGACCAACCAGGTGGAGGGTCACAGGTCAAGGTCCCTGGAGGCAGAGGTGAGGAGCAATGGGAGGTGAGGGGAGAAGTGTGCTTTGAGCACAGCCGGTCAGAACCTCCAACAGTCATCCCAGGGCACATGAGGATCTTGGTCTCAGGGCTGAGAGGTCTGCTGACCATGTTTGATGTCACCTGTAACCTGGGCCCAGCTGACGCGCCTGGGCTACTCCGGTCTCTGTCTGACCCCCGCCGTCTCCTCCGCAGGCCTCCCTGGAGCAGCTTCTGCAGGTCCTGCACAGCACCACACCCCACTACATTCGCTGCATCAAGCCCAACGGCCAGGGCCAGGCACAGACCTTCCTCCGGGAGGAGGTAATTCTCACTGGGCCAGAGCTGCTCTGCAGGGCGCCCCTGTGGCCAAGGCCCTGGAGAGTTGAAGGGCAGGACATCTGCTCTGAATGGAGTGACCGGAGGGGATCTCTCAGGCTGGGCCTCGGGAGGGCTTGTCTCCTCCATTCTGGCAGGACAGTCCTGCGTGGCTGCATGGTCTGTGCACTGCACAGCAGCCTAGCCAAGGAAGCAAGTAGGGGCTCTAGTGCCTCTTATTCTCTCTCACCAAGCCCCGTGCCCTGATGAGAGACTGGAGCTGCCCAGCGGAATGGGTGGTTTTGTGATTAGCTGAAAATCTGTCTCACCGTACAGTCTAGATTCTTTTTTTTTTAAATTTGCACAAAAGCAGCCTGTGGCGAGCAGTTGCCTCAGAGTAACAGTTCCAAGGGTTATGGATGAGGCATGAGTGCTGGACAGGGCTGGAGAGGGTCCCACAGTCAGCTGGTAGCTGTGATCTTAGGTCTTATGCCAGGACCCTCTGCTCTGGTAAAGACTTAGTTCAGGTCCTGGAAGACTCTTCACAGCATAACCCCCCATGCCCCCCATGCCCCTCCGCTATGAGTCACTTCACTGCCGACAAAAAAATGGAATAAAAACAGAAATTGGGTTGGGCTGCACGTGAGGCAGAGCACCTCTGCCCAGCTGGGGATGGTGAGACCGAGCCGGGACCAGCACCTGCCTCAGCTGCATCCAAAGCTGTGCATCATGCAGGGGAGCTGGCCTGCCGGGACCCTTTCTGGCAGGGACATAGTTCTTCGTTTCTCACTGCCCCAGAGAGTATGCCTCTGAGCAGAGCCTCAGCGGATGCTGCAGGTCCACGCTGGCAGGGCCGCAGGAGGAGGCCCGTTTCTGGCCTGCTGGCCCCATGCTGGAGGTGCCAGCCCATCTCCCCACCCTTGCAGGTCCTGAGCCAGCTGGAGGCCTGTGGCCTCGTGGAGACCATCCACATCAGTGCCGCCGGCTTCCCCATTCGGTGAGTGGGCCAATCGCTGCAGCAGGCAGGGCCGAAGTCAGGGTGGATCTTGGGCTCAGGCCCCGCAAGAGCCTACTCAGCCCTGAGCAGGATATGGAAGTGAAGAGAAAAAGGCAGGTCTGCAGATGTCAGCCTGGAACTCAAGGGGCGGTACCTGTCATTTGTCCCTTCACTTTCTGTGCATGATTTTGTACTAGCACTACTTCTGATACACATGTATCAATGAATAAGGAGGGGTAAGTCTGCCCTCTTGGGGCATACATTCCTATGGAAACATAAACAAGAAGTATAAAGTTAATCAGTGCCAGGGAAGAAACGAAAAATGCTTTTAGGTAGACTGATGGGAAAAGGGATCCTTGAGCTGGTCAAGGAGGGGCCCTCTGGGCAGCTCGGGCCTGTGGGAAGGAAAAGGGCCAGCCTGGGAAAATTGGAGGGGTAGAGGGAGGAGAGCATGCCACATTGAGTGAACAGCAACCACAGAGTTCCCAGGTCAGGAACTGGGAGATGCTGAAGGGCCTGGGGCACTGAGAACTGGGAGGAGGGCAGGAGCCAGACCTGAAGGGCCTTGCAGGCCGGGTGAGGGCTTTACGGCCTGTTGCCGAGTGCTGCTGCGGAAGCCACGGGGCATTACAGGGAAGGCGTGCTGTGCTCTCCTTCCTGTCCCAGGGCTGCAATGTGGGGGTTGGACGTAGGGTCAGGAGGGAAGGGAGGAGATGAATAAAAAGCTGTTGCAGGTGTGCAGGCAAGATGGTGTCCCCGATGAGGGTGGCCACAGTGAAAAATGGTGAGAAATGACTAAAATTGGAGTATGGCTTGTGATAGAAAGAGGACTGTGAACTGAACTGAACATGGGGTATTGGGCAGGGGAGTGGTCAACTTCTAGTCTTCCATCGGAGGCAAATGGATGATCAGGGGACAGTTCCCTAAGGTGGGACGGTCTGAGGCAGGCCCAGACTGGAGGGTGGGAGGGTCAGCTTTGAAGTGGCTGAGAAACAGGCTCAGGCTCAGCACAGCCTGAAGAATGAGAGGGAATCCCAGGTAGAGAGATGGGGTCAGGGTCATCCCCTGAGGAATGCTCACATTCTGAGAAACCAGCAACAACAGCGTGGAAGGGGGAAGACAGGATCATGCCACTGACCACAGGGTTTGGAGGCATCATGTTTGCCAATGGTTGTGTCAAGAGCCACATGGTGTGGTGTGGGGGACAGGAACTAAACTCAGAGGAGGAAGTACAGATAGCAGACGTCATCAACTGTTCAGAGAAGTGTTGCCGTGAAGGGGAGCAGTGAAATCAGGGGGCCAGAGAGGATGGGCGGGAGGCGCAGCGGAGCAGGAGGTGAGGTGGCCGTGACCCAGCTGTCCAGGGGCAGGCCTGCGCGCACTTTGGAAGGGGGCAGGCAGCTAATCCTCTACGGACAGGGCGCAGGGAGAACAGACCCAGTTTACAATGGTCTCTGTGGGCTTCCTGCTGAGCAACCCTAGTAATCTCTCCTGAACTACGGGCCCACCGTCCAGTGGGGCAGTGAGGGCAGCACCTCGCTGGGCTGTTGAGCAGATCAAATAGAGCAACTGCTACTGTACCCCGAGTGCTATGCCTGGCTCACAGATGAAGTCACTTCATTCTCTCCTCTGCCTACTTTGGCTTCCAGGGTTTCTCACCAGAACTTTGTGGAACGATACGAACTACTGAGAAGGCTCCGTCCTCGCACAGCGCCTGGCCCCCAGAGCCCATCTCCTAATGAAGGGCACTCAGGTAAGTGGGGCCCATTTGTTAGGCATTTGTTCTACTGAACTCTCACCCTGGGCCATCTCAGAACTAGGGGCTGGGGACTCAGAGGTTAGTAAAACACAGCCCTGCTGCCTTCGTGGTTCTTGGTTCAACGGGGAAACAGACAAAAAAGGACAACTTAATGGTGGGAAAAGTGGAATGGCAGAGGTAGGATGCTGTTGGGTGGTGCTAAGGAGATGTAAATCAGTGAAGGCGTCCTGGAGGAGGTGGTATGTAAGGACAGATGGGATTAACCAGGTGAAGGGCATTCCACATGATAGAAGTAATCCGAACAGAGGCCTGCAGGCGGGAGACAGACAGCATTGTGAGGAACTCCAGGTCTTTCAATGTTGTCGGCTCATAAGGGCAGAGAATGGTGGGAGGTGAGGCTGGGTGGCAGGGGGGGCCCAGTGACAGAAGCTGGACTTTATTCTCTGGGTAGATGAGAGGGCCTGCCAGAGAAGGTAGTGATGTCAGCCTCACGCTTCCTGGAGACCACTGTGGGGGCCACATGGCAGGCCATGGCTGTTAAGTTGCCCTGAGCAGAGAGAAGCAAGAGATGTGAGCACAGTAAGGAAATGCTGGGAAGAAATCGGTCAGACTGGACAAGCACTTTATTAGATGTAGAGGGAGAGGAAAGGAGAAAATTAAAATAATTAACTCTGCCTGGCCTGTGGGAAAAGCAGTCTGGAGAAGCTGAGCTCTGCTGGGGCACTTGGCAAACTTTGATCCCAAGGGGAAGGTCTGGCCTGTGACCCTGATTGGGGGTTGTGGGCATGTGGCCCCTCCCACCCACACAGCCTTACCCTGAGGCACCCCAAAGCCAGCTGGGACAGTTCTGCTTTGTTTTTCTTCTGTCTTGGGCACAATTTGTCGCTTTCCTTTCACCTTTTTCCCCACCTCTTTCTCCTTCTCTCTCCACGGTCTGCTCTACTGCTCTGTCTCTTGCCCAAGTCCCCCGGCCCCTGGTTGATTTTGTGGCTGTTTCTCATCTGCGGCGTCTTCTTTGGCAGCCTCTGTCTCCCGAGAGGCACTGGGCAACTAAAGGTGGTCAGAGCCCTCAGGTAAATCCTCTGTCTGCAGGAGCAGCCCTGTGACACAGGGGGACCCTGGGCCTCTACAGGCCCGGGGTCTGTTCTCCCTTTTCTGCCCTGGCAGGGAGTGAGGTTTCGGGGCACGGCGCGGGGCACAGCTGCCTGACAGGCCCTCAGCATGTTTGGGGCTGAAAACAAATGCCAGCTCTTCAGCCTGGGATTCCAAGCTGGAGTCCAGGCACCAAGTGCCCTTTGCTGCCCTGCCCAAGGGGAACCACAGGAGTGGGCGCTGCAGGCCAGTCTGGGGCACAGCCTCAGCGAGGTTCCAAGCCTCTTAGAACGCCAGGGCCCACGGGACAACAGAGGGGCTGGCCCTGTTCTCCCGCTCCCCGCCCCCCACCCCCCGAAAAAAAGGAGGTAGAAATGGTTAGAGGCAAGAACAGAAAAGAAGCCTGTAAAATGTTGGGGAAAGCAGAACCAGTTTCTTAGGGCCACGGGAGTGTGTAGATGACGACACACTGATGGGACCTGTCTCCCATCCCTTAGAATGGTCTCCACACACCAAAGAGGCCTCGCTGCGCCCTCTACTCCAGGACATCCTCCGCACTCTGCCTACTCTGACTCGGACAGCAGCCACACCCGGCGCCCCGGCTGAGGCCACGCCAGACCCAGTGCACTGTGGCAGGACCAAGGTGTTCATGACTGACTCCGTGGTAAGCCGCTCTAGACGAGGAGCAGAGGTTACACAGACTAGCTGTGCGTGTCAGCAGGACGGGGCTGAGCCCTCCCCTGGGCAGGGGAGGAGAGACTGAGGACCTCAGTGGATGCCCCTTCCCCCAGCTGGAGCTCCTGGAGCATGGGCGTGCCCAGGTGATGGAGCAGTGTGCGCGCTGCATCCAGGGCGGCTGGAGGCGACACCGGCACCGCAAGCAGGCGAGGCAGAGGCGGGCTGCTGTGCTCATCCAGGCAGGTAGGACCAGGGCCCTGGGCACACAGCCTTGTTCCAGGTGGACAGATGGGCCCAGGTGCAGCTGCTGCACACTAACCCTGTGACACCTGTTTGCTTTGAAATGCTGCTCCCTGAGTCCCCATATACCAAAGCTGAAAGTGTTTCCACCTCAAGACATTGGTGGCACCTGCCTGTGGTGTGCTGGGACTCAAACTCCCTGCCCGCCTCACCTGGCGCATCTTTCTAATTCAGTGGGAACCAGGTCACAGCACCAGGAAGGGTGCTTTCTAGGTAGGAGAGGCTAAGAATTTTGTCTTTACTTCCCTTTTCCCAGACCTAGATAGCTGTTTATACCATCTTTCCCTTTATGACAACTGAAATCATTACTTGCTGGGCTCCAGGGTTTTTAATGAGTTTAAGAAGGTAAAAACCTAATAAGATTTGATTTACCAAAAGAAGAAATTTATGAACCATATTAACAGTCTGTTTTTTAATATTTTATGTTTTTGTTTATTTTTTTTTTTTAGAGAGGGGGAAGGGAAGAAGAAAGGGACAGAAACATCAATTGGTTGCCTCTTGCACGCCCCCAACTGGGGACCTGGCCCACAACTCAGGCACATGCCCTGACTGGGAATCGAACCAGCGACCTTTTGGTGTACAGGCAGGTATTCAATCCACTGAGCCACACCAGCCATAGCTCTCCATAATTCTACTTTTATTTTTAAAAATGAGGCTGCTGCCCTGATTGGTGTGGCTCAGTGGTGTAGGTATCGTCCCGCAAACCTAAAGGTCCCACACATCGATGTTTCTCTCCCTCTTTTCCCCCCTTCCCCTCTCTCTAAAAATCAGTAAATAAAATCTTTAAAAAAAAACTGTGATAAAAGTACTAGAAACCACCCAAATATTTGACAGTGGTGGAATTATGACTATATTACGCACCATTCCTATGATATAGCTCAGAAGTCTTTGAAGATTTTAAATGTAATGAAAAACCACTTCCAATATGATATTCAAATGTGGGTGCCAAACACATCCAGGGAGATGCCACCTTATGCCACATTTCTATGTGTATAGCATGAAAAAAAAGGTGTAAGGAAATAATGTAGAATTATCCCATTTGGTGACTTTTTTACTTGTCTTTAAATTTTAGTTTTCTAGAAGCTAGAATACTCATACTTAATGTAATAGTCTGTTTTCTGAATATGATTGTACCAAAAAAAAAAAACCCCCCTGAAATTTCTAGAAAATACTATGATCAGTCCACCATCCAGCAGTTACTACCTATACTAGCATGTGGGCCTATCATGGTGTCATTCATGGATTCATAAAGCAAGCAAGTCAAACGTAAGGGTTACAAAAACAAATACAAGTAATTATAGAAGACACAGGCAACTCAGACACTCTAATTCCCTGGGCATTGTCCCAGACAGAGCCTGAGGTGGGAGGTGACCCTGCTCTCAACCGTCCCTTCAAGGGAGAGATGGCTCCAAGTCTGAGGGCAGTCGGAGGGCCAGTTCTGAACCTTACTTTATGTAGTGTGCAGGTAGCCACTGACTGAAGAAATACCTGTTTCAGACTTTTCTAGCAGCTGCACAGGCAGCTCACCAACAACTATAATGACCATTTTTCTCTTTCCTGTTTCTGGGCCGCCCCTTAGCCGCTCGTTCCTGGTTAACTCGGAAACGCATCCAGAGGCTGCACACGGCTGCCACGGTCATCAAGCGCGCGTGGCAGCGGTGGAGAGTGAGTATCCGGCTCAAGGACTCGGCTTGGCAGTGGGTATTTTGGTATCAGACGGAGCTGAGTTGCAATGCTGGCCCTGCTGCCACAACATAGGTGGCCTCATGTTCACGCATAAAGTGGGCACGACACCACCTACCCTGAAGGGTGGCTGTGACGGCAGAGAGTGGCTTAAGCAACTGGGAACGTACTAAAAACCATCAAACCATGGAATTGTATACTTTACACACGTGAATTTTTTATCAATTAGAGATCTCAGTAAATCTGTTTTTTAAAATGGCACATGTAAGGCCTAAGCCCAGGTGCCTTGGGTACAAGGCTCTGCCTGCCACGGAGCCAGTCGGGCTGAAGGCATCCAGCCGTCCACAGCCAGGTGCCCTTCAGTTCACCTTGTCAAGCCAAGTTAATAAAGATAGTTCTGCTTGCCATTTTCCACTAAGAGCTACTAAATCAAAAGCAACAAATTGGTGTTCTTTCTCAAAGATCAGAATGGCCTTCCTTGCTTCTAAAGAACTGGATGGTGTAGAAGAAAAACACGTGTTTCAAGCTCCCCACCCCTCCGGCTCCTTCCTACTGCCCCAGACACAGACCTGGCTCCTAGGGGCAATAATCCGCCTCTGGCCTCTGGGACTGGTCCTGGCCAACGCGACCGTGGGTGTCCGCGGCTTTCAGAGGAAACTGGTGGTCTGGGCCTGCCTCCAGCTCCCCTCCGGCAGCCCCGGTAGCTGCCCCGTCCAGACAGCACAAGAACAAGATGGCGTCACGTCCATCCGAGCGCTGCCTCAGGTAAGTGGTGATGGGACGGAGGGCAGCTCGCCAGCTGTGGCCGTCCTGCCCCCAACAGCGCGGGCCCCTCCAACCTCCCTGTGGAGGGCAGGAGGCACGGCCCGGGAATCCACAGCAGGAGCAGGCCAGAGGCCTGAGCTTCCCAGCTGGCTGCGATTACTCACACCTAGCGCTTTTCCAGAGCCTTTTTCATCACTTAAAAAAAAAACTGCCCCTAAGTGTTCTAGCATCTCCTTTTAATTAGTCCCACTTGCAAAAAACTTGGGTTGTGATGACAGCTTATTCCCTCCAGTGGCTCTGGACTTGGCACCATGTTTCCCCCCAAATTATGTTACTTGGTTTATCTCATTTCCCAGCTAAAGAGATGACAAGCAGGGGAGCCGGTGGTCCGAGTGCTGTTTTTATATTATGGGCAGCCAGAGAAAGCCAGCATATAAAATAGGCTAATACTGAAGGATTAAGTGATTTTGTCAAGGCAGAAGAAAACCCTGAACTTCCACCCCAGAGGAATCACTGTGAGCTAGCACCTGGGTAAAATCTCCCATGACGATGTTAAGCAGTCTTAGGGCTGCAACAGGCGACTGTCTGAGGGGAGAGCTCTCTCCTCCAATTTCCTTGCCTGTCTCACACCAAAGGGATGTGAGCTTTTATATTTGAACGCCGCTTTGGACTTCGCCAGTGTTATAAAAAAAGGAAAAAAACATTGTGACATGCCAGTGCTTGCTCGTCCACACTCCCTGCATTCCTAGCACGGGCTCTGTGAGGTGCCTTTAGGCCCTGGCTCTCCTGGGAGCTGGGATTAAGCTGCATCTCTCTCCCTCCCCCTAGGGCTCGATAAAGTTTCACTGCAGAAAGTCTCCACTGCGCTATGCTGACATCTGCCCTGAACCTTCGTCCTACGGTGTTACTGGCTTTAATCAGATTCTGCTGGAAAGACACACACTGGGCCACGTGTGATCTCGTCTCACCTTCTCTCCTCACCTGGCTGGGCGATCTGCGTGCCTTTGTTTCCACAGTGCTTTTTCCTGCCAGCTACCTTGCCAAAGACCTTTCATTGACACAAAGCTGCCAAACTACTCCCACAGTGACTGCAAGGCCTATGGCGTGACGGCCCTGCCTGCCTGCGAGCCAGGGCTCCACCCATGTCTCAGCACCGACAGGGGGTCAGGGTGAGTAGTCACCAAATCAAGATTAAAAACCATCGGAGCCATAGAGAAGTTCGCATTTTTACTACTTCACGGATCCAACTCCAATCAAACGAGACTGAGAGTTGTCTGTCACTACAGTGGAGCACCCCCCACCGTGACAAACCGAACAGGCAGCTTGATATCAGCTCTAAAATTTTGGCTGGGGAAATTCTGTTTAGTTCCTTAAAAAGGAACAAAACCTTACTATTTAATATGTTGTTGACTTATTTAATTTCAAGCAATTAGATCACAAACCAGGGATGATGAACAATGCAGTGTGCCATAGAGCCACATCTTGATTTTATTTAGTAACACTAAGTTTTCACTCAAATGAGTGTGAAACTTGATAAATTATCATTTACAATATCCACCTTAACTGTACCAAAAATAAATAACTTGAAAACCACCACTTGAATGTCTGCCGCCTTGACTGGCCCCACCTGCCCGACCCCAGCCTGCAGCACTGGAGGCCAAGACTTCCACGACCTGCCCTAGTCAGCCCTCTGCGTGCTGGACCCCACTGCCCTTGCCTAGGGCCCAGTGAGCTGGTCTCCTGGGAGAAGGAGCGAGCAGGTTCTGAGGGTCCAGCACACGCTTGATCAAGCAGCATGACAGTCCACTTTAAGAATCCTCATTCTGGGACGGTTCCACAATCCTTAAACAGCAGTCAGCGAACTCCACAAACAAGGGCTCCTGCATGCAGGCTCTCATGAGCTTGGCCTTGTTTTCCCCCTGATCGAGGCTGACCATCAACTGTCTAAGGTGCGGATTGAGCAGCAGGCTTCTTAATTCTGCAGATTCCCCTTAAAAAGTAAGGAAAGCCAATCTGAGTTGAAGTGAGAGCAGATGGAGATGGCTGAAAGCTAAATGCTTCAAATGTAACATTGCATGGCCTTAGCCTTTAAATCCACAAATGAACCCCAACGCTTTCCATAAACAAGGCAAGATCAGCATATCAAATGCCTTCCAAGTTAAACACTGTTACAGGTTACCGTTCTTGGTATCTTTGTAAATACTTTAACTTTATGCCACTTTGGCTAAGTAAAAATATTTTACTACCACAAATGCAGAGAACAGCACTAGCTTATTGGCAATGGTCATTACACCAAATGCTCTGAATGATGCTTAAACAGGCACTTGCTCCAGCATGAAACAGGATCAATAGCAGTGAACTGACTTAAACATCTATATGGTGCTTTATAGACCACAGAACTGTTCACACCTGCCCCCAGCTCAGCTCCATCCTCCGTCTCATCACTGCCATGGGACTGGGTACACAGCACCACCTGTTAGGCTGGCTCTGTGAAATGGGGATGAAAATAACACACACCTATAGGAAATTACCCCGATCTGTTAATTAGATAGGTAACAGAATTGCTATGGGGACTGAATGAGCAGTCCTAAGAAATACTGGGCATTATTAACACCCACAACCCTCTTAAAAAAGAGCACACAAGTTCTGGGATTACCCAGTCTGCCTTAATTGCTGGACTGTAATGGAGCACTAGGAACGTGGGGATACGTGCGGGTGTCTCCCCCACAGACTGGCGCGAGACAAGTTACCACACAGTCCACTGAGTGGTACATTACAAGGCACCAGAGGAAGATGAAAAAGTGTCTAATTCTGAACAGAATCAAAAGGTCAAGAAAAATTTAACACAGGACAGAACACTTGAACAAGCCCTTGAAGGAGGGACAGAATTCTGTCAACCCACAAAGCCAGTGTGACTCCAGGCCAAGGGAAGGGTCTTGTAGACAGGCTGGGAGGTATGGAAGCCCTATGTTGTATATATTTTTAATTTTATTTACTGATTTTAGAGGGGGGAGAGAGAAATATTTGTTCCACTTATTTATGCATTCATTGGTGTTTGTGTATGTGTCATGACCAGAAATTGAATACACAACCTTGGCATATCAGGATGATGCTCTAACCAACTGAGCTACCTGGCCAGGGCCAGCCCTGTATTTATAGAACTGTGTGGCTGGATGAAGGGCTCTACATGCCACAACTAAGTATTTAATAACTTTAAGAATCACATTCTAGCCGTGGCTGGTGTGGCTCACTGGATTGAGCACTAGCATGCAAACCAAAAGGTTGCCAGTTCAATTCCCAGTTAGGGCTGTGGGCCAGGTCTCCAGCTGGGAGTAGGGGGGAGGCAACCAAGCAATGTTTCTCTCCTCTTTCTCCTTCCATTCCCCTCTAAAAATAAATAAATATCTTTTAAAAAAAAGGTTACATTCTAGCCCTGGCTGGTATGCTTCACTGGCTTGAGTACCCTGCAAACTGAAAGGTCACCGGTTCAATTCTTTGTTAGGGCACATGCCTGGGTTTTGTGGGCCAGGTCCCCAGTTGGGAGCATGCGAGAGGCTACCAACTGATGTTTCTCTTGCACATTGATGTTTTCCCTCCCTCTCTTCCTCCCTTTCCCTCCCTCCAAAATAAACAAATAAATAATCACATTCTATATAACAAATTAAATGTATCTCAATGGTTGATAAAGAATAAATAAGCACAGCACAGACTTACCTAACTTTTTTAAATTCTGCAAAGAAACCCTGTCCTCTTCCTCATCGCTATTGAGAAAATCAGCTATAGAGGCATCGTCATCATCTAAGGAAAATATATCATAATCAACTACTTAGGACTATAAAGAAAGACCAGGTGCCAGATTTTAATAACTACCCCAATGGACTAAAAAAATGTACATGCACACATGTGACAGTAACGGGTATGCAAGTAGGTGGAGACAAAACAAAACAAACCTCTGGAGTTTGTGACTCTTTTAGGAAAGGGAAGGAAAGTAAAAGAGAAAAACTGCTGACTTTAACAAATGCATCCTAGTGTTCATGCACTTAGTCCCTGTGGCGGTTATGCTTGGAGGCTGATTTTCCAATTCTTACCGCCCTGCCTCGCCTCACCCTGGCTCCAGCCCTATGACAGGCCAATAAACTAAGTGCACTCCACAAAAACCTGCTAACGTGAATCCCTTCATGAGCAGAAATTGCTGACATTGCCTGAACCCAACAAGGAAGTTTCTCCAAGGGCAGAAATGGGCCCTCACCTTGTGAATGCTCATTGTGTCTGGTGGCACCAGGAGAGGCTGCTATAGAGCCTGGAATGGTGCATGACATCCAGAAGGTATTAGACTGGCTGGCTGGCTGGCTGGCTGGCTGGGATGACAGCCCACTACCACTGTAAGCTGTGAGAAGCCCCCAACTGCAGCAGGGTGCCCTAGGCCTTTGGCAGCCTCAGCCAGGCCCACGAAGGAAGACTGAAGCCATTAATACAGAAGGCTCCCGCCAGCAGGGTCCACCCCTCACCCCCAAACCAGGCCCACAGTCTTTCTTCCCTCTGCCTCTTGCCCCTGTCTGTGTGGTCCTGACCTATGCGCTTAGGCTGCTCTTTATCACCTGTGCCCCTACTCCTGTAGCTCTGGGCGAAGGAAGCTGCTTCTCCTTAATGAAGACATGGCTCTTGACTCCCTGCCCCAGCACAGCTCTCCTCTTTTCTTACAACTTATTCTATCCGAAACCCCTTCATAGGTCTATTTGTTTGAAGTCAACTAACCCACCTTTGTTTTCCACAGGATTTACAGTTTTTGCAGTAACAGCTGATCCTATTTTTTTCTCAGCAGGACGAGTTTCAGGATTGCACTGCTCTGAAAGAGACACAAATCTCAGGAGCCATCACCTCCATTTTAGTGATAAGGCTGCATCCTTCCCACCAAGCCAGCATCCAGGTGGGAAGCATGTGCATGGATGTGGGTGAGGTGGAGATGGATGTAGAGGAAGTAAGAGAACAAATAAGGTGCAGTATAATGAAAACAAGCAACCCTGAACCTGGCGGAAGAACTCACCGGACCCCTAGGACCTGTCCGGATCAGTTCTTGCCTTGCCTAATCTCACAGGGCTTTCTTTACAATTAAGTGGCACATTGACTTCAATTAGCATCAAACTACTGGGTCTGACACAAATAACATCCCTCTTTTATTACAAAATCATAAGCATGTAATTCTGTAACATAACTATATCACATTCAAACACATATTACATTTTAGGTGAAATGTTCAAATTAAAACTATAAATTATTACACTATTACCCTACCAACGCCACTCAAGCAGGTGTTACTTCTGCTGGGCCATGTAATTTCTCAGGAGTATCAGACACCAAATTTGCATGTGCACAAGCCACTGAGCATACACAGATGAGAGTCATCAGGTCCACCCCAGAGGGGTTCAGTCTTAAGGTCAACAATTAAAGAGATGGATAAGAGGCAAAGGGTCTACTGATCTAAGTCACCTGAGAGAGCCAGAAGACAAGGCCAAGAGGAGTCTTAGAGGGATAGTCGTTGCCAGGTTACAAAGCATTTCTAGCACAGGAAAGATCTATGGCTAGGCCTGACCCTTACAATAGGGTCAGGGAGGAGATGGTGATGAGCAAATGCCAGCACATTGGTGGCTAGGGCACAAGTGGAAACAGCAGCAGCAAAAGAATGCTACACACAGGCCATCTGCCTTTCTTCCCAAGACAAGCGTCTCTCAGCAAGGGTACTATTGTGTGTGCTGTAAGATAGTCTCACACGCCACAAGATGTTTATTCAAATCAATACTAATTACCAGAAATACCACCAACCCCTCCTAAGCTACTGTAACAAAAACATTGTGATGAGTTACCTACCCAGGGAGAGCAATACCCAGGCTAAGACACAATGATGTGCCCTGGCTGGTGTGGCTCAGTGGATTGAGTGCTGACCTGCAAACAGAAAGGTCACTGGTTCTGTTCCCAGCTGGGGCACATGCCTGGGTTGCAGGCCAGGTATCCAGTTGGGGACACGCAAGAGGCAACTGATTCATGCTTCTTGTACATAATGATGTTTCTCTCCCTCTCGTTCTCCCTTCCCCTGTCTAAAAATAAATAAGTCTTTGAAAAAAAAAAGAAGAAACACTGACCTGTGCTAGAGAGACTGGAGTTTTCAACAAGGCAGTGATTTGCTCAAATGTGAGTTTCAGAAAATTCACCCAGGCAGCAGCAAGGCCACACAGACAAGAGCTCCTGATTAGGTACCTAGTGGGGCCTCACAGGGATGCAGGTCCAGAGGGAAGCGTTCCGGACCCAGCTCTCCAACCCTATTTCCAGCAAAGCAATTATACTCCTTTTCTGCATATCTTTAACTGAAAGGGTTCTTTTGAAATGCTCCAGTGATATTAGAAAAAAAGTGGGGCTGGGGGAATAACTTGAAACATTGCTCGTAACCCAGAGACGAGTTGAAACGAGAGCAAACAACTGCAAACAACTTAGAGGAACTTAAACATAAGAGTCAACCAATCATGAGAGCGTGGGAAAGAGTCCCTGAGGGCTGGGAAGACGCGCCGGATTGGAGAAGAGTTAAAATGCAGACTTGACAATATTAACAGCCAAAGACCTAGCTCCTTACTGTAAACAGATTTACCTCATTGTGTCTAACAAGGTATTACTTAAAAGAAAAAAATGTTCTTGTTAACCTTAGCCAGCGCAGCTTCTGCCAAATGATGAGCGGCGCTGCGTCGGAATACTAAAATGAAATAGCTAGGGTACACTTTTCCGACCAGAGCCCAAAGAAACGATGGCGCGTAGAAGAAAAGGCAGAGCAGAAGAACGGGTTTGACTATTCAAAATCCGGAGACGCATTCACAGGGAGAGGTTCCCCAGGGAATCCGACAGGATTGGACGCGACAAGGCCCGGAAGAGCACGTCCTGAGGGGTCCACGTCCCCAAGACGGCAGCGGGACGTGGGGGCTTCCCCACACGACAAGGCAGGCCGGGGCTGAGGCGGGGACGCGGGGGCCTTACCTTTGTGCTTCCGGGAACAGGTCAAGGAGCAGCTGTAACAAGAGAAAGCAACAGGGCATTTCAGCCGAAGGCCGCGTGGACCCTCCCGCAGTCCCAGCTCGGCCCAACACTCGCGCTCTCCCTCCCCCACGACCTCAGGCGCTTACTAGGGCACGCGGCAGGCGGGGCAGCGATATTTGGGTTTCTCCAAACAGATCACGCAGACCAAGGAGCTACCACTGAGCGATGCCATGATAAATCGGCGGATTTTCCTGCCACTCCTGGTGCGCGCTGCTCTCGCCAGGGGTCCCACGTGCACGCCTTCCCTTCCGTCTCCTTAACCAGAACCAATCAGCGCGCTGCACTTACAAGTAGTCAAAAGCAACGGATCGCTCCGCTCCTTGTGCCAGGACTGATAAGTAGATAGTCGATATACTCGATGTGCATCTAGTAACTGCATGCAGACGTTTTCCTCGATTGGGTCACGTTGTTGAAGGACTCGTCGTTTAGCCGTCCCTACGCGGCGGTGTGACTTGGAGCAGGTCGTGGTCACTCTCCAGTTCTATTGCCCCGCGTGTAAATGTCCTTTGTCTTCTGGCTTGGACTTTCTGAATCGTGCACGGGAACGGGGGTCTCCCGCACACGTCATTTGCTTACTTCTAGTAAATGAGAAGTCCAGCCACTGGATTTCTTCATAAAGGTTAAATTCTAACGTCAGCACAGAAGTCAGAAATTACTTTTAAAAACAACCCTTCAACAAGCTATAACTTGGAGAAACACCTGCACTTTTCAGCGGCAGCAGGAGCTGAAACTGTCTGGCGGCCGGGCAGCCCTCACCTTCCATCGCAGGCTCAGTGCAAGACGCGCACTCGGGGAACGGAAGGGGGTCTGATTTGTCTGCGCCTTCTGAAAGTATTTTTTTTTTTCTGTTTCTCCCTCCCGCTCTTTCTTTCTTATTTCTTCTTTATTTCACTTTAGTTTCAGAGCCCTCAGCTGAATAAATCCACAACTTCTTGCCGCTCCAGCTGGGAGCAGAGAAGCACCGTGGAGGACCACAGTCCCACACAATCCCCTGAGCCTGTGGCCCATCGGTTCAGTGCGTGGTGGCGAAGAAAGGGCGGCCTTCGCGGCAGGAACCCGGCACATCCTGGAAGCGCCCGCGTCAGTCCGGGCTCTGGACAGGGCAGATCAGCACCGCGGGCCGGGTCCTGTTACACGCCTCTCAGCGCCACCAGCCTTGCTTCGTGCAGAAACCTGCCCTCTTGCCCTGCGCTCTAGCCCAGGCCATCCTCGCTGAGGAAGGAAAGACGAGGCTCGTCCCCTGAGAAACAGTTATGGAGCTGCTTTTACTGTGTGCCTGGCACTGAGCAGGCACTGGGGCCACGGGGAGAAGCCGATCGAGTGCCTTTCCTGGGGGTGGAGGTGGGGAGACTGAGCAGGGCCGAGACCAGTGACCTCCAGAGTGACCTCTGCACAAGGGAGCGGATCCCAGAATAAGATTTGCTAAGCCATGCAGACCCAACTTAAAGGATTCTGAGTCCAGGAGTCTTGGGCCATGGACTGGTCAGAGATAAGTCCCGACAGGCGGGTTGTGGCCGTCTTGAGCGGCCAGAGCAGGAGGTAGGCCGTTACCTACAGCCCGAGTCGCACTTTAACGCAGCCCTGCACCTCATCCCGGACACGTAGGGGATCCCAACCTGTAAGGAAACATGCGCCACGTGCGCCACAAATCGCCAAGGTCTCTAAATGCGGCTTAATTCTGGCTGAAAGGAGAAGAACCGCCCCACCCGGCTACGGAGGTGCTGTCCAACCTGTGGTGCTGAAGAGTCCTGGGCCCAGCCGCGAGAGAACAGAGCGCAGTCCTCGCATGCAGCTGCCGTTCCCAGGCTGGGCATCGTCCAGACCAGCCTAATAATCTCCAGGGATGCTTGTCTGGCTCAGCAGGTATAGGCTGGAATTGCCTCAGAGATCCGAGCTTCCCTGAGGAGGCCCACGGAATGCCAATATTTATCCAGGAGCCGCAAGACTTGGGAGAGTGGACAGTTCTCAATTCCTGTGCTCCACTCTGGGAGCAGTAGCCAGTCACACGCTGTAAGTCATCTCCAATGCCCTGTCCAGACTTGTCCTATGAATTATATGGGAAAACTGGTGGGGAGGGTCCACTCACTTTCCAGGAGCTCAATTCTTCCCACCTGCATCCAAGCCAGCAGGCCCAGCTACCTGAAGGAGGGTTGAGACAATCCCTGGGATTCCTTCTATACATATTCCTCCCAATGAGGATCCCCTTCCTCCACTCTGGGTGACCCCCAATTTCCGTGAATGCCCACAACTGTGCCCCTCACTCCATCTCCAGGCAGGCAGGGGAAATAAGGTGTCCCCAGTGAAGGGCTCTGCTACTTGGAGCCTAGAATCTTGCCCTTGCAGGAGTAAATGGCACGGCTGCCCAGTGAGACAGTTGATCATTATCGTGATGGCAGTGACATTGGGAAACATGAAGAAGCTGGGTATAGCCCCTGGGGCAGAAACTAGTCCAGAAAAGAGGGCTGGTCGGATGCCAGAAGGAGCAGTCAGGCAACTTCATGGGTGCCCAGGACCAAGCCCACACTGCACCTGTCATGTCCTGGCTCGCCCCAGAACCTCCCTGGAGGCCATCATGGCAGCCTGGGGCCCAGTCATACCTCCTTAGCATCAGTCAAACCTCAGTTCAGATTGGGAGAGAGGTGAGATACCAGTGGAGCCAAAAGGGTGCATAGTGAATGATGTTGCTTGACTCTTGAAGCCTCCCGCCTCTCCTCATCCAGGGTGCCTGCCAGTGCGCTCTGGTGAGTGTCTGAAGGTGGGCAGTGCAGCTCGGCCTGTTTAAGGAACACCGCTGTGTGGCACAGGAGGGTGCAGTCATGACCAGCTGAAAAAGTCTAGCCCCACCCCACCCCAACACATGGGCCCCATACTGTGACCACCATGGCAACAGATTAATAACTAGAGTCACCCTGGGCATCATAGTGACCCCAAAAGGCAAAGCGGGTATTAGTAAACTCATTAGGTAGATGTGGAATCAGAGGGTCAGAGAAGGCATAGGAAAGTCACTGAAGCCCCAGAGAAAGCCCAAAGACCAACTTCCGCTGTTCCACTTCAGCATCCTCCTTCCTATTCCTGTTTTCCACTTCATTTATCAAGGAGCTGGTGCTAACGGAAGTCCCTTCTGTCAGACCCAAACAGCTCTGCTTACCATGGTAATTAACGATCATTCCAGGGTTCTCAACAACAAAATCCTCCTGAAAGGTCCAGAGGAGGGTAATTATGACCTTAGGGTGAACACACTTCCCTTTGGCTGGCTTGACAGCCATTGCAAGCACAAGAATAACATCCAGCAAAAAAGGACTGCCAGTCAGCCCCTGGGGAAGGGTGGGGCCTGTAGGAAGTGCAGGGGCCGCCACAGCTGCTGGGCCTTCCGGCAGCGAGCCAGGAGTGCTGCTTCAGCTTCTCATCACAGAGACGAGCCACGGCTGTACCACATTCATGGAGAATGTGAGTCCAAACACATCAGCAGGCCTGGCAGAATGAGGGGAACTGAGGGGCCACTGCAGGGGCCACTGGGAGAAGGCCAAGGTAGGAGCCCTCTCACCAAATGGAAAGATTGGCAGCCTGAATGTCTACATATAAACCAGAAGAAACCGACCAGTGGGGCGCCTGGTGACGAGGTAGGGGAAGATGAGCCTTGATAGCCTCCCCTCCATACACATACCCAGGTGGTCCCATCCCCTCCTCTGTACCCTCTGTGAGCCCAGAGCAAGCAGAAAGACCCAATGATGAATGGGGGCAGCCCAGGACACCGAGGCCCACCCAAAGACAGACGTGTGAAACATGTATACAGGCCATTAGGTGTAACTGATCTCAAGGGACTGTGGGTTATACACAGTGAGGGCCCCTTGCCCACTGCTTGGTGGAGTGATCACTGGGATGTACTAATTATAAGAACCTCCATGATCTTGCCTTCTCAGTTGCCTCCTCAAATTATACCTTGCACCAGAATCAATTTGTGACTTTCTCCAATAACCCACACCCTCGCCTTTTCTCTGAGCCTTTCTGGGCACATGCTGTTAATTTTCTGGAATGCTCTTCAATCACTGTCCACCTCCAACTCTACCCTCAGTCCCAACCTCCACATCACTCTGTTAGTTCATTCTTTCTCCTTCTAACCTTGGTTTCATCATCAGCTGACACAGCAGGACCTCTGAGGACACCGAGGCTCAGGTAGTGCCCTGCTTGTGCGCTGGCATCAGTCCCAGGCACGCCCGCTGTGGCCCATTAGACTCTGAGAGAGCAGAGATGGCTTCTACTGTCCCCCGCACACAGCTTCTAACGCAAAGAAGAGATTTAATGGCAATAGCTGGTGCCCAAAGGAATGAGAGGGGCATCTGGACGTGGCCCAGTTAGAGGTGTTGGGACTGGGACATTTCAGACCAGAGGGGATGCAGGAGTCTGACTGGGAAGGATGTTCCTGATAGATGGAATTTGAGGATACTGAAATAGGCAGGAAGCGGAATCCACAGGGATTGTGTGGGCTGGACACAGCCAGAGATGAGCTGGACAGGTGGGATGTGATGGGTCCCGGATGTGAGCCCAAAAGGTGAGCCCTGGCTGGTGTGGCTGCATGGATTGAGAGCCTGCCTGGGAACCAAAGGGTGGTCAGTTCAATTCCCAATCAGGGCACATGCCTGGGTTGTGGACCAGGCCTCCCAGTAGGGGGCGCTCAAGAGGAAACCACACATTGATGTTTCTCCTCTTTTTCCCTCCCGCCCCGCACAGATGGAGTCCTGTTTAATGGGAGCCCCTAGGCCCTTCCTGTCCCAGAGTAGGGAGTGGGGACCTGTCCAGGGTTCCTGCAACACCTGCGATTGCCCTCCCAAGGGCCATAACGTGCTGCCCACCTCAGGGGCCCCCCTCTGCCTTTGTCCACTCAGCGCCCGCCAAACCTCCCTCCCCTATTGTATCCTAACGGGGACGCCCCAGGACTCACCACAGAGGTGCTGGGGAGGGCAGCTGCGGGGAGGCCCTGGCCCGGAGGTGGCTCCGCTCCCAGGAGGCACGTAATCTGAACCCTACAAAAAGGCCATTACACACCACGGTTCCTAGAAACTGTCCACAATTTCCCCCTCTGTCGTCACCGGGTCAGCGCAGAGGAACCCTTCTGCCTCCCTCCCCTGAAACAGCCCTTCCCCACCTCCATCTCCGCTCGGAGGCGCGCGTACCCCTCCTTGTCACCTGCGGCGGGAGGTGGTGGCTGCACGCACCGGCCCGGGTGGTCCAAGGGTCTCCCGGAAGGAGCTCGGAGCTCCGGCCCCAGCGCGCGCACTGGAATTTCCCGCAAACCGGAAGGAGGCTCCAGCGGCGGGACCCGCTCCGCCTTCAGCCCCACCCCCTCTCCTGCCCCCTCCCCCCGCGGAAACAGCAACCTCCTCAGACTAGCTCGGTTCTAGCTCCCTCCCTCTTTCCCCCTCATCCGTGACCTCAGATTCTGCCGAACCCCTGACCACGGGCCCCAAGCCCCAGACAGCCTCTGGGGTTTGAGGCCCGTCCGGAGCTCGCCGCCAGGACTGCCCCTTGGCCTTGCTTCGGAGGGTAAATCTCGTGCTGGCGGGGGTGGGGCTGTCACCGCCCCTCCTGGGCTTCGCGGGCACCCCCACCCAGGTGCTGTCCATCTCTTGGTGCTGAAGCTCCCCTCGGCGCCTGTCCCAGAGGAATAGCCGAGTCCCCCAACCTGGCCTGCAGCCTCCACTCAGGATTCCACTCGAACTCCAGGACGCGTTCACACTGGCCCAATGACCCCACGATCACTGCTTCAGCATTTCAGGCCATTTGAACTGGAAGCATGCAGGTCTGAGCTTGCCTGAGGAGACGCAGAGAATGTCCATGGCCTGATGGGGCCCAGGGACCGCGGGGGAGGTGGGCAAAACTCGAATCTCATGCTCTGTCCTGGCGCTGGCGGGAACTCTTACGTTATGGACATAGTCCCTGTCCACTCCAGACCTATCCTGTGAACTGTGTGGGGAGGCTGGGAAGGTTCCCCTTAGTTTCCAGGGACTCAACCCCTTGTAGCATACAAGCTGTGCAACACTGCTACCTGTGATGCAGGAGAGAAAAATCCCTAGAATTTCTCCTATTCACCTTTCCCACAGAGAATATGCCCTCCTTCGACTTGAGGTGACCCCCAGCTCATAAGGACGTCCAGTCCTGGTCCTGTGCTTCCCAAAGTTTTGGCAAGGAGTAAGGTGCCAGTCGTTCCCAATGTAGAATAGTGCAACTCCAGGTCCAGATTTTTGCCCCTGATGGTGTAGTGAAGAGGTTGCCCAATGCATTGAGTGTGATCGTAATGTGGTGATGCTGGGAAGCCTGAAGAAGCCAGATACAGCTCCTTGCAGCAGAGGAGCTAACTCAGAAAAGAGGACCACTGAACAGCCAGAAGGCCACACTTGTGTGCTTCCCCAACCCTGGGTGGCTCACTGCACCTCAGCTCCTGCTCTGCCCCTGCACATTCCTCCAGGGCCGCCACCCAGGGGCCCCCCTGCCTTCTGACCTTAACCCCGAGGCACAGTGTGAGACCCAGAGGGAGACCAGATAGTAGAGGCAGAAGTTTGCAGAGCAGAGCCGGCAGGTGCCACCCAGCATGTTCCAGGTGAGCTGAGTGTGCAGCAAGCGCCCGGCTGCCAGCGCCCAGAACTGCCAGACAAGACTCCCAGCCTAGGCTGGCCCAGGCTGGCCCAGGCTGCAACAGCGCACGGGCTGGACTAGGTGCACAGCCCCCAGGGCCTCAGCAGCCCACGTGTGTGTGGGAGAGCTGGCTGTCAGGCAGTGCTGTGAGGAGAGGCCTTGGGCGGCAGGGGAGGGAGCAGTGCGGTGCCCTATGTTTTGAGCAAGGAAGCATTTCCTTTGAGGAAGCAGAACCTGAGCCAGCCCGGTGCTCTACAAGGGGCTGCGGGTTCTCAGGTTGTTCTCAGGATCTCCCTTGCCTGGCTGCTTCTGGACCAGCCCTGGGAAGGTGGACAGCCAGCCAGAAGACTGCATTTCTCCCACCTATGTTCACCCCATATCAGCTACAAAATGAAAATGCAAGGCCCTTTGTTCAGAAATTGCTGAGTATATCAAGACAGTGACACCAGAATATTAAACCAAGTGCAGCCCTCTGAGACTACACAAGTTCCACACCCATGAAGCCCATCCAATCCCAGACAGGCCTCATTAAACTATCATACACTCAGTGTTAACTCTGGGGTTACTATGGCAGAGCCACTGCCCCTACTTCCTGGTTTGCCAAAGTAAGGAAGGAGGCAGGGCATATTGATCTATCATCTCACAGGACCTACAGAGGCGGAAGTGAGCTATCTATGCAGACTTGCTAAATAGCAGCTTCTTTCTGCAGCTCTGACACCTTCATCCCTCCCAGGGCATGGGGGAGCCGGAGTTACACCTGAAAGAAATAGATGGGGTCATTAGAGGTTGCATGGAGTAGTAGTATTGGAAAGTCTCTGGAAGCAAGCTAAAGTTCTGGGTATCGGGTATGAGGTGGGCCTAAAGAGCTGTTTTTCAATTCTCTGAATGTTACTTTGTTGTCATTAAATGATGCCCTCCCCACAACTGAAACACTAGGGAAGGGCAGACCGGCAAGAACTTCCAAATCGTAAAAGGGGCTGAATTGTTGGAAAAGCAGGGACAGCAGAGGGCGCCATTGTGCAAATACAAGGGGTGGGAAGAGGCACCCACACACGCTCATTTTTCTGACATCCTCTCTGAGACAAGTCAGTAAGCCAGGACAAGTGGAATAGGGAAACTGAAGCAGATAGTTAAAGGGCCAAGCAGTTTATAGCCATCTAATAGCAAAATCTTATCTTCCCTAACCAAGGATATTTAAGAGCATCCTTCTCCCCAACCAGAGGGTAAACAGCTTAAACACCCTACTCAGGGAGATAAGAAACAGAAATCCAACAAAATTTCCTTTGTGCCAAACGCACCCAAGGACAGATAAAGTCAGGGGGATAATCTCATTTTGGTGCATCAGCATAAAGCTGATGAATATTCTATCAAGATCCTCCCTTAAGATCTCCCCTAAAATTCCCACCTTTGAAAAGAGTTAAGTACCCCCAAGACAAAGACCCAGGAAGGGCTCTCTCTGCAGTACACACATGCCTTTCTTCCCTCTCAGGTGTGCATCATTACTTTTTTCTCTTAAACCCTAAGGGTCCCCAGGAGACTTGCAACCAGGGGAGCAACAGGCAGCGACAGCTCGTCCCAGGATTATCGCTGAATCTGTCTCCAGGGCCCTCCTTGCTCTGACTTTTCAGGGGGTTGACAGCAGCCCCACCGTGGCTCACTTCTTTCCTACGCATTTCTAGGGAGCCAAAGCAGACCACCGCCCAGGCCCTCTCCTGTTGCTTCTTCTATCCTAGCAGCCCTGCCTTGGCCCACTTCTGTTGCTGTGACTTTTACTTCTCAGTGAGTCCATGCAGCCTAGCACGGCCCACTTTTTTCCTATGTGTCTAAAAGGCCAAAGCAGAGAACCACCTAAGCTCTCTTCTGTCGCTTCTTCTACCCTAAGCCCTTCCTTTGTTTCACTGTCCCCAGCTTTAATAAACATATTCTCAAAATCACTTGGACTTGAGTTGTGAAATCTATTCCTGCACGAAGTCAAGAATGCCCACACTAATGGCCATCCTGAGGCAGACCCACTCCTGGGTGGGTCCCTTTCCCATAACATCTCTACCCTGCAAATCCACACAGAAACACCATCCTCATCCACTCCCTACCCTTTCCTCCCCCCACCCACACACACACATTCCCCATTTTACAGGCTCATTGGAGGTCAAAGAGTTAGAACTCTAGACTTAGATTCTCCATCTGGCCTCTGAAAGTCCCTTGGAAGGGGGAGCCTCACAAACTTTTGCCTTAATCCTTATCCCGCCTCCAAATTATTTTCATGAATTGATGGTAGTTCTGCTCAGTGAGGAGCTGGGAAAAGAAACTGGGACCCCAGTTTCCCTCCCCAGCCTGTGGTCCTGCCCCTCCAGTGGGAAGATGTTACCTGCAGTGTTATTTACAATAAGGAAGCTGAGGATACAACTTGGTGTAAAAGAAAGAAAGAAGGAAGGAAGGAAAGAAAGAAAGAAGGAAAGAAAGAAAGAAAAGAAAGAAAGAAAGAAAGAAAGAAAGAAAGAAAGAAAGAAAGAAAGAAAGAAAGAAAGAAAGAAAGAAAGAAAGAAAGAAAGAAAGAGAGGGAGAGAGAGAGAAAGAAAGGAGATAGAGGAAGGAAGGAAGGAAGAGAAAGAGGGAGGGAGGGAAGGGGAGGCCAAAATGGAGTCACTTCTGCTTAGCCATATCATTAAACCAAAACTTAATAACTAATCTAATTCAGTTTCAGCCTCTCCCAAGAGTAGAATTTTAAACCAATCAGCCTGGAATTTCCTGATCAGAACCCCACTACCTGAAATAATCCACTCTTAACTTCTTAGTTCCACCCCTTTCTGCCTATAAAAACCTTCCATTTTGAATCGACAAAACAAACAAGTGAGCAAAATAGAACCAGAGACCTGGAAATAAAGAACAAGTTGACAGTGACCACAGAGGGAGGTAAAGGGTTAACAGAGAAAGAGAGGGAAGGGTCAAGTCAAGGAACACTTTAAAGGATCCAGGGAAGAAAACAACGGGGCAAGGTGGTCTCCAGGCAGGGGGGTGGGGATTGAATGTGGGAAGTGGGGGTGGGTAGGGCAGGGGAGAGTAATGGGGGGAAAATAGGGACAACAGTAATTGAACAATAAATAAATAAATAAATAAATAAATAAATGTTAAAAAAAAACAAACCCACTCATTGGAGTGCCTTTATACTTTCTATTGGCTAGATGGGATGCTGCCTGCTAAGAAGAGAATCACAGGCCCAAAATGCCATCCCTCTTGCAAAAAGCCCATGGTAACCATATTTATTTATTTTTTATATGAAAAATTATTTGACTTAAAATTTTGTTTATATGCCTTGGCTCATGTGGCTCAGTGGATTGAGGGCTGGCCTGCAAGGTCGTGGGTGCAGTTCCCTATCAGGGCACATGCCTGGGTTGTGGGCCAGGTCCCCATTTGGGGGCAAACAAGAGGCAACCAATTGATGTTTCTCTCATACATAGATGATCAATGTTTTTCTCCTTCTCTTTCTCCCTCCCTTCTCCTCTCTCTGAAAATAAATAAAATCTTTTATTAAAAATAAAGTTTTTTTGTTTATAAACAATTGTAAGGCATATGTATAACTAATGGAAAGCTTAGGTTTAAGTCAAGTGAAAATAATACTTCACTGTAACTAAATATAAAATATTACAGGATATAGTCA